GAGCCCCCACGGAGCCTTGACAAGCCAGCTGCTTGACCGCAGTATCGCGACCATGTTGTTTGTTGCTCGTCACATACGGTGGATGGACTAAATCCTGCACCACCTGAGAAAGATTGGAATGATGATCGCCCTGCAAATTCCAACTTGTAATGGTTTCCCATCATGGTTTCAACGGGGTGCGAAATGGATTTCATCCATCCACAGTATGAACATTCGTAGCCAAGTCTTCAAACCGCCAATTTGCTCGAAGAATCGTCTATCTTCATCCCGCGAAGACTGTGGATGGATGAAATCCAAAACCTAGGTACTGTGGATGGATTCAATCATATTCCATGTTTGGTCGGTGGAGGGGAGGGCAACGGCTGAGGCAGGGAGTGTGTCTTCTTCAATGCTGTGGGTATGCATGTGTGTGTGTGTGTGTAAATATATTTTAGTGCCTCCGGCTCAGGCCGCCGACATTACAGGCCTGCTTTCTTATTTGCGTCCCTTTGGAATTGTCCCCTTGCCCCCTTCCCCTCTGAGATTTTTGCCCCCCTTTCTTTGTTGAGATCCATTCCCCCTTTCCGCCCTAAGGCCTTTTCTCCCTCTGTTTTTTCCCTTTTCCTCCCTAAGATGTTTTCACCCCACTCCCTGTTGAGATCCTTTCCCCCCTTTCCCCCCTAAGGCCTTTTCCCCCCTGAGATCTTCTCCCTTTTCCTCCCTTTCCCCCACTTCCCCCCTTACGGCCTTTTCCTCCCTGGGATCTTTTTCCTTTCCTCCCTGAGATCTTTCCCCCCCTTTCCCTGTTGAGATCCTTTCCCCTCTTTCCCCCCTACGGCCTTTCCCCCCGCTGAGATCTTCTTCCTATTCCTCCTTAAGATCCTTTGCCCCCTTTTCCCTGTTGAGATCCTTCCCACCCTTTCCCCCCTCAGGCCTTTCCCCCCCCTGAGAGCTTCTCCCTTTTCCTTCCTTAGATCTTTCCCCCCTTTCCCTGTTGGCCTTTTTTCTCCCAGATCTTCTCCCTTTCCGCCCTAAGATCTTTTCCACCCCTTTCCCTGTTGAGATCATTTCTCCCCTTTCCCCCCTACGGCCTTTGCCCCCAGATCTTCTCCCTTTCCTCCCTAAGATCTTTCCCCCCCTTTCCTCCCTAAGTCCTTTTCCCTGAGTTCGTCTCCCTTTGCCTCCCTAAGATCTTTTCCCCCCTTTCCCGCTTAAGATCCTTTCCCCCGTTTCCCCCCTAAGGCCCTCCACCCTTCTCTTTCCAAAGTCTTTTTCCCCCTTTCCCGTTTGAGATTTTGTCCCCCCATTGCCCCTTAGGGCCTGTTCCCCCCGAGAAAGATTTCCCTTTTCCTCCCAAAGATCTTTTCCCCCCTTTGCCCCTTAAGGCATTTTTTCCCCAGATCTTCTCCCTTTCCTCCCTGAGATCTTTCCCCCCCCTTTCGCTGTTGAGATCCTTTCCCCCTTTCCCCCCTTCATTTCCTTCACCAGCATGGGCAACATCCCCAGCATCACTTGCATCATCCGCATCCTTGGCAGGCGCTGATGCGGATGATGCAGGTGATGCTGGCGATGTGCCGCTGGAGCGCTAAGGATGCGAAAGCGCACCCGGGGGGAATCGAACACCCCAATGTTTTTCACAAACTGAGTTGCGCAAGCCCGCACAATGAACAGATTTAGTGAAGCGTCTTCGAATCACCGCGTGGTACCCCCCCCCCCCCGCAACAGTCTGAAATGCTGCCCCTTGGGAGGGGTTAGGGGAGGGGTAAAGGAGCATTTCTTATGTCGAACACGCCGTCTGTTGTCGGCGGACTTTTGTTTCTCTCATTTTGTAGTTGTGTTGCTGAAAGTGCGTTTTAACTTAGAGCTCTGCTCTGTTTTAGTGGGGTGATGCGAAGAACACAGTTGTTTGCCAACATACCGAAGGCGTGCACAACGGTTGAAGCTCCCCTTTGGCTTCATGCGGCTTTCTTCGGTGGTGTGGAAGATAGCACTGTGGGGAGCATGCCTGTTGCAGATGAACGCTTTCACTACAATAGTAGTTTCACAGGCGGAGTATTTCACATGAAGATCTTAGCTTGCCGCCCCCGAATTTGCCAACTGGGGCCTAGTTGTTTGGGGGTCGGTCCGAGTTGGCGAATGCAAACTGCCCTTTTGACCCTTTTGGCTTCAACACGTCTTGGCTTAATTCAAGTGTCCCAAGCTGTCAACTGTTCATTCCACGTCCTTGTGATGCAAGTGGGTTGGAACCTCTCTTGTATTCTGTTTGCCGCACGAATTTGGAGAATATGGGTCGTTCAACCAGAGTGCCGTGGATTCTTCAGGTGTGGAATGCACCGTGTAAGGCGGGTGGATGTTGTCCAACATGAGAGGGGCCTTTTGACCCAGCCATGCATGGGGCCCAAACATTTTTGCCACGTGCGGTGTGTGTGTGTGTGTGTGTGTGTGTGTGTGTGTGTGTGTGTGTGTGTGTGTGTGTGTGTGTGTGTGTGTGTGTGTGTGTGTGTGTGTGTGTGTGTGTGTGTGTGTGTGTGTGTGTGTGTGTGTGTGTGTGTGTGTGTGTGTGTGTGTGTGTGTGTGTGTGTGTGTGTGTGTGTGTGTGTGTGTGTGTGTGTGTGTGTGTGTGTGTGTGTGTGTGTGTGTGTGTGTGTGTGTGTGTGTGTGTGTGTGTGTGTGTGTGTGTGTGTGTGTGTGTGTGTGTGTGTGTGTGTGTGTGTGTGTGTGTGTGTGTGTGTGTGTGTGTGTGTGTGTGTGTGTTTTTTTGAGGTTACCTTTTCTGTTGGTGGCTTTAAAGGCAAGAAATCAATATAATCACCATTTTGAGTGGTACGAATCCCTACTTTGGATGGACGAAATCTTGCACCACCTAGGAAACCCTGGTTTCTGATGATTCCCCCTGTAAATACCAACCAAGTTATGGTTTTTGCATGGTTTCAAAGTGGTGCGAAGCGGATTTCGCAACCATCCACAGTATTTGGCCCCTAATTGGCTGTGGGTCAAAACCAATGGGATCCCATTTTGGGCACCACTCATTTTAGCTATTTTAGTGGGATTGCTGGGGGCTGACCGGGTTGTTGGGTCATGGCAATTTTGCCCCATAGGTCCTCCTGCGGCCACCTCGCCGCCGCCGCCTTCCTCTTCGTGGAACCCAAGAAGGCTCAGGCGCCCTTTCCGCTGGTGACAGTCTCCTTCTGACCCTTGAAAAATGGTTGGTCATTACCAAAAAATCTGGGGTCATGGACCTATCTTTAAAGGGTCGGAAGGAGACTCCAGGTAGTTGTGGGGGAGGGAGTGTTGTGGGGGTGATTAGAAGCAGGGGCAAGCCTCCATGGCGCCACCTGCTCTACAGTAACCTTGGGGAATTCTTGGGTACCCCCCAGGCAGAGAAAACCTTTATACCGCAAGCGAGGGCATCCAGGAATCTGGGTAGACTTAGACAAGAGGCTCGTAAGCAGTGCTTACCTTTTGGCTTGGAAGCTCAAGCCACGGTTATAACTGGGGTAACTGGGGGTGGCCCCCTCAAAAATGTTTACATCCCACTTACCTGACGTTGGCAACGAACAGCCAAGTGGGGGGTCTCGGAAGCGGTTTGAATGTGTCTTTTGTGGTTCCACCCCGCCAGGAGAGGACCTGGTGCTCTTTTCATATCGGGGTGGAGCCACAAGAAACACATTAAAACCGGTCCAAAAAAGAACCTACAGGGGGAAGAACAGGTGAAATCCTCAAAAACATCCACAAAAAGCGCGAATCCAAGCCGTTTTCCAGAGCTCCTCTGCAGGGGGAGCTTCGGTGGGAGCGGCATCGCCAGGCCAACAGCGGAATCGCCAGCTTCCTGACTGAGATCGCCTAGAAAAGTCCGGTAGAAGAGCGACTCGTGCCGCAAGAATTCCAAGGAGCCGCCCCAATTCAATGGAGGAAGCCACGCCCCCTTGTTGGCTATATATATCTATATATATATATATCAGTTATACAAGATGCCTATGTATACATATATTAATATATGTATCCATCAGTTATACAAGTTGCTGTATGTGGGTGATGTATGAGCTCACCATGTAACTCCTTCACTGAGGGTTCCTATTGTGATTTCTAGTGTTCGAAGGATTGTAGACGTTGCATACGGATTATACCTATACCCCCGGGCTATAAACCAAATGGCCGGAACCAGTTGTAAGGATCTTTCGGTCTTTCGGGGTTTGCCTTGCAGGGGGGACGCTCCGTTCCATGAATTCCCCCCCTCCCGCTTTCCTTCATATTGTAAATTGGCCTCAAGTCTCGGGAGCGTGCTGGTCTATACAAAATGGCAGTTACAAGGAGCCAACAAGTCGCCAGCCTGTTGCTTCTGTTTGTGCAGGAAAGCTGAAGCTCAACCCGAGAAACCGGAACACCCATTTTGTGAGTGACCAGAGTCGTTCTTGTGCCACTGTTTAAGGCAACAGCCTGGCATGCTTCCAAGAACTTGCACTTGGTGAGGAGCAAAGAGGAGTTCTTGGTGTCTCAAAATCGGAGACCCCCAAAATTCGCGCGCTTCCTGTTGTTTTCCCTTGAAAGCTGCTCAAGGCTACTCAAAAGGGCACACCCACTAGGACTGAGAACCACTCTGGCAACTTGAAGCCTCCCCCCTACTCAAAATACCCAGAGTTTTAGTTGGTTTCGCATGAATACGAAATATGTTTTAGTCAGAGGTTCACATGATACCCGAATGCTCGGAAGCCTGCACAGACTCAAGGAAGTAGATCCGACCATGTCGCAAGAACATTGGCTGAATATGCTGAAACAAACAGCCCACACAACCACACGACTTTCCAAAACAGATTTCAACACGTCATTTTTCAGATTTCATTGCCAGACCTGACTCGTCTTTTGCCCTGTTGCCCTGTTGGGTTTCCTTTACTTGGCCATTTAACCGGAAATTCTGCCCAACAGCAAGCTTTGTGTTCACCTATTCCACATTCGTGCGACGAGTGTGGCCACAGACTATATGTTTATGCGGGAGCAACAAGTGAACCATTTTGCAGGGGGCGGCGAAGCCAAGTCTCACCAAGAGAAGCCACACGTGCGAACCCCGACATGGGCTGGGAGTCAGAGCTGGAATGGACACAGGCTGGACGGTGTATGGTTTTGGGTACCGTTGCCAGCTTGGCTTATATAAAGGGAAACCGAAACGAACGCCATGGTTTGGTGGGTCCCCATTTTGACATCTATTTGGACACACCCAATTACGACCTGGCGTGACCCTTTTTTGCTTTAATCACAGTGGGTCTAGTTTAATCTTTGATGTTTGGGCACTTGAGACATGTGAGGATATGCTAGGTCCCCCAGTAGTGCCCTTTTACCCTTTTTTGGGGGAAGGTCCCCTACTAAAAAAGACTACGGAGAAAAAGGGTACCCTTATTCTGACCTCTCTACTGGAGGACCTAGTATGAAAACCATCTCTCATTGAATTGCACCACACGTTTTCGGTTTTCGGAGGGAGCTATCAAAGTCAGAAGCTGGGAATGCTTCCATTCCAACCACCTGGAGTCTCCTTCTGAGCCTTTAAACAAGGGTTAATGACCCACCAACCATTTTGTAAGGGTCAGAAGGAGACTCCAGGCACTGGGGCAATTTTGGATTGAGCTTGTTGGGTCGAGCTTGCTGCTTTGGATCCAAACAACACATATCCCCATCCTTATTTTGAGTCATGGACAACGCACGGCGAAACCAATCTTCCTCCTGTTTCGGCCAGACCTTTGATTGTATTTTTGACCCCCCCCTTCATTCTTTGGACTCTTTGATGCCATGTGTCTAAGGGTTCATTCCCCGCTCTCTTGACCCATCGTTCGATTTAGAAACCGTCCATATTCTCAAGGGATCGGCAACCATTTTTTGAGAGGGACGGCAAAAGATCACTGTCACGGTCATGATTTTGACCATGTCTGGGGGTTATTAAAGTCAGAAACTGGGGTGTTTCCATTTGGACTACCAGCTTGACTTTGATACTGGCAGAAGAGTGGAGCTGAGGGTATGGCTAGAATGTGTCTATCATGCCCGCTCCGTGCGCCCGGCTCTTCAAAACTCTCGCCAGGCGGCAAGGATGAGGCCTCACTCGCCAAAGTGCGGGTGTGCGTGCGATTCAGGCGCGAACGTTTCTCAAGTTTTCCCGACCTCCGAAAGTCATATTTATTTCAGTGTTGTATAGCATACCTGGAGTCTCCATGACTCCTTAAGAATGGGGTCATTACCCAAAAACAACGGGGTCATTAACCCATTTTTGAAGGGTCATGGAAACTCCAGGTATATCTAAATGTGCAGGTCAGTGAAGGTAATCTATATCAATGTCTTATGCATCCGTTTCTTTCATTGTCCTCCACCGGATAAACATTATCAACCTGCATGTTGACCCCATATTCATCAACCCCAGTTTATTAAGGAATATGTTCCCCTCCAACAGTGATGATTCCCCACTCAACCCCGGGACACACAAAAAAAACAACAACAACTGGGGCTGATTCATACGAACCTCACAGAAAACCCAATCACCTTTTTATGTCGGCGGTTCACGGAGAGGGGCTCCCCGTACACGCGACCTCTGCGGAACGTTGGCCCATCTGCCGAAGTATGCGGCCCTCTGAAATACTGAATCTCGCTTGTGGTTGAGCGAATGAGCTGGGGGCATCCGAACATTTGCCTTTAACTAGGTCCCCCAGCTAGGTGCCCTTTGACCGTTTCTTTTTTTGGGGAGGGTTCCCCTACTACAATAAAGCTCAAGAAAAGAAATGGTACCCTTATTCTAACCTCTCTACTGGAGGACCTAGTGCCACCCCCGCCGCTTTTGTCTAATTATGAGAGGCTTTTTTCTTTTTCCGCACGGGGTCCATTTTCACATCAGCTACCAACAAAAAGGTGTTGTCCTTGTTTCCCCATGGCTGTTACACAGGGTACTGGTAAGGGCAGGAAACCATGAGACGCCCTGTACCCATGAGCAATTGCTGGGTGACACCAAGGGTCGTCTTGGTCAACCGCACTGATTCAGAGCCAACTCGCAAGGGGGTTCCATGAACGATCATGAGTCATAACTCCCTCATTCCAGTAAATATGCGTGTGGTTTGTTTCCGAAGGGCACCTTGTGCAGAAGAGCACAGCACTTCATGTTCTTCTCACTGAAATGACCCTTTTTGTGTCATGGCAACCCAAAAGGTGATGACCTTTGAAGTTTTGGTCCGTAAGGGGCAACTGAGTTTACGATGTTCTTCCAGTTGCGTTTTAGAATTGGTTGATTCTGCAAACCAGGGGAGCAACTGATAAAGCTTAGAAAAAGGTTAGGCAGGGATTGTGAAGGGGTTAGAATTAGAAAATGGAAAGGGGGTTCTGAATGGACTATCAAGTTATACAGTGGGGCTAAACATATACATATATGTGTGTATATATATAGATATACATATATCAAGGGGTTGGGTGGTGTGTTAAAGCACGAGTCTAAACACTTCCATTTGCTTAGGGCCCCTGGAAAACAGAATGCAATTTCAGTAGCAGTAGTAATATATTCCCTTTGATATTAGCGGGGAATTGAATAACGAAATATCGTGAGCAAAGGGGGTTTAAATCGGGGTTGTGATTCAGCCCCATAAAAAAATGGTTGACCCAAATTCGATGATTACAATGCTTAAGCAGGGCTTCTTTTTTCTGGGTCGCCAAGTCTTTCAAAGTTCGGGATCCACTTGCCCAGTGGATTCCGCCCTTTCTTCAACTTGTTCTCGGGGTTCCCCTTGAAACTCAACCAAACAAAAGATGCCGATTCCTTTTTTTTCCCCTGGCGACTGGGCAGAGGGGAGCTTCCAGCCCTTCGCTCTTCGGCTTCGAAGCTCGAGCCAGGCCTTTGCTTCCGGGGGAGGCAGGAGGCCTAGTTCCTAGCCCTGAATGCGCTGCTCCCCTCACCTGATGTTGACCCATGAAAAGTCCGGCAAAAGTGATGACCACCAGTCCCCATTAAAACCAGGGACACCCCCACAATAATCAGCGGGAGTTGATTGATCCGGGGTCAACAGTACCAAAACATTTTTTTTCATGGGGAACCGCCAAATGTAGGAGTGCGTTTGTATCTAGGGGACCCCCCCATTAAACTAATCAATGGTGTTTTGCCCGTGGCTTCCCTTTAAAAGCACAAAACAGGGGTACCCCCAAAACAAGACAGACCTGCATCTACAGAATACCAGTGCTTTCAGTTGCCACTATAGTAGGTCAAAGATAGAGATTTAATAACCTGGTTACCTATCATAGTGATACCTTAAAGCACTGGGCAAACTATGTACGAAGTTAGGCGTGCCCCCTTAACGCTTGGATGTTTGGCCAAGTTACTAACGTTTGGATGGTATACCCACTACTAGCCAGATTAGCTTCACTTCTACAACCAGGCTAGAACTTAGGTTTCTAAACACTTCCTGACTCGGTCAACCACTTCCCCCCACAAAGCCCGGTAGGAACCGCACCGAACGTCATCGCGTTGCAAGGAAAGGCCTTGAGGAGGATTATTGGATTATCTCGCTCCCCGAGTTATAGACTATATATTTTCGGAACATCATTTTAGTGGTAGACAAACAGTTCAGACTTGTTCAGGCCAATCCACTCAGGAAATGAGTTGCAGTTTAATTCCTGCCTCAACAACTTTATGGAATGGCACCAAACAAGAGAGAGACGAGCTGGGTTCTCAGCAGGGTGCCGAACAGCGCATTGTTGATTGACCCAAAGGGCCACCAAACCAGGGGGCTATTAAAAACCTTGAGGGGCCTTTTGTTGACAAACCCTTTAGGGGGTATTAAACCCAAGGGCCGATCAACATAGCCCATGTTAACGGAACAAGACATAAGCACTTTGTCCAAACCCCCTATTTGGGTATGGGTCAAAATTGAAGCACCAGAAAAACCGCTGGTTTTAGTCCTTGGTTCTATTTACCGGGGTTCCATTTCGGATACCCATTTTTGACCCACAGCCATTTAGCACCCAGAAACATCTTGCGAGAAATCCCATCCTGCGAGTCGCCCGTAAGGAGGGTGGCTCACGTATCACCTGGGATGAGGACCCAAGGGGCGGGTGGACGCAAAACAAAGCCTGTGGCAAGAAAGGGCGTGGGTGTTTGATCCCTGAGTTAGTACCTGGAGTCTCCATGACCCTCAATGACCCCAAAACGTTGGGTAATGACCCCATTTTTCAAATGTCATGGAGACTCCAGGTAAGTTGTCAGTAACCTATATATAGCCCACTTTCTTGTCAGTCCCCCCAAGTGGTGTTTGTTAGGTGGCTAACCACTTACTAACTTGGCCAAACATCGGAGAGGGGCGTCTCGTGTTTGGAGTCCGTGTGCTTTTGGGCTTGCTTTACCGGACAGCTCACGAAAAAAAACGGGCAGCATTTCCGCATACTTCTTTGACAAGGCAGAGGATCAAACAGTGAATCGCCACGACAGGTCCAGGTGACCTAAAGACAATGACTCCCCGCACATGGACCAGAAGATCAGACACTGCAAAACGCAATAGCTGAGCTTGTTTTTCAGAGCCGAAACCAGGGTCCCCCCAAGTGCGGAAAGTGGAATATCTGGCACCTGGAGTCTCTTTCTGAGCCTTTAAAAAGGGTTCATGACCCCAGGATTTGGGATAATGACCCCATTTTTTGAGGGTCATGGAGACTCCAGGTACCCTAAATTTGTTGGACCTTTTGGGGAGTTTTGACTGTTTTAGTGGGAATCGCGCAGTTCGTCCTCCCTTTTGCCAGTTTACGAACCGAGATCATGTGTTGCTCCCTGGGAACAAGGGAAATTATGAGGCGGGCCCCCATAATTTTCGCAGGATTTGGGATTGGGGGCAGCACGTTGTGCAGGTTGCAAGGGCCAATGCCTATGTGGAATGTCCGTCCAATTTTTCAGCCAACCTGAAAGGGGCACCCTGAAAAAAACCAGCAACCGTTATGTACTGAAACGCATTTTGGGGGTTGTGTCAAGGGAAATTATGAGGCGGGCCCGCATAATTTTCGCAGGATTTGGGATTGGGGGCAGCACGTTGTGCAGGTTGCAAGGGCCAATGCCTATGTGGAATGTGTCCGTCCAATTTTTCAGCCAACCTGAAAGGGGCACCCTGAAAAAAACCAGCAACCGTTATGTACTGAAACGCATTTTGGGGGTTGTGTCAAGGGAAATTATGAGGCGGGCCCGCATAATTTTCGCAGGATTTGGGATTGGGGGCAGCACGTTGTGCAGGTTGCAAGGGCCAATGCCTATGTGGAATGTGTCCGTCCAATTTTTCAGCCAACCTGAAAGGGGCACCCTGAAAAAAACCAGCAACCGTTATGTACTGAAACGCATTTTGGGGGTTGTGTCAAGGGAAATTGTGAGGCGGGCCCCCATAATTTTTGCAGGATTTGGGATTGGGGGCAGCACGTTGTGCAGGTTGCAAGGGCCAATGCCTATGTGGAATGTGTCCGTCCAGTTTTTCAGCCAACCTGAAAGGGGCACCCTGAAAAAAACCAGCAACCGTTATGTACTGAAACGCCTTTTTGGGGTTGTGTCAAGGGAAATTGTGAGGCGGGCCCCCATAATTTTCGCAGGATTTGAGCATTTTTGGGGTTGACCCGATGTAGTGTTCAGGGGGTTTCGCCCCGGAGGCTGATTTACTTAATGGGGGGGGGGGTCCGGGTTTAATATTAGGGGGTAGAGACTACATTTCTATGACACATCACTTGCCTGGATGCGGGGGAATATGTCGATGCATGTGGTTGCGTCAGGACAATGCGCCTAGGGTGTACGTGGCTCCAGGCGTGGGTGTTCGATCGCTTTCGTCGCGGCATAGGGACCAAACCACAACCCTAGGGTACCGATTCCCATGAATGTCGAACCCATATGAATCAACCCCTGTTTGTTAATACTGTAGGGGATGTCCCTGAGTTTAGTGGGGAATCAGACCACTTTTAACACGCTGGGGTTGATTAATATGGCGTCAACATGAAAAGAATGGCAAGGACCCAGTTTAGAGGATCACAAGCGTTAGCTAAACAGCGGTTCTGTCAGCCCCCCTCCCCCCCCGCAGAGTGTTTGAACGGCATGCCTGAATCGGGAGGGGAAAACCGGGGTCAGCATTTTGTGATTGTTTCTCCTAGGGTTCTCAGGTTCAGAAGCTGAATTCAGTTAGTTCCCTTTGTTGCCCCCAGACTAATATACTCCCAATTCAGTGTGGATGTTGTGGAGGGAATGCCCGCCCCAATAGGATGGGTTCTACTTAGATCCGGGGTCAACATTTGAACGGGGGTGACTTTGGCATATGGGCGCAGAGAAACTTGGCACCCAACGGATTTCGGCTAAAGCCCGAGGGCCCGTCCGCGGTGGCAAGCCCAGCCATCCAGTCCCTGCGGGCGTTTTGATGTTTCGAGTTGGTTTCGGGGCGTTTGGGTGCTTGGGCTTCGATTCAACAACCACCTGGAGTCTCCATGACTCTTGAACAATGCTTGGAAGAACCAACCATTATTCTACCCCCTACTCCAAATACCCACTTTTTTTAGGGTGTCATGTGGACCCTCTACTAAAAAAGGAGGTATGTACCGTGGAAAACCAGGTTATAAAAATAAAAATAAATTCAAAAAACATAATAATAATAACACAACTGGAAAAACGGGTAATTGGAGTGAGGGGTAGGTGATGACCAACCATTTTGTAAGGGTCAGAAGGAGGCCCCAGGAAGTCAACATCTTTCCGCCGGATCAGAGATAGAACGGAGCAAGCCGGGCCTGCAATCAGGGCCTGAAACCATTTAAGATGGGCCGGCTGGATCCGCATCTTTTAATTGTCGAACCTGTTTTTGTTTAAGGGTAAGCTAAACAACTGAATCAGAAAACATATACTTAGTTTCTTTTGGGTGGATTTACCCAAACAGAAAAACTTGGTAAACTATTTTGCATACATGCATATCTTGCAGAATACTTTGCGTCTTTTGGGTGGACGAAGTCTGAGACAGCACCACAAAAGCACATATGAATTGATACTACTTAGTTCTTTTTTGGCGGACCAAATTTGAAACAGAACCACGAGGAAGCAATTAACAATAAAAGATGGACTAAGCCTGAAACAAAACCACGGACAGATCTTTTCTTGCTGGTGCTCAGCAGGGAATGAGGAATTCACACCCATATACACCATCCCTTGGGGTTTCCCTTCAGGGGACCAAAACCTGTATAGGGTCATTTTTTCATGCGCTGCTTGTCTCACCAGCAAGCTTTTTCCGCGTATCGCGTTTTCGTGCGCCAAGTCATAAGTCGCTCTCGGCAGGCCGGAGCGATGCCAAGACCTTCGAGTTTGCAGCGGCCTCGGAGCGTGGTTTCGTGGGCTTATCCTGTGGAACTTGACCAGAGGGGTCCTAGGTCCCCCAGCTAGGTGCCCTTTTACCTAATCTTTTTTTGGGGAGGCCCCTACTAGAAGAGACTAGAACAAAGGGTTGCAACTTAGGTTGCGAACAGCTAGCTCACTAGCTTCTCGGAACACCCAAGTAGGGCTATGAGAAACAGAGGAGGTTTGAACCATGTGTCAGCATGCTAGGCCCTGGTGGAGTATCGGATGTCACTCATCTTTTTGGCCTTGAACTGTACTTCAGGAAGGCTGTGAGTCAGCTGTCGAACACAGTTTCGATATTTGCCAGTGGATCCATTTACCTGCATAACAGGTATAAAAAAAGCCTTCAAAAACCAAGAGAACACTGGCTGGTTGCCTACTATAGTCCATTTACGTGGGAAAGGCAGGTATCCAAAAACAACATCCTTCAAAACCAGATCCACTTACCTGCATAACAGCCTTCAAAGCCAAGAGGAAACTTGCGAAGGGTTACCTACTATAGTGGTATCTTGGATCCACGGCGTTTGGTTGGCCAAAGAAGCCACTCAGACTGTGACGGATTGAGTTGTTTAGTTGCTTCTGTTGCCGTGTTGTGTGTGTGTGTGGTGTGTGTGTGTGTGTGTGGTGTGTGTGTGTGTGGTCTGGTGTGGTGTGGTGTGGGTGTGGGTGTGGGTGTGGGTCTGGGTCTGGGTGTGGGTGTGGGTGTGGGTGTGGGTGTGGGTGTGGGTGTGGGTGTGGTCTGTGTGTGTCTGTGTCTGTGTCTGTGTCTGTGTCTGTGTCTGTGTCTGTGTCTGTGTCTGTGTCTGTGTCTGTGTCTGTGTCTGTGTCTGTGTCTGTGTCTGTGTCTGTGTCTGTGTCTGTGTCTGTGTCTGTGTCTGTGTCTGTGTCTGTGTCTGTGTCTGTGTCTGTGTCTGTGTCTGTGTCTGTGTCTGTGTCTGTGTGTCTGTGTCTGTGTCTGTGTCTGTGTCTGTGTCTGTGTCTGTGTCTGTGTCTGTGTCTGTGTCTGTGTCTGTGTCTGTGTCTGTGTCTGTGTCTGTGTCTGTGTCTGTGTCTGTGTGTGTGTGTGTGTGTTTTCCAGTAGTTTTCTGATGCAGTGGTTGTGTGGTCTTGGTTGCTATGTGTTTTGTTGCTTCTGGCTCGGGGTGATTGGTTCAGGCTCGATGTGAGCTGTTGTAAAGAGGGTGTCCACGACCCCTCAAGAAAAACAAAATCCCTCAGAAGGAAACGAGGTGGCCATAATTACCAAGGGTGTGCGCACCAATGTCCTTTGAAACATGGTGGTTTGGGGTGAGAGGCCCTTTGCTGATAGGCTGCGGTATAATATGTGTTTCTGCGTACGTGTGTGTGTACAATGTCCTTCTCACTCCCCGAGTAACTGGAGGTTTTTGTTTGGTAAGACCATATCAGTGGTAAAGCAGGACAACTTTGTTTTTCATGGTTTGGTTCCAGTTCCTGTGGAAATTCCTCCCTGAGATCCAAGCCACTGAAGCAATGGGGGCTGATATAGCCAGCAGTATTTACCTCAGGATTGTCGTCATCTAAAATGGGTCCGGTTCCTTGGTTGCCATTCTTTTAATGGGAATCGGTTGAACCCCAAGTGCCCTGGATTTTTTGGTTGGTTTCTGTGACGTCACGCATGTCCAACCGCCCCCGAAGCCGATTCGCTGCGAGCGAATCGACTGACCCGAGGATCGGGTCTTCCAGCCGAGCACTTCGCAGCCGGAGGCGGGATGGAAAAGCGAGCGTCTGAGCGTCTGAGCGGCTGCCCGGGGTTCCGGTGCCAAGACTTGGCCAGGTGAGCCACGTCCTCAAAACCCGGGTAGATGAAGGTTAGTAAGGGACAATCCCAGCCATAAATAGTTGCGGCCGCCTTCTTAATTCTTTACATGCTTCTGGGTCGGCCATTTTAATACCGGGATTTGATTGCAACTCAGCTTCGTTGCTAAGTCAAAAAGTGGTTACTTGGGTGTTGGTGAGTTGTTGGTCACCTAGGTTATTACCTGCTTGGTCCCCCGTTCAGTGGTGCTAACCGTGTTACTTTAGGGTTATGACACAGTTGACTAAGCACTCACCAACTCGGCCGAACATCCAAGTAGCCACCTGATTTCACACTGACAAGGTAAAAACAATCCACAGATTTCTTTTTCCTGCCTTTGTGTCAAAGGCAGATCCACGGGTTCTATTGGAGGTCCAGGAAGGTCAACACAACGTAGGTGACGAACTGCCTACGAACTTGGCAAATCGAACACCCAAGGATTTGAATCCCTCTCACACCCCAAGAGGAACATTCGGATGTGCAGAATGGGGACCAAGAAGGTTGTCAGCTGGCACATCCAAAGGAAACGGACCAGGTATATTTCCCCCCTAAGGGTGGGTTCAAACATCGGGCTGATCGTAGGGTAATGTGAGATATTTGAGTTTTTCCCCCATATTTTGGGGGCCATTTGGATTTCCAAGTCCGAAGGGAAGATGACGCCTTTCGGCTTCTTGGAAGAGACCGGAACCTGGAGTCTCCTTCTGACCCTTAAAAAAAGGGACAAAAATGGTGAATGACCCCATTACTTTGGATCATGACTAACCATTGCTTTAGGGGTCGGAAGGAGACTCCAATAAAAACGCGAAGTCGATGGATGAATTGATCAGGTCTTCCAGGGCGCTGGCCTCGAAAACTTTTTGGACGCGGTGATGGAGGGCTACCACGCCACCGTCTTCGCCTACGGCCGGCGGCTTCGGGCTTCGGATTTCGGATCGTCGAATCGGGTCGAATCGGCGGAGTGTGGGGAATGCGCGAAGAGATCGCGACCACTGGATTCCCCACCTGTTTGTTTTTTTTTTGGTTCCTCTGTTCTTTTGTGGGGTTGGTGGAAAGGTCCTAGGGTTCAACCGATTCCCAACGAATGGCCCAAGCGGACACAATTTGAATGATGACAGGCCTTGTTTTAATGAACGCAACTATTGTTTTGATGTTGTTGTTTTTAACCCCAGGGCAAGGGATTCCCTTTCTCACTCCGTGAGTTACATCTCGGACTTTATCCTTGGGTTTTGGACCTTTTTGAGTTGCAATCCAAATGTTTGGGCTTGTTTGTGGCCATCCATGGAAGTGCACTTCAAGTCAACCATCAAGCCTTGTTTCCCCGTGAAAGTCTCAGTGTATCGTGAAAACCCATGCAAGTCTGTCCCCTCCTCACTTCCCGAGTTCCTGGACTTTTGGGAAGACCATTTTAGTGGTAAATTACCAGTTTGGACCTTTGTTTGGCCATGCGAGCCTCTTCTCATGATTTGGTTTCGGGCTTTGTGGGGCGCCGGTATCGCCAGGGCAGACTGGCAGTGGCAAGACCCACACGATGGAAGGGCCGCAGCCTCGGGTGATTTCGGGTGGTTCGGGCTTTGATTCGAGCCGTTCCTCCAGCACCCTCGCTTGAGGTCGAAAAAACCATTTGATAGACGGACGGGGGGTGGGGGTCCTGGAGGATAGTTTGACTTTGCGTCTCTTAGTTTTCAGTGCCCAGGTGAGCTACAATGAAAACCCGGGCCGATGCAATGTAGTAAGGGACAGTCCCGACCAACACGGGTGCCTTCGACGTCTTCTTAATGCTAACCCCGGATTAAGAAACCCCTAGGTGTGCTCCCTTTTAGTGGGGATTCATCAATTTTGGAGGGAACACCCCCCCGAATAATGGGACGGGTTTATTAATCCTGGGTCAACATTAATTCTTTGCATGGCTCTGGGGATCGACCGCTTTGCCGATCGCTTCTGACTGTGACTCAATTGTTTTTTACCCTGCCTGACTTTGGAGCAACCCTGCTTGAGGTGATGACGTTTACTTCATCCTTAGGAGACTTGCAACCGTGGTAAGCGGGATATAGCCATGGTTGTCTCCCACTCACTAAGTACCCTGCCCCTTTAAGTACTGCTTGGAACACCCTCAAAAATGGCCCATGAATCTCATGATTACACGTCCGGCAACAGGGTCTCAAATGTTACAGGTCCCAAATGTTTTTTTGGTTTGTTTCTCATCCATCGCTTGCACGCAAATCGTTTCGCTGTGTAGATTCCAACTGGTTCCAAGCGGCGATCAGTCGTCCTCCGAGGTTCGTGTACCAGGCCGTTCCGGGCAAAGCCCCGCAGGCACGGATGCGTCCCACTCTTTGCCCGCGTAGGGCACACCCCGACACATGCGAGGCTGAACCTATCTTTCGATTTGCTTAAGAATAGCGGTTTGTTTCTGCTGTTGGTGTTAATGGGAATCTATCACTACTGGATATATGCCTGCGTTTTTTTCCAGCTTCAATATATTTGTTTGACTTATCGTCTTTAGGCTGTTGTGTTGTGTTGCAGGGGCGGAAAGACCCACTTTGGTCGCACGTTTGGGCTGGCAAATTGATCGGCAAAGCCGTGTTTTTTTTGCAGTTTGCAGCTTGAGCTTCAGTGCATTCCACTAGTTATCCAAGATCTTTCCAGCATACATTTCGAGCATACCCCAGACCCCAAGGACTCCTCATCATGGGAGGGTTGGGGGTATGCAACTTAGGGGATTGGAAATCCCCAAACCGCCGATCTTTGCCACCAAGGAAGGGAAAGCTAAAATTTGTGGGACACGCTCGATTGTCTAACCACATCCATTTCATTCCAAAATTGTCCAAGAAGTGTGTGTAGTCACGTTTTGTTGCCCAGGTCGTGGTCGTGGGGAGATAGGACTGGTTCTGACATCTTCTACTTTGATTGAGCATGAAACTCCTGAATGGCAAAGAATGGGTATATGAACTCAACGTTATTGTTTTTAATCCTGGCTTGCTTGAGTCCCAATATCCAAAGTACCCTCACTAGACCTTAGAATTACACCTCTCGAACCAGCGTCTTGCTTCTGGGTCCGACCGTTTCTCTGATCCACTGTTCCCTCGTTGTTTCCTGGTTAGAGTTTGCCCCTTTCTGGGTTTGACCTTGGCCAACAAAAAAGGGTACCTAGAGTCTCCATGACCCTTTTTTTATTGGGTCAATGACCCCATGGGGTCATGACTCCTTTTCTAGGGGTCAGAAGGAGACTCCAGGTACTGCAAAAATGTGATGTTCTGATTCCGCTCAATATTCCTTCAGCCCTTATATAATCAAATCCTTCGGGAGAAGACCCAGGTAAAGTGGCTGCAGTTTGAGGGGCTTTCAAAATTACCATGCGAGATGGCTTCCGTTTCGACCATCATTTAGAAGGTACCTGGAGTCTCCATGACCCTTGCAAAATGGGGTGGGTCATTACCCCATTATTTTAGGTAATGACCCCATTTTCAAAGGGTCATGGAGACTCCAGGTAGATGTCTGGAGTCATCATGTTGACTGTTTGTAGGGCTTGTCAAAGTCAGAAATCGGGGATTGTATCCCTTTCACCTACCACTCAGGGGGCGACTTTGGTAAAATCATGGGGCCAGAATGTCTACCTGGAGTCTCCATGGCCCTTTAAAACAACGGGTACGTGACCCCATCATTTTGGAAAATGACGGAGGCTCCAGGCAAAAACCATTGCAGAGAGTCCTCTTTTTGCTCCGAGTTCCGGATCGTGGCGCCTCGCGCCTCGCTCGAGGTGAAGCCCGGCAGCACGCCCAGCGAGAGCTTGGGCCTGGTGCCTCGCAGCATCGAGGGCCTCTTTCGGCGCATGGAATCCAAGGCGGAGACCGACAGCCACTCGGCCGCTTTGGCGGGGGCTTCACCAAAGTCACCCCCTGAGTGGTAGGTGCAAGGCGGTGCAAGGGACACAACCGATTCCATTTTCTGACTTTGATAAGCCATACAAACAGTCAACATGATGACCCCAGACATCTACCTGGAGTCTGCTTCTGACCCTTTAAAAATGACCCCACATTTTTGGGTAATGACCAACCATTTTTCAAGGGTCATGGAGACTCCAGGTACGCGAGTTCAAGCCCCGGGACGAGTTCCAGGCGTTTTTTTTTCGGGGACTAGCTGGGTCTGTCTTTGTTTGAGGGTACTTAAAGGGGCGATCGATTCGGTTCCTCAGGTGAGTGGTTGTAAAATCCATGTGGTTCTACCCCACTTCCCATGGTTAGAATTCTCCGTTCAGTGGGTTATAGCATGGCCGCTTTAAGCATCGAGTGTATGGCCCCTGGTATTGGCTCCTGGTCCTCTTGTAAAGGGCAAATACGTACTCGCTCCCTGAGCTTGCGGACTTTGGTCGCTTGGGTTTGGACCAGTTTGGTGGCAAAGAAAAGTTCAGACTGACTTCTTCATGCCAACTCGCGAAGCGAGTTGCTGTGTCCACCCACGGGTGAAAACAGCTTTTAGGCCGGGCGCAACCGGGCGCTCCGGGTGTTTTTCTACCTGCATTCGGTCTTCTCAGTCCTGGAGTTTATGAACTGCCGGGAGTGTCCTTCTGACCCTTGAAAAATGGGTCAATGACCCCAAAATGTTGGGTAAGCTTTTTTGGGCCTTGACCAACTGAGTCTCACTTCCTGAGTTCCGTTTCGGACTCAATCGTCACTTTTTGGGTCTGGACCATTTCTGTGGTAAATAACAAGTTTGGTCACTTGTTCAGGCCCATCCACTCAGGAAGTGAGTCGTGGTAAACAAAGAGTTGAGTTGTCTTTTCGCGCCAATCCACTCAGGAAGTGAGTTGCTGGTCTCGACTCATTCAGCTTGGGACGGAAAATTGGAATTTTTCATTTGCTCAATAATATGGTTAATCTTTCCTTGTTGGTTGTAAAAGGAATTTATCACTACTGGAAATCATGTTTTTCTCTTTTTTTTTTCCAGGGGTCTTAACCAAATGGATGGAACGGAAGGCGTTCGTCGAGCTTTGCCTCAGGCGAGCAACTCTTTACCTTGCGCCTCTCCTTCCTGCAGATCTACAATGAGCCGCTGATCCAAAGGTGTTCTCGGTGTTCTCCTGGAGCAAGTGCACGTTAGGAAAGCCAAAAGCAGGACATGAATATAAGTTGGGTCCATGGAAGTTATCCCCCTGAGAACGTTAATGTTGAGCCCGGATGAATAAACTGTGTTTGTTTTAATATATATATATATGGGGGTGTTCCTTTCCAAAAGTGGTCTGAACCCCCACGCAAACCAGGGACACCCCCATATTATTAAACAGGGGTTTATTAATCCAGGGTCAACATTAGGGAAGCCAAAAGGAGGAATTGAATAATTGGGTCCATGAAAGTTATCCCCCTATACCCTATACCCCCTTTTTACCTAGAGTCTCCATGACCCTTAAAAAACTGGTTGGTCCTGACCCAAAATAATGCCCTTTATACCCTTGTTTATTAATATGGCTATGGGTCAAAACCAATGGTATCTCATTTTGGGGTAGGTGCACCACCCATGTTGGAACCTATTTTAGTGGTTGGATTGAATCGGATGTTCACTGGGGGTACGATTTGGGTTTTGACCCATGGCCATAGTCCAGTGGCATCAGGGGTTGGCCCAAGCCCAATTCTACTAAGGAACCCCAAGGGTTTTTAAGGGTCCCTTGGCACCTCATGTTTGCAGATTTGAGTCGAATCGGTATTTGCCGCGATCCCCCAAAGAATCAAACCCAGAGCCGTTGTTTGTTTGTTTCTTTCTTTTCTATTTGTTTTTAAGGGGGGATACGGTGTAGGTGGAGTTGATGAGTTTTTGTTTGAGTACATTATGATACATTAAGGGGACCCATATGAACCTCAATTTACCCCGTCAGCTGGAAGCTGTGGGGTCTGTGCCCAGAAATTGGGCGACCCGGGTGGTTTTTTTGGGGGCTTTAGGTTCTGGGGCTGAGGATTCCGCGGCGTATTTGCGAGGTTCGACTGATACCTCGATCCGGTTTCTGTACCAAGGGAACCTCCAAGGGGAATGGTCGAAAGCCCCTTCCGGCAGATTGGTTTGGCCAAGCAGAAGCGGAGGGGCCTGACTTGTTGGGTGGCTCAAAACTGTTTGGTGGCTGTAAAGTAGGAAACCAAAAGAAGAACCTACGGTCCACATCCTAAAAACATGAATCTGCAGACACACGCCGTGTACACCATGACTCATGTGAGTAGGGAATCGTCTCGAGGGCATTGGTGGGTTGTAATCCAGGTGGCCCACCTACGTATTTTCTTGGATATGAAAGCTACCACGGGCTTGAGGTCGAGGGCAAGCTTGACCAAGACCCACTGTCCTGGGAACCAGGAATGGACCCTTCAAAAACTGCCTTTGACTCATTGGTACAAAGGCAGAAGCAAGGAATTGGTCCTTTGGGTGGGTCCAGGATTTGCGCATGCCCAAAAAATGACATGGGAAGGGCCTCTAACACAATGTGGGCTTGTGCTTTTTTGAGGCTCCGCTTCTTTGTGGGTGTTTTAAGACCCACCACTTCGGGGCCCTAAACAACCGATGCCTAGAGTCTCCTTCCGACCCTTGAAACATGGTTGGTCATGACCTAAGTCAATTGGGGAACCTGATCTTCCTTTGTTTCAACCATTGGTTCAATTCCATGGGAGCTTCGGAAGAGTTGACGAACAGCTCACTCCCTGACTTCGAAACGGTACGCGGGAAAAAATAATAAAAAAAAGGCGGATCTTCGACCTGCTGAACCCCGTTCACCTCAGCGGCGCCACAACCGCCGCCGCCGGGCTTCGGCTTCGCTGGAACTCGCGCGACTGGGCGAAAAAGTAAGCCGAGCGAAAATGCACGAGATGGGGGGGGGGGTAAAAAACGGTGTTCTTTGTACCAACCTAGAGTCTCTTTCTGACCCTTAAAAATCGGGGGCATTACCCCAAATAATGGATGACCTACTAGTGGTTTGCCAAGCACTGGGGTATAGCATCTAGGTCCCCCAGCTAGGTGGCCTTTTACCGTTTCTTTTTTAGTTGGGAGGGTTCCCCTACTAAAATAGACGTCCAGAAAAAAGGATACCCTTATTCTAACCGGTTTGAGCCAGAAGCCCAAAGAGGTTGAAGGGTTGGATAGTCCCAGGCTAGTCAACTGGTTAGTAATCCTTTGGACAGATTTGAACGGAGACTTGTATCCATGGCTTTTGCTCTTCAAAAGGATCGATTCCCTTTTTGCCTTTGTGCTGACTTTCCGTGTGACTTCCCTTTTGGTGCCCGCTAGACCCCCCCCCATTTTAGTGTGTCCCAATCAGAAAATCGGACCGGGCAACTGCTTGCTTCCTTCATGTTAACCAACCCTGAACGGTTCCGGTACTGAGCCTTTAAAAACATGTTTTATAGGAACACACATGGGTAAGTCTTTGTGAGGTTGGACCCCCCAAAATGGGTATTCGTCATTTTACTGTCCCCTTAAACCACATGATCCAAGGGGTACCAGTTCCAGAAACACACACACACACACATGTGTGTGTGTGTGTGTGGGTGTACCCTTTCTTGGGAGTATTCTCAAGGGACACAAAAGTAGGCCACCCATTTCCATTTCGTAGAGGATCCAACAAATGGGTTGTTTTCCTTTTGCAAGCACCAAAAAGTGGTACCCTCAAAAAGACGCGTACACACACATGGGCGTGTCTTGTTGTTGTTTGGTTTTTGGTTTTTGTGTTGGGGGGGGGGGTTGTTGTGTTTCAAAGGGAAACACAAGGACACCCAGTCATTTCAAGAGTTATCTCGAAAGTTGACGCTCGATCTTGAGGTGAGGCGGCAGTCTCGGTGGAGAACCTCTTCGTTTTCGAATGCAGGAGACATGTGAGTCACAATCAAAACCCGTGTAAGTGAAGGCGAGTTGCGGCTGCCTTTCTAGTCTTTTAGATGGTTCGGGGTTAAGCAAAATGGTTGTACCGAGAATTTTGATTATGGCACATGTGTCGATTCGTTTGTTCAGAACGCCATGGGGCCTATCAGCCCCAAACCTCCAGTGACTCCAGTGATTCGGGAAAGTGACTCCAGTGGCTCCGGACTGGTTTCATCATGCCCCGTTTTGTTTTGGTAGGACTTCTTTGAATTGTGGCTTCCGTAGTTGGGTTGTGATCGTCTAAGGCAAATCCCGCCAAGCCTCCCTTTCGGTGGAGTTCGCCTTGTGATTTCTGGGTTACAACTCGGGTGGCTAACCACTTGCTAACTTGCCAACGAAGATCCACGTGCCCTCCACGTTTTGTTGGCGGGCTCTTTGTTCAAAGGCACCCCAAATCCAGCGCTCGCAGTTCAAAACACCGTCACCTCTAGCGTTTTTGGGCCTTGAGATGCCCACACTTGACTTACCTGGGTGCGTTTGTTTTTGAGGGTGCACCTTTGTGGGCTTTGCAAGGAAAACCAACAGGCCAATCACAGCTTTTGTGGGTTCCCGGATTTGGACACACACGCAGCTTCTTCTTTGTGGTTTTCCTTGCCCAAAGGTCCCTCGCCTTCTGAAGATGTAATGGCTCGAGCCGAGGGGTCAACATACCTCCTGCTTGAAGTCTTTGGTCTTTTTTTTGCACCACCAGATTGTTCAGTGTTTTTTTCCTTTGAGGGGGGTTGAGAGGTGGGGGGTTGTGTAGGCATTTTGCTCACTTCTTGAGTTCCTCGACTTGAGTCACTTTCGGGTCTGTAATTTGGCCGAAGTCACATGCTTAGGAGGTGGGACCTCTTTTGTGTTTTCCTTTTTTTCTGAATCCCCTTCTCAGGATGTACCAAATGACCACTGTCAGGTGCCTCTCGGGACCGTCTGATGTTTAATCCAAAGGTGCCCACTTGGAGGCTGCAGGCTGCAGATGGTTGAATGACGGGGGCTGAATATTTATGGTGCCACAAACTCCCGTTCGATTCATTTAGGCCCTTATATCGTAAGCATATCATATGGTGCATGGTTGACCTTGGGGTTGACCATGGAACCTGCAGGGGTTCCTCCCAGAAACCAGGCAGGTTTGCTGGAAGCGTGGATGGTCGGAAATCTAGAGGACCATTTCCTACTACTCAAACTGAGCGGTGCCAGGTACCCTGTATAGTAGGTGACAGGAAACTTGCCTTAGCACTGGGAAAGGAAGTCCTCAAGATGAGTTCATTCCCCATTTGTGTGCTTTTTCTTAGGGCTTTTTTTTGGGGGAGGGGGTGCAAGCCCGCCATTTGTTGGGGTCCGATTCCTGTGTTGAGACGCGCCCGTTTGAAGCACGATCCGCAGTGAACATGTGGCGATACGGGAGTGTGAGGACGCCTGAGGAAGCATTGGGCTACTACAAGGCGCACCTTCATGCGAACCATGCGGGCTTTGGGAGAACCCCCCCAAAGAAAAAGAATGAAAAGAAGGAGCCACCGTTCTAAGTGCGTGGATCTTCGGCCAAGTCTTGGGAAGTGGCAACGGCCACCTGGGTTATAACCCACTAACGTGGTTCACCTGTGAAACGGAGACTGATTAGCAGGTGTTCACTTAGGTTGTGTTAACACCTTCCTAGCTCGGAACACTGTAGGTAGTTGTGCTGCTGTGTTTGTTTCTGGGATTTGTGGCACGTCCTATATGATGTGTCACAGCAGGAGACCCCAAATGGGTGGTTTTGCTTTTGGTGTCCCTGTCAACCAACCCTATACAGCCTCTCAAAAGAAGATTGACCCATGTGAACCTGGATAAATCCCGCGGTGGAACGAGTCAACGAGTCAGGGCGCTGCTCTGACAGGGTTGGACCTGGGAAGGGAAATTCAAGGCTCACCAGCACCTTGGAATCAGCTACGCCTTGATTGGTGGTTTGGATTCGGACTTGAACCCTAGCTCCTTTTGAAGCCAAGACACCCCTAATCTCCAAGCCACCGAGCTCCAAACCGCCAATTCGGGGTGTGACTAAAAAACCAGCTACCCAAAACATGGTGCCGTAGTCTGTTTCCCATGGCCGCAGGGTTTGGGTAACGGTGAGCATGAAGACTCGCGAAGGCAACAATGAGAGCCCCAGATATGTTCACTTTATCGATTCCAGCTTTCAGCGCCCCGAAAGATCCTCCTGTCACCCATTTTGAACCCCAAGAAGGGTACATCTTTGGGTACCAAGAAACTCTCTGGGTGCGGAGTCTTTCGGTGCGGGGTGGGGCAAGTCCTTGTCTGGCCTACCACAAAAATGACCTTTGCTCGAGGAACCGCAGAGAACCTGCCGAGTGCCCATACCGGTCACGCTCGGCAAGGGTCCCACAAAAACAGTGTGCCCCTTGTATCTGGGGTGTCCTCGGAAACGATTTTGGATAGCTAAGGTACCCAGTGGATCTCCCGTGTAGATCACCAGCTATTTTCCTTTTAGTTTCTAAGGGGTGGGGAACCCCTTGATTACCTACTATACAGGTAAATGGATCCACTGGTAGGCTCAATAGAAAGCAAAACGTCTAAATTCATACTGTCAAACCCTGGAATGATTCGATTCCCTGTAAATTCCAACCAACAATGGCTTCCTAAGGCTTCAAGGTGGTGCGAAATGGATTTTGCGCCACTTTGAAGCGTATCTTTTTCCGTGTACCCCATGGGCCAAGATGACTTTTGCCAGGTCTTGACGCCGGGCCAAAATTAGCAGCAAAATCCATGGACAGGGCAGGGGACAACTTTAGGTAAGTTGTTCTTGACCCCTTCCGTGGATTTTGTGAGTTATCCCTTTTTTCCCCTTCTTTGAGAGGTGGGCTATCCCTTTTTGTGACTTTGAAAGGAAACCACAAGGAAGCTAGCCATCGTGGGGTCCGATTCCTATTTTTGGACCATTCCCCTGGCCCAGGCGGGCGTCAGGAATCGCACCGTCGCCAGTCACCAGATGAACCAGGCGATGCATTGTGAGACGTTCCGGACATTTCCAGAGGGTCCCCGGCTTGGTGGCTGCCCTTAGCCTTTTAGCTTTTTAGTGTTTCGTGGCAGTTTCCATTTAGCCCACTAAAAGTTAGTCACTTTTAGCGGGGGATCGGAAATCGGGCAGCCCAGCTTGGTATTGGTACCTTCTAACCCACTCCCTGAGTTCCTGGACTCACTTTTCGGGTCTGGACCATTTGAGCGCTAAATAAAAAGTCTGGACTGTTGGCCAACGCGCTTCAGGAGCTGAGTCTACCTTGTCTCCTTCTGACCCTTTAAAGATGAGTCAATGACTCAAAATGTTGGGGTCAATGCAGCAGGAGACTCCAGGTAAAGATGTACTTGAGTTGAAATGGGTCAAAGTGCATCGTAGGTACTTGGTCCCTGCGGGTTTGTCTTGCTTTTTCTCGCTTGGTTTCTACATACATACATAATGTTTCCGTGGACTTGTCTTTGAAACCATTGTCCCATGAAGCACATATTCGGGTCCTTTGCTTTGCTGTTTTTGGCATGTTTTTAGGTTTTAAGGGGTTGCCGGCCGTCTGGTTCCCTAGGTGTTTAGGTTTTTTGGGTTTAGTGGTTGGATTGCCATTTAACTCGACAAGTTAAACTTTGAGCAGCGGATCTGAGGACAGCCCAGACATAGGTCCTTGATGGTTTCTTGTCCGCCTTGCCGCCTTTAATCCTTGGAACTGTTTCGGGGTTATTAACGTCAGCGTTGCCTCCCGTTAATCCACCGTCTGGGGGGGGTGACTTCGATAAAGCAACGAGGCCAGTGTGAAACCTGTGGAAACTTGTAAGTGCGCGCAGGATGCAAGTAATGTCAGCTTTGAGCCTTCTGGAACATGAAAGCTCACCATATTCTTCCCCACTCCTAGCAAAGACAGCGGCTAGTGTGACCAGCAGAGAAACGATGAGCGTGCTTTCCAGATTTGGCTTCGTTCCATGTTTGGCGTTCTTGTGTTTTGTGTTTTAATAAAGTTCCCCACCTTCCCCAAGCCCATGTCGTGAGGACGTCTACCAACTGACCCTTTTCGGCCCAAGTACATCCTCGGAATGCACCAAGCAAGGGACCCTTTGGGTTGGTCCACTGCAAGTGGTCTGGGTTCTGCAGCTAGGTGCCCTTTTTACCCGTTTTGTTCGGTTGGGAGGGTTCCCCTACTAAAATAGACGTCCAGAAAAAAGTGGGTAGCCTTATTCTAACCTCCCTACTTGGGGACCTAGTTGTATTTACAGGGGAATCAGTAAGTGGTTGGCGTCTTTGGGATACTTCACAGTTGTTCGCATGTGTTTGGGTTTGGTGTTTCTTGTGTTTCTTTGTGTTTCTTTGTGTTTCTTGGTGTTTCTTGGTGTTTCTTGGTGTACTACGGTTCTTGTCTTTGCGTAGCCCTTTTGCTGTGCTTTGGCTTACCGTGAACAGGCGAGCAGCCGCTCACACTCCGTGCTGATGCTGACGGTGGAGAGGCGGAGTGACATGGCGTTGTTATGGTTCTGGTCCAACAACAAAAGACAATCATGATAATTAATTGTAATAGAAATGACAATTCACCATGGTGAGATAACCCACAAAAGGGGGTTCTGAACATGTTTCCTTCTTGGGGCTGCGCGGTTCTTAGAATGGTTCGTTTTGGGTTTGCTTGCGTGACGCCACCATTTGAAGAGTAGCTGTGAGTGTCGTGAATAGACTCTGGTCAAATGAGGACCCACCCACCCACCCACCCACCCACCCACCCACCCACCCACAACCACCATCTGCAGCTTCCGCAAGGCGGTCCGGCGGGGAGCGGCTGGAACACAGCGCCAAGCTGACGCTGGTGGACTTGGCCGGCTCAGAGCGACAGGCGGCGACAGGCGAGGGGCTTTCGCGTTGGACGTGCCCGCGGGGGTTGGAGTTGGGTGGGGCGAGGGGGGGGAGGGGGATTGGGTTGGGGAGGGGGTTGGGTTGCGCCCGGCCGGCAGGGGGGGGGGTGCGAGTTCGGTGGGGCGGGGGGTCGGATTGGGTTGGGGAGGGGATTGGGTTGGCCAGGGAGGCGGGGGGTTGGTTGGACGCGACTGGTTGATTGTTTTTTCAGTGTTAGTGTTCAATGCTTCACTATTTTTGTGCTTGCTTTGAACGGGAAGCACTGGAGTGCTCTGTAAGAGAAGCCGGCTCTTTGGGCTGCTTGTGAAGAGAATCCCGGCCTTTTTCTGCGTTTCGGAGGTGTGACGTTTCGTTTTTCTTCCCTGCCTTTGATCCATTCTTGCTTTGGACCATGTTTTTCTCCAGTAAAGAAACCCTCAAGTCGGCTCTAGTCAAAGCCCGGCTTAGATATGGACAGTCCCAGCCACAAATAGGTAGGGCCGCCCTTCAAATGCTGTTCATTGGTTTGCTCAGACATATATGTTTTTGCGGGACCTCCCCCAAGAGAAATGTTGGTGTTCCTTTTGGTTTCCCTTTAAACCAACCCTACATACTACAAAGGGTACCCTCAAAAAAGGACTTAAGACACCCCACATCCAACAATTGCATACGAAAAAGACTCGGATTTGGATCCGCGCAAATTAGCATGTGTTTGAGTGTCTGTTGACTGGGCCCAAACTGTATTTGTTAAGAACCATACCCCGCCATTGCCTGGGTCCAACTCCACAGTTTGATGCCCGGGAGTCTGCTTCTGACCCTTAAAAATGGGTTGATGACCCCATTATTTGGGGGGAACCCCATTAAGGGGAGACTCCAAGTACATGCCTTGATTCTTTGCTTGGATGTTTGTTGCCAGGTTGTGAAGTGGTTAGCCGCCTGGGTTATAACCCACTGCCATGGTTGACTCCACTGAATGGGAGATTTGTAAGTGGATAACTCAGGTTACAATCACAACTTACTCGGCGAATCGAACACCCAACTAGCTTGCCCTTGCAGTTCAGGAGGGATATGTTTTTTTCGGTTTTCCCATTTCACACTCTGATGTCTTGTTCCTGTTCTTCAATTTGCTTAAGAATTGGTTCTTATATTCCTTGTTGGTTTCAAAGGGCATGTATCACCACTGGACATACTCTGGATGGACGAGCACCATTGATTGTTGGATTTGCAGGTGAATCAGGATTCCATGGTGTGAAATGGATTTCACACTCATCCTCCAGGTGCCAGCGGCCGAACTCTGCAGGAGAGCGTGGGTATCAACCAGTCCCTCTTTGTCCTGCGGAAGGTGCGACATGGCGTGTGGGTTGGGCTCTTGGATGTTTGTTCTTGGAGTCTCCTTCTGACCCTTAAAAACTGGTTGGTCATTATCCAAAATAATGGTTGGTCATTACACTCCCTCAGACTAACATGGAAGCTGACAGGAGGGGGTTGGAAGACGACTTTTCTTTGGGGGAACCCCTCTGTCCACTTCCATGTTTGTTGTTTGTTGTTTGTTGTTCAAGGTTACTATCCAAAAAATGGAGTCATGGACCCATTTTTAAAGGTATCTGGGTCATTAACCCTTTTCTAAGGGTCAGAAGGAGACTCCAGGCCGAGTCTTGGCAAAGGGCAAAGGCCACCTGGCTTATAGCTCAAGGTGAGCTCCACTTCGGGGACCAACCAGGTGGTGACTTGGCTTTCTATCAACTGACTAAGGTCCCCCAGTAGTGCCCTCTTCTCACCCTTTTTTGGGAAAGGGTTCCCCTAATAGACCACAGAGAAAGAAAAGAAGTTGGGTGGCCTTATTCTAGCCTCTCAAGTCTGGAGGACCGAGATCTGACCACCTGGGCCGCTGATTTTGTCCTTCGGACCTCCACGGTTGGAGCCAGATGTTTCCCCGTCCCGTCCGCTCGCGGGTTGGTCAAGTGGCCTGCCTTGGGATCCTCGGGGCCCAGCGGTTTTTCAAAGATCTCACCTAGGACCTGGAGCCGAGTCTGAGCCTGAAAAAATGGGAGTGGGTTACCCCAACATTTTTCGGGGTCGTTGACCCATTTTTCTGGGGTCAGATTTGGAGACTCCAGGTAGATGAGGAACTTGTTGGGGGGAAACCGTCTTCAGCATCAATCACCCCGAGGGTCTGAGCGGAGCTTGGCAGGCGGAACCCGTAGCTCGTACACCCCGAATTGTTTTTTTGTTTTCTCGAAGAAAGGGTGTCCAGAAGGACCCATTTTGAGGATGTCCCGAAAATATCCAGCAGAAGCCTCTCGCTTGCACTTGGGGCCAACCTTTTGACTTCGCAGTTTGGTCCATTTTTAGTCAAGCTCCCTTTTATTTCTGGGTCCTTTGGGCAGGCGAGCCCTTAAGGACCCCCAAAACAACAATGAAGCGTGCCGATCATTTGCCGGTTCCATCCTGTTATTTCAAAAGGACACTTAGTGCTGGCCCCTGATGAATGACCCCCTTCTTATTAAGGGGGATTTTTTTTAGCGGAGAATTCTTTCTTTCAGTGTGACCCCTCTGATCGACAAGGGGGAGATCTAAAAAATGATTGGAGGGGTACGACCTGACCTTAAGCGTGCAACCCTAGAGCCCCAACCCATGTCTGCGTTTGATGAACTTGTAACCTTCCCCCCCAATGGTCCACCTGTGAGCTAGGAAAATGACGGGGTATGCTGGTTTTTGTGACAAGTTGATAACACAAGCTTTCGGAAACAAACGGCTTTTCAATTAAACCTACCCATGTTATTGCTAAGCCATCGTTCTTTTCAAAAGCCAGCCGTTTACTGGGTTTCCGGAGGTTTTCTAGAATGAATGCTTTTTGGGAAGCATGGGAAGCTACCCCCAGAACTAGTTGCGTGTTCCCGGATCCCCTTATTGACCCCTTTTTTCCCGCCTTACCGCCTTTTTTTTATACGGGGGGGTTGGTCAACAAGGGGGGTCTTCAGGGGGTTTGCCCTGGGATTCAATCTACCATCAAAACAATGGAGGCTTTTTTATAGGTGACTTCGGCAGAAACACATGGGGGGGTTGGTCAACAAGATTGGAGGTTCACACAGCCACCATTGTTTACCCTTTAGGATTGTCATCATCTGAATTGGGTCCCAAGACCATTCCTTTATGACCCCTAGTGACTTGGACCGGTTTTTCTCGCCTTGCGGGTCGTTTCCTTAAGGACTCGGTCTATTGAGGGTCCAGTGGCGTGCTCCTGGAGTCTCCATAACCCTTTGAAAATGGTTGGTCATTACCTAAAATCATGGGGCTCCATGGACTTCTATCTTTCAAGGGTCAGAAGGAGACTCCAATTACCACTAGAGGAGGTACACAGGGATTCTTAGCTCTTGGTTTTACACGATGGTTTTTGTCTGGTTACCTGCTTTCTCGTGGTAACTTGGAGCATTGTTCAGGTGATCACCTCCCTGGCCAAGAAGTCGGCGTCCAAGTCGGGCTCCTTCGCCTTCGTGCCGTACCGGGAATCGAAGCTCACGGTGCTGTTGCGGGACGCCATCGGGGGCTCGGGGTACACGCTGATGCTGGCGTGCCTCTCGACTCTGGAGGCCAGCTTCGAGGCGGGGCCGGGCGCTTGAATGATTCCAGTGGCCGAATTTTGGGGTTCCCTCTTTTTGGGTTTTAACGAGAATCTATCACCACTGAAAATCATGTAATATATATATATATATGTATGGTTTCCAGGGGGCTCAAGCAAATGGAAGTAATGATTCGGAGTTGGGGGGGTTGGTTTTGTTAGGGTGGTGAAAGAAGGGAAGCCAAAGGAAGACCCACGATTTTGAGGGTGAAACCGGGTTTTTCTGTTTTGAGGGAATCCGTTTTTGGGTGGTGAGCACAGGGAAGCCAAAGGGGAACCAAGCATTTTGAGGTCTTTTGTTGAGGTTTTTTTTTGCCGAAGAAAGGCACACCAAAGGGAACCACATATTTTGAGGGAAGCCTTACTTTAAACAAACCCATTCTCCCCTTGGGCAGTTTCGTCTTTTTCAGGCTTCCTTTCCTTGAGCGGTTCCTAACGAATCGTCCGGCTCCTGAGACGTTGGTTGTTTTCAGTCGGATTTAGTGGTTGGGTTTCTGAATTTCACCCACAAGTTAAACTTTTGGCAGAGAATCCGAGGACAGCCCAGTTTCTGGTGGTGTAAAGTGAAACCAAAGGAAAACCAAGCGTTTTCTGGGTGAAACCTAGTTTTGGACAAACCCGGTTGCGCCCTTGGGCATTTCCGTTCGGAGGGTTTGCGCTCTTCTCACTATGTTTTCGAGTTATGTTTCGGACTTGAGTTACTTTTGGGTTGGGACCAATTGAATTAGTGGCAATCAGACAGTTTGGACTTTTTTGACCACTCAGAATATGCGTCTTTGTCTGTGCCAGGTGCTCAGCATTCTTTGTTTTTGGCGAGTTTGCGCAAAATTTGGGGGGCGGTGGAGATCGGCTCAGGTGACTACCTTTGCAGGTATATTGGAGATTTAGCAAATTGTGACTCCTGGAGCCCCTTGTTGTTTGCGGGTCTTTTCACTGAAACAGAAAGGGAATCGGTCCATTATTTGGGTGTCCATGTGAGCCAAACGTGATGCGTCAAACATGTGTGTGTGAGTTTGCTGGTATCCCTTGAATCCTGCCCCAAAAAAGGGCCTCATATGCATGTGTATACATATATAACACATGATATTACGTTATAAATATATATATATATATAGCAAAAAACATAAAATGAAAAACAACGTTTGGCAGACCCATGTCAGCGCAAGGAGAGCCTCTCAACTCTGCACTACGCCTGCACCGCGGGATCCATTCGCAACCGCCCCGCGGTGAACCTGGACCCAATGTCTCAGCTGGTGCGGCGGCTCCGCCAGGCCGGTGCGATGGATCAGCGCGGGTTGGGTCGCATGGATTCCGCCCTTGCGATCGGTGCGAGAGGTAGGGAATGACCTCATGTGAACCCCAGATTGATCAACCCCTGGTTGATTGATAGGGGGGTGTCCCCTTTTAGTGGGGATTCATCACTTTTGGAGGGAACTCCTCCCCGGGCTCCTTTGCCTAGGTCCCCCAGCTAGGTGCCCTTTCTCACCCCTTTTATGGTTGGGAGGGTTCCCCTACTAAAATAGACGTCCTGAAAAAGGGTACCCTTTTTCTAACCTTGCTACTGGAGGACCTAGGGTAGGGAACGGCCTAGGCCGGGTGTTGGTTGAAAGGAAACCAAGTCGGGGATGGTTTGGTAGGGGTCATTCCAACACAGTCATTCCCTGCTGAGAACCAGCATCTTTGTGGGGTTTTGGGTTCCCCTTTAAACTCAAACCAAAAAAGATGCCATCCGTTTTTCCCATGGAAATCCACTGAGCATCTGAGGGGTTGCCAAACGGAGCTGACCCTTTTTTAATTGGGCGGTTCCCAGCGAATCGTCCGGCTCAACTGAGGTTTTTAGTGTTTTGTAGTTCAGCGGGTGTTTCCAAATTCACATCGCAAGTTACACCTTGGCAGGTGATCTGAGGACAGCCCAGTTCAGCTTCTGCATTCCTAGGTTTGCGTCATTCACTTGTCCACAAGGTACGAGTGGCTTGCACCTCTGGGGGTCGAAGTAAAGCCATGTTAAGCACAGCCGCGAACAGTGCTGGGAACCTGGAGTCGCCTTCTGACCCCAAAATGGGGTCATGCCTCTTAATTTTGGGCACACGAGCCCATGAATCAAGGGTGAGAAACCAAAGGACAAAATGGGAGCTCCTGAAGCCTTTTCGGGGGTGATTGTGAGGGTTGGTTTCATGTGAGGCAAACCTCCAAAACCCCGCGCTGCGGCGCTTTTTTACGGTTGAAGTGCCCCCTGGGTTGCACACTTCTCTGTGAGGTCCTCGGGCAAAACATATGAACCCACGCAGTTCATGGGTTTTCTGGGCCAAAGTAGAACAACACACAGCATTTCCCCGGCAAAATGAACCCCACAACTCCATTCCTGGAGTCTCCTGACTCCAACACGGGCCCTTTTGTCCATCAATATTAGGAGTCATGACACCATGATTTAAGGGTCAAGAGTAGACTACAGGTAAATTGCGGTTGTGGGGTTTATGATTTTGGGGAAATGCTGTGTGTAACTGTATTTCGCTCCAGAACCATCAACTCGGCTTCTTTTTTGCTCATTTAGGAACACTATTTGGGCCCTTACACCTTGATCAAACTTAGACCCCTGCGTAAAGTTGTTGTCTTGCTGGTTGAACTTTGCCGGCCGGTCAAATTGAATACTGTTTTGAGTGATTGAAGGAATGCAGGCCAGGTACCCTAGTACGTAGACATGGTAAACCCAACGTCTACGGTTCTCTTAGTTGCTTACTCCCCATGGGTCTGGACACACAGACAACATCTAGGTTCGATTGTTCTAGAGGAGGTGGCCTGCAAAAACCAGCCCTTCCAAGTACCATAGGTATCCAGGTCGAACCCTTCTCCGTTTTCCCGTTTTGAGCTTTCCTCTGAAAACCACAAGAAAGGGTGCCCTCGAAAAGAGGCACGCCCTCCTTTTGTCGAAGTCCATTTGGGCGGAAATGAGACGGCTTGGACTTTTGTTTGGCCAATCCACCTTGGGGGTGGGACGTTCAAAATGCTGCGTCCCCTTAGGATGGTTTATGCAAAGGGAAGCCAACAGGAAAACCGAAAGCCAAAACGCTTGGCGCTTACTCCCCATCCGAGATTCTTTTCGCACCTGAGGCTAAAACAAGCTGCCCCATTTTGACACGTGCCTCCTTGGAACGCTCATCTCAAACAGCCAAAGGGCAAATGGGCAAAGCACCAAACAACCCTCAAACTGCCCTCAAACATGCTTCCACTCACTAATATGTTGGGGTTGCACTACCCTTCAACCCGTTTTGAGCGCCTTTTTTTTTGTCACGACGCTCGGATCGGAGGAGGTGCAGAGCCTAAAGGGCCAGTTGGAGGCGGCGCAGAGGTATGCCACTGGGCTGACAATTCGGCGCCGGAAGTTTTGACGGAAAACTTTGCGGCAAGCGTTGCATCTCAGTTGGTCAACCAAACTGAATCACAAGAATCTCGGGGTCCACTTCACACAATTCTCAGTTGCCCAAGGCCGTTTGAGCCTTGACTAACCTGGAACCCCCATTGGACAGCCGCATCCTTTCTTCTGCCTTTGACCCACAAAATTGTGGTACAAAGGCAGGACAAATGCTGGTGAACAGCTCTATTCGCTTTGCTGAAGTCAAAAAGTGGAACCCTGGTCTCGGGTCGTCGCGGGCGGTCTTGGGTCCCCGACTATGCCGTCGATCTGAAGTTCGAACCACTCATGGACTACTCGGACCCTTTGGGCATTGTTGCAGGTAAGCCTTTGATGTTTTTACCTCAGAGTGTTACAGGATCGTATAGTGGATCCATTTACCTGGATATTAGGCTTCTCACCCTTTTCAAACTTAAACGGAAAATTGCTGGCTACGACTATATGGGTGTTTGCCTGTATGGTAAGTATGTAGCAGGCTACCTACTATATTAATCTAGGTCCCCCAGTAGTGCCCCTTTACCCTTTTTGGGGGAGGCTTCCCCTACTAAAATAGACGTCCTGAAAAAAGTTGGTAGCCTTATTCTAACCTCTCTACTGGAGGACCTAGTAATATATTAATATATTAATACCTAGACTCTCCATGACCCTTGAAAAATGGCTGGTCATCATGTAAAATAATGGGTCATGGACCTATTTCAAAGGGTCAGAAGGAGACTCCAGGAAAAGCATGTGGGTTTTCCTGGGATCCGTGACGCGTTCGCCGACCGCTCGCCGGAAGCTGAAGCTGAGGTGATCCACCTCACGGGGCAGCCCATCCCTTTGGAGGTGCTCCAAGGCCTGCTGAGCGAGGTCGATGCACATGGCAAGTGTTGACGCCATACCTTCCATTTGGTTAAGAGTTTTTTTCCCCTGTTGGTTTTAAAGGGAATCGATTTTACCACTGGAAATATTTGCATTTTTCTCAGGGGACATAAGCAAATCGAGGATACTGTGGGTGGACGAAATCCATTTCGCACCACCTAAGAAACCCTGGAATGATTCGATTCCCTGTAAATGCCAACAAACAATGGTTTCCCATGGTGTCAAAGTGGTGTAGGATTCCGTCCACCCACAGTATGAATCAACCAACATGTAACATGTTGTTAATACAGGGGGGTTTTGTTGATGGCATTTCAATATGTGGGAACTTTGGGTTGGAATAGTTGGTTGATGGCATTTCGACATGTTGTTGATGGCTTTTCCAGTTGGAAACGTATACTTAAAGATGATCCCCGAAAGAAGCATCACCCCAGAGGGAAACTTTTAGATGATGCTTACATCCAACTGAACAGGGACAAATGCAAGTCCGATTCCCTGAAAAACCAACAGGGACAAATTCAAATCCTGAAGCACAAAGCTGGTGCCCAGCAGGGAACGTGGGAATGAACCCAGGCATTCCCTGAAAGCAAACCAAATCGGGGATGGTTTATCAGGGTCATTTCGACATTCCACCTTTTAAAGGGGCGATCGATTCAGTACGTCAGGTAAGTGGTTGTAGCAACCATGGTGAGGTAACCCACAAAAGCCATGTTTAAAGGTCTCCGAAGGTTCTAACCAGGCTATCCTAACCGCACAAGGTACCCTGCCCCTTTAAGTTTTGCACATGGCTAATGTTGACGCCAGCCTTTTCTCTTGGTGTGTCCCAGCCATCTGGTTGCTTAGCTTGTTCGCCTTTGAGTCAGTTTAGTGTGGATTTCCAAGTTAAACTCTTAGCAGGGGATCTGAGGACGGCCCAGTTTTTGATGGTACCCTTGTTGCATTGTGTTGAAGGGAAACCAACTTGAAAGCCACAAATTTAGGAGTCCCCTTTAAAACACATACCCGCATGCCTGGAAGAAGACAGTTCCAGGGGTTGACTCCCCATTCTTTTCAATCATCGTTCTTTTCAAAAACCGGTTGTTTCCCCCTGGCTTTTTGATGGTTTCCTGAAAAGAAGGATCCCTGGAAAGAATGGGGAAGGTACCCCTAGAACAGTGGGTATTTGGAGTAGCGGCCACGTTTGGAAGTGCTTAGACTGGTTGCAACCCAACTAAAATCAGGGCCAACTCTACTTCGGAGGCTTGTAACAGGGTTACGACTTAGTCTAGGTCCCCCAGCTAGGTGCCCTTCTCACCCCTTCTTTGAGGGGAGGGTTCCCCAACTAAAATCGACCACAGAAAAAAGCATGGTACCCTTATTCTAACCTCTCTACTGGAGGAACTAGTAGATTACCAACGTACTAACTTGATTTAAGACTCAAGCTCACTTGCCCAAAGCGAATCAACCTTTTGACCTTTTGGTTTTCTCATTTTGGCAACCATTTTTTAGTATTGGCAACCCAAAAGGTTCACCTTTTAGTTCCAGGTCCTTTGGGCAACTGAGCAAGCCACAGGTTGTTTCAGGTTCCAGGTTATCCTTGAGTGGGAGACTACCTGACAGAACAATTTCCTCTTGCAGGTTTCCCTATATTCCCCCTGTGGCTTGGGACTTCATTTGTTTGGACCATGAAGGGGAGCTTCCCTAGGGGTGATGTTGTAAGGGAACATATGGCTGTGGGTCAAAGCCAATGGTACCATTTAGGGGTTTTCGGTGCACCACCCATTTTAGAACCTATTTGAGTGGTTGGATTGGGTGTTCACTGGGGGTACGATTTGGATTTTGACCCATGGCCATATAGGGAAACGGGACATACAGCCCAGTTGCTCAGTGGCTCCATTCTTCCCTTTATTGGAGAAAGGTTCCCCGTTAAGCTCAACTAACTAAAAAGGATGCCCTTTTTTCCCCACGGCCACTGGACATCTGAGATAGGGAACCCTGGTGCCATGTTGGGAGAGATCTTCTGAGGCAACGCCGCTCCGCCCGAGCCGCCGATGCTGCCGCCGTATGCGTGTTCGGCGCCATCGCCGGCAGCATCGGCGACTGCGCAGGCGCCACAGGCCGGTGGCCTATTGTCAATATGAGCTAAAGTGGACATGTGGAGTAAGGGGGTAGACTAAGACTTTAACAGACTAAACATGAACAGCATCATACAGAACCTGCATTTCAGGGGCCCCTGTGATCGTTTGAGGCCCCCCCGCTGTCCCATCTTGCAAAGTAAGCCGCCAGGATTTGACCTGCGCGTATCATAGTATCATGTATGTATATAGTATACATACATGTATATGTACACATAGAATAAGATATATCAAAGTGTATGTATATATATATATACACATTTAAGTGCATATATGCCTCTGATTCATGCAATTAATTTACTCAGCTACACAACCATTTTTTTGTTTAAAAACAAAGACAAAAAAGAAGAAACAACATGGACAAAAAGGTACAAGGGGAGTAAATCTCGACTTCCGCAAGTTCGGACGAACGGGTTGTGGCGTGTTTTGTTTCCCACTGCAGCGAGTCAGGCGGCGCCAGCGCCAGCTCCACCGCCCCAAGCGGCACAAGCGCCACAGCCCTCGCCCCGAGTCTTTCGCCAGCCTTCGGATGCCTCGGAGGAGAGGGTTGGCCAAGAGGAGACATGGTATCATGTGGGGGGTCCAAGGTGTTTTGAGTTTTTTAGTCCTCCTGGGGGCTGAACGGATAGGAAGCCGGGTCTCGAGATTTGGGTTGGTTTCCCGAGATGGCATTCCTTTGACCCCTACCGTTTTTGTTATTTTGGAAGTAATTAACCAGGTGGCTCCCAGCCATCCGGTTTCTTAGCCTTTTAGCTTTTTGGTGTTTAGTGGCAGTTTCCTGGCACCTAAGGAAAACCATCCATGGTAAAGCCAAGAGGTAAAAATACCCGTTTACCTACTATAGTCTAGGTCCCCCAGCTAGGTGCCCTTTTCTCACCTTTTTTTTTGGGGAGGACTCCCCTACTCAACTAGACTACAGAAAAAAAATGGTAGCCTTATTCTGACCTCTCTACTGGAGGACCTCGTGCTATTCCTTTGACCCATACCGGAGACGGTTGCAAGTAGTTTCAAGTCATGAATGCTTGGGACTCATTCTTGTGGTTTCATTTGGATGTGTGTGTATGTTTGCCTGGAGTCCGCTTCTGACCCTTCAAACATGGTTGGACACTACAAAAATTAAGGGGTTACCCCTTTTTCTAGGAGTCATGGAGACTCTTTTCACTGCATTTCCTGTACTTCCCTTTTTGGAACTTCCAAAAGTTGCAGTTTCAACAGAAACCACCAGTAAGTTGCAACAACCATAAGTTTGGGTAAATAAGCCATGTTGAGGGGAATTGTTGAGATCCAGATACATTGCATTGATCTGCCTGATTTGGAGGTTTGAACCAGCCTGCATGGGTCATCAAGCATGGGATGGTATGGGCCCATTCTTCCAGCGTGCCCCCTTTGATTGATAACGGGGGAGAGATATGAGTCTGCCTATTTTATAGCGAGCTCACCGGTTCGGGGGGTTAACGAGATCACCATGACAAAGGTCCTTTGCTTGGGGAATTCCGGGTTTTGGAATTATAGCAACAATTGCAGAATGTTGGCCATTGATCTGCCTTTTAGAGCTTTGAACCAGCATTAAGCATTGCATGGACCCACGGGGTCATGAAGGGTTCCCCTGTGGTGCCTTGTTGTTGGAGGGGGTGCACTTTGAATCCACTACCTGGAGTCTCCATGACCCTTAAAACATAGGGCCATGCCCCCATTATTTAGGTCATGACCAACCATTTTTAAAGGCTCAGAAGGAGACTCTAGGTACCAAGAAAAAGCGTGCCCTGTTCTCCCGCCTCAAAGTCCACGAGTCTGGGCATTTCTTTAGAGGAAGCGACGCCGCGCGCCGCGACTCCGCGGGCGCCGGCAGCGCCTGCGCCGCCTACGCCTGCGTCATCAAAGTATGAGGAGGGAGGCCAGAGGGCGGGAGGCTCATGGACCCTAGGGCCCTTAGGGTTGTCTAAGTCACCCAGTGCTCTTTACTCTTCTTTGGAGGGAGGGTTCCCCTACTAAAATCGACTGCCGAAAAAGAAAAAGAAACAAGTACCCTGATGCTAACCTCTCTACTGGAGGACCTGGTTGTCTGTATTCGGCATTCTCTGCGGGGATCTGTGAAGTTATGTGAGGGGCTTTCACAGCTTGTCTGGGGGCCGCAGGTGGGAGCTTGCAATGACAACCCTAAGCCCTTTTTTCAAATGGACATCGGGGCCTTTGCAAGAGGAGGCCTCCAAATTCCCCTGCAATTCCCCTTGGGTTGCCACTTTTAAAGCGAGGCTGTCTTGGTAAGGTGATGTTTCAAGGAGTACTATAAGGGGCGGAATAGTTACACACACAAACAAGCTTTCTTATTCAAGTGCCTCGAGCCCACCTATCCAATCTACCCCTTTTTGTTCCATTTGTACAAATTTATTTTCGGGGCATGTTGGCAGAAAGGGGTATATGATCATTGGGGGTCCCGGGATTCTAAGTGTTTAGGTCCCGGTGAGCCCCTTCACTCCAAATATCCCGTTTTGTGAGGGTATCATGTCAGCCCCCAACTGAAAAAGGAGGTATTTAATATATGGCAACCCGGGTTTTTACAAAGGATGCCCTAAAACAAGGGCATTTAAAGTAGGGAGTATCTTGCTGGTGCTCAGCAGGGAATCAGGGAATGACCCTGTATACACCATCCCTTGTAGCTTCCTTCAAGGGAATTTCCAGGTTCTTTCCATTTCTCATTCCCTACCTAACGCACTGATCCCAAGATATCTTCAGAGCCCCACACAATGTTCCATGGACAACCAGGTTCTTCAACAAATATTATATCACCATGGGTATTTGAAGTAGGTTTTCACACAACATGTCCTAAAACCGAGGGTGTTTCGAGTAAGTACGGTCATGTTGTGTGATAAGAAATACCTATTCACTTTCGAGACTCTGGGAAATTTACTTTCTGGCCCAGCAAGAGTCTCGTTTCTTTTTTAAAAAGATTTCTCAACACACTGAAGGGCCATATCTTCCGCGCGCTTCGACAATTCGGCGGGGCTCGGCGGGGGGAGCCAAAAAAGCGATGGGGCGCGGAAGATACTCGAAATGCCCTTGGTTTTAGGGAAATTTAAATATGTGTGAAAACCATTGTTTTAAGGTATTTGTTGAAGAAAAGCAGTGGGCCGGAGGCGTGAGCCGGGAGCTGCTGGAGGAGCGGCTCCTGGACGCCGTGGCGTCGCTGCGGCAGTGCAGCAGCGAGAACTTCGCGCTGCGAAGGAGCCTGGAGCAGGCGGTCGAGGCCGCGGGCTGCGGTTTTGTATCTATGTCAAAACCTGACCATAGAGATTTGGGGGGTTCTCCGACTTCATTTCTTCCAGAAACAAGCCCAAATACCAACAACTGGTGGGACCGGGGCTTCATTAGCTTTGGCTCCATGGCAAGGTTTTTTGGGGTTCTCTTCATTGTTACTAGGGGGCGGCAAAAAACAACGCTTTTTGCAACCATACTAAGAAGACTTTGGTGCATTTTGCCAAGGGATGTTAAGACTTGAGAACTGTTTGCCAACTTAGTTGATGGTTTTCCGTATGAAACCACTCAGAGTTGAAACAAATCGCAGAGCAGATTTCGCAACCGAGAAATGAAACCCGGGCATGCACCCAGCGAAGGGAAGCCGAGGAACCACCGATTTTGGTCTTACCCTCAACCTGTGGATCTTCCACCACGAAATGCAACGGTGGAAGCCATGGCTTGGTAGGTACGTTGGGGCTTCGAATCATTCCAGGCTTCGTTCACAGGGTGTTGATCACAGAGGGGGTTTATCCAACCACTGTGATACTTTTGGGAATCCAACCTCTTATGGGGGTTAGTCTTGGGCCCTTTTTGTTGTATCGCAGATTCGTGGATTCCATTTCAATCACAGCCCTGCAATTCTGTTGCCCAGCGCCCTCTGGACCCTCCCTCCGAAATCAAAAGTAGACTCCTCCATCACCCGCACCCGGTAGATCCGGCTCCGCGCTTTGCGCAGTGCCAGCTGGTCCACATCCTTTGGCCCAACAAAAGAGTCCCCCAATAGGTTCCTCCTAGAGGGACCTCGGGACCCGCAGCCGAGTTTGTTGCGGGCCGTTTGGTACCTCCCTGGACTGTCAAAGGACCGATTCCTTCTTTCGACCGAAAGGTAGCACATCTTCTTGGAGAAGAAAGGAAATGGTCCATGAAATTGCAGGTATTGACCAAAGGGTTCCTCCAGTTCTTTGACTGCCTGGACCCTCAAAGGACCGATTCCTTTTTTCTGCCTTTGGGCCATAAAAAAGGGATACAAAGGCAGAAATAAGGGATCCTTTGGGGGTCCGGGTGACCAAAGGCTTTTGGCAACTTGGTGAATCGATCTTCCAACAGAATTCCTGGTGGCTTGTTCTAGGCTCAAACTTGGATACCCTCGGCTCAAGGGCTTCCTTCCAAGCTGCAATGGGAACTGGACAAAATATACCAAATATGTACCAAAAAGGCCCAAACAACATATACAACAATTAAATACATACACATACATATACATATACATATACATATACATACATATATATATATATATATATCCCTGACAATCCAATGTATGCATATATCGCCTACATTGGCCGACGCCAGCGTTTTTCAGCTACATTGACCGATAAACCTGAATGTAGCCAATTTTTGGGGACATTCAAACCGACAACTTCCGACAAGGGTTCCGACAAGCCTTCCGACAACAAGCTCGCCTCAATTTCGACGACTCTATCCGACGACGCCCTCCAACCACCCTTTTCCAACGCCTTTCCGACCGCTAACTTAACTCACAATGCAGGAAAATACAAAGGCGCGCCGAAAATTGATGTACGGACAAAACTTAAACTGCGAATGACTGGCAACAGCTACAGGGCACAAACAGGGCACAAAATGACTCGAGCCAACCCCGGCTATCATTGTCAGTAAATGTTGGTTGCCTGGCACGCAAAAGAAGGAATCCACTAGCATAGTGTAGCAGATGCCTCTGAGGGCTTCGATTGTAACGTTAACCTTTTTGATGGGCTGGCTTGCTTGACGAAACAGTGCGACGACGAAGCACATGTGCGATAGTTCAAACTTTTCAGGCCACGCCATGAAGCACATTTCCAGCGCAGGATCACACTAAGGCAACGCCGGTTAGCAAACATCACTCAACAAACATAATTATTGCGCATGGAGGACAACAACTCCTTGCAAAACACCTCGCAGCAGGAGATCCCGCCAGTCACTCTCAACAAAACCTATCCAAACGCTCATGGGGGTTGATGCCCCCCAAACTAACGATGAAGCAGAATGATGTTACATCGTTGTTGTCCACAGGAACACAATTTCGTCAACTTGCCCGTGTGTAGCTTAAATGCGTGTTGCTTCCTGATTGCTTGCAAGCTGCAACCTCTGCCTTTGCGAGCTTAGTTGCTATTCTGTTTGATGCGTGCCTACGCAGGGGCGATGGGTCATCATGACAAGCTTGTTCGCGGGCCATAAACCGTTAACCGAAGGTAAGGGGTCTAATTTCCAACGATCACATCTCCAACCAAATACTTGCTTAACACCATGCCGCAACCCAGTCCAGAGCGCAGGCCCAACTTAAAAAGCCTTGGTTGTTCAAAGCAGGTGTTTCATTTCTTTCCAGGAGGCTCACTTTAAACGCATGCTAGCCTGCTAGCAGTTCCCAATCACCATTCGAGCGGCAACTGCTTGCCAAGCGAAATTTCACTCGTCAGATAGCGATTAAGGCTCTAAGCCTGCCATGCCCCCATGCCGCAATGCAAAATTCACAGACTTAACAAAAAACAAATTGCTGTACTTAACAAACGTGGATGTCAAACGAGATGTGCTGGGAAGGGCTCAAGCGGCGGTCTTGAGGAGAATGATTGAGACTGGACGCACATGACGCAGTCCAAGCCCCATATGTTGCTTTGCAAGGACTCGGTTTTTTGGATGAAATCTAACTATAAAGGACACACGTAACATGTTTGTCTATTGCTCTCCTTGAATAAACATGTCCTTGTCAGCTTTTCTGCGAATGTTTTGGGCTCAGTGCTTTGCCCTCATTGGGCATACGCGCTAGTAAGCCATTTGTTTGACAAGCGTTTCTCCGCTGTTTCTAGGCCAGCTTGCCAGCTGACGCCAACAATCAAGCCACATCACTTCCAACTCACGGCGCCAACAAAAATCGAGCCTCGTCCGACGTGTCATCGCGCGAAATCACGCGTTGCTTCTCGTAAAACGCGTGGACAACACACGAACACAGTCCGGCAAAAATTCACGCTATTTCACGCTATTTCACGGTTTTCCGTTAACGTAAGCAAAAATAAGAAGACAATCCGACAACTTTTCACGCCAAATCACGCCAAATCACGGTTTTTCGTTTGCACAAGCAAAGGACAGGAACACAATCCGAGAAGAAGTCACGCAAAAACAAACGAAATTTGTTGGGTCGTTTGCTCCAAATCGCTAAGAACATGGTAGGGACATACTTTGGTCAGCCAGCGGGAATAAACGGACCTTTGCTGAACTGCTTTTGGGGAGCCACATAGCAAAAATAGGTACTTGTTGGGCCTTTAGTAGACGTTCGAACTTCATTGAAGAGTCCTTTGCTGACAGGGAAGTTCATTCTTGCGCGGCAAGCTTTGAATAGGCAAGACTGAGCCTTTTGCATGGTTGATGCGAGCCCAGAGCTGATGCGAGTAGACAATCCGGATGCTGAGTCTCCAGCATGCTAATCAATACTCAAGAGCTCTGAAGACATGCGTGCTAAGCTTGGTGGCTCCTTATCCGAGTTTACATAGCACTTAGTATTGGCAACCTAATAATTGACATACATGTCGCGCGTGCAGCATCATATATGCCATGCTCAAGCGGCAAAACGCCAGGTCTGCCCAATCGCAATGCAGTCATTGTAAACCTACAAATAAGAACACTGCTTTATGTTCTGAGCTTAGATATTCATTATGTTGAGCTGCATGTGTACCTAAAGTCTTGTACATGTGTATACACAATAAATTTGCACATACATAAGATATGTGTGTCTATGTTTTGTTTAGCGGAATTAAAAACAACGCTTTTTGGTAAGATAAAATTGGAGTTTCTTGTTGGTATGCTTCGACATCTTGCTGCGTAGATTGAGCACACTTGAATGGCCAACAGTTACTGGGCGGCAGTTGGGAGTCGACTCGGTAGGCCAATTTGGTGCGGCGCTCCTCATATCTCAAACATTCGGCACAGCCAGAAAAATGTCCATACTTGCAATTGCGTGTAGACTGTAGTGTTGTAACATAAATCCCTTACAGTTGATAGATGGCTGTGCTTTCCAATGCGGCTCAAGGTCGGCAAGTCCGTTCCTTTGGCTCAGAGCATGTTAAATTTGTAGGGTTTTCATTTCAAATACGCATAACTCGAGATCAAAGCACGTTTACATGAGCAATAGAGCTCGAGGGTGGCTTTGCGTTGCACGTCCGACCCCATGTTGGTTGGCAGCGATAGTGCCAGTGGTCGAACAGTTTGCGTGCTCAATACTTAGAGCGGCTTTCTCATAAGAGTGCACCAACGCTGCACACACACACAGTCCCATAAGAACTGCCCATATGCACGAACAGAATCAATCTCGCAATTGTGGATTTCGTAGCCTGCTCACCCGGAAAACAACACTTGCAAGAGTCTGATGGCAAGCTCTTAACCATCGCTAGCTACACACATCATCAAATGTCCATGTCAATAACGTAGTGTTTACACTTGCTGAAGCAAGTGCAAATTAATGAAAGCGAAGTTGCTACACAACAGTGCTTTGGCAAATAGAGCAAGTTAGCAAGCAGGATCATTGGGCCCCTGAAAAACAAGTATGCTCAATAAACTCCGTCACACTCGGGTTCAAACTTGACTATCGGACACGAGCTTCGTCAAATCTCCCCAATTTTCAGGCAATATTTCGACATTCGACGGGGATTCGGCGAATGTATCATTTTTTGGCTATATTTCGACAATCCGACAAGGATCCGACGAATGTTGTCGTTTTTTTGCTACATTGCCAATGTACCCCAAAAATGGCTACATTGCAATGTACGCCATATTTGCCTACATGGATTCTCAGGGTATATATACATACATCAACGAGCAGGGCTGTGGGAAATGACCACTTCTGTGATACAACAATAAGGGCTTCCCAAAGACTACCCCACCACATAACGGGGGAGAGTCCCTTGTATCACAGAAGTGGGGTAAAACCCCGAGTGATCCCACAACCCTGTCAACGAGTGTTTGTTTCACTGCTTGTTCCCCAACCCCCCCCCCTTTCTTTCGCCTTCCGCCTTCCGCTTTCCTCAGGCCCGCGAGGCCGCGCAGCAGCAGCTCCGCGCGGAGCGCCGGGCCGCGCTCGCCGCGGCCGCGGACGCGGCGGGCGGAGGCGGAAGCGGCGGAGAGCCGGCGGGCGCAGGGCCGGAGCTGGCGGCCTTGGGCACCATGCGCCTCGGAGAAAAAAAAGGAAAGCACATTTTTTTATTTTTTATATTTTTCTTTTATTCCAGGGCTCCTTAAAAGATACATGTTGCAACCGTTTGAAACATGGTCTTTCAACACCCAAATAAAGGGGTCAGTGTTTTGTTCAGGTGTGTAATGTATTAATCTTTATTATTATTATTATCATTATTATGTTGTATTATTATTATTCTTCTTCTTCTTATTATTATTATTATTATTATTATATTATTATTATTATAGTATCAAGTGTTTTTACAAGAACACAGGACAACTCGGAGTTTTCCACCCAAACAAGTGTTGGTCTATTTCATGCGTATTTGTTCGATTTGCCAAGTTAGTGAGTTAACCTATTGACCTTGTTAGTGAGTTATTCCCTGGCCAAGCACTTTGTAACTTGGACGGGCATCCAGGTACCGAACACAAAAGCCGTACCTGGAGTCTCCTTCTGACCCTTTAAACATAGGTCCATCACCCCGTCATTTTGGGTAGTGACCAACCAGTTTTAAAGGCTCAGAAAGAGACTCTAGGTATTTTTAATTGACAAAACCTTTTTCTTCTGGCGTCTCGAGCGAGGCGGGCGTCGATGTTCTACGACGTGCTGGTGCTCCGCGAGGATTTTTTCTTTGGGGGGGGGGGGGATTCGGACAGGCCACTACAGCAGTTTGTGTGTTTTGGGCGGGGATTCCACTACAGCAGTTTTTTGTGTTTGTTTTTTTGTTCTTTCCAGGATTCAGGCAGGCCACTACAGCAACTTGCGATCGGTGCGATGGGCAGGGAATGAAAACCTCCTTTGAGTACCTGTTGTTTTAGGGTATGATTTTGAACACCTAGTTTAAGTACCCGTTGTTTTCGGGTATTTTGTCAGGGACCTGGTTGTCCATCGAACATTGTGGTGGGGCTCTGATACCTTGCGATCGGCGTGATAGACAGGGAATGAGAAATGGAATGAAACCAGGGCTTTCCTTAGAGGAAACCACAAGGGATGGTTTGTAAGGGTCATTCCCTCATTCGCTTCTGAGCACCAGCAAGGCAACCACCGCTGTGTACCCTTCAGGAGCAACTCATCATCTAAGTTGGGTCCTTGCCATTTTTAAAAAGGGGGTTCAACCCTAATCAGGGCAAATATAAGATACTGATTTTTCTGAGAAGACCACTGTTCAGATTGTCATCATCCACAGTGGGTCCTTGCCATTCGTTTAATGGGAATCCGTTGGACCCTAGGGTTGGTTCTGCTTTGGGAGCTGGCTTCGTACCGTACAACCTCAAGAAGCCAGATGAAAAAGCACCATTTGTTGGGGGCAGCGTTACGTCCGTATGTGTCCTCATCATATTTTCCTGCGGTGCGGTAGGTAACCAGCAAAACGATCCTTTGGCACTCAAAAAGAGAAGGGCTGCTTGCCCACTTTCTCAGCATCTGGGCTCGGGGTAATTAGGGCACACAAAATATGAAAGAATATGAGGATACCCCAGGTGGGCCAAGCTAAGGAAAACCCTCAAAGCTGGCCAGTCATTGAGAAAAAAACATGTCACGACGTCACCAGCGGGTGGGGGGGGGGGGGTACGACTTCACCCATGCAGGTTCATTCATGACAATCCCTCATATGTGGATTCTGTGAATTATCATAGTACCTGGAGTCTCCATGACCCTTGTCATGGAGACTCCATCTAGAACTATCTATTGGTCAATCTATCCTACCTTATCGGTTTGAGGCCAACCTCGTTTCGGTTGAAGGAGTCGCATCCGTTTTGTGGAGCTTGCCCAAGTTGAGAGAATTTGAGCAGCGGCTTGTCCTTGGCTCTGTGTACATCCGCGAGTACACCAAAGTGAATGGCACAGTGCCGGAGAATCAGATCCTTCTGGGCTGTTCGGGCCAACTTAGCCAATATTCTGGCGCTGCCCTCCCCATTCTCTTCACGGATCCTTAGCCTTCTCTTCAAAACACGGGTTTGATGGGAAACGGTTGGTTTCTACAGAGAACGATGGGTGAAGAGAATCAAGCCTTAGACATATGGTTGTGGCTCAAAATTAAACAGGAGGGGCAGAGCGCGGGTTTTGGTCCATGTAACTTCGATGTATTCGCCAAGTTCGTCAGTGCTTAGCCACCTGGGTGATCCGCTAGCAAGGTGCACTCCGCTGAACAGGGGCTTATAACCAGGTTACAACTTGCTAGGTCCCCGGCTAGGTGCCCTTCTCACCCCTTTTTTGGGGGAGGGTTCCCCTACTAAAATAGACTACCGAAAAAAGACAAAAAGGACAAAAAGGGTTCCCTTATTCTAAGCTGTCTACTGGAGGACCTAGAACTTGTGTTACGAACCACTGCCTAACAGGGGAGTCTTTTTGCCACCTTCTTATGAGAAATGGGAAACCCCTTCAAGGATTCCTTCACTGTGGGTCGATCATTTGTCCACAAGAGGTGGCAAAAAGAAGGTGGCAAAACGACTCCCCTGCTTCCTAACTTTGCCAAGCACAGTCGCCTCCAGCTCCGCAGGAGCTTGCAGCGCTGAAGGCTGCAGGCTGGGGGGGTTCAAACCGGAGAACGAGTTCAGGCCCTGCACTGCTCAGACTGCCTGGAGGTTTCGCTTCAGGCCCTGAAAAAGCTTACCAAACCACCTACCGAACCCATGATCTTGGGTAATGACCAACCATTTTTCAAGGGTCATGGAGACTCCAGGTACCTCCCTGGGGGGGGGGCGTGCCATGGGGTTTTCACTTGGGAAAGCAGCCGAAACCCACGTTTTTTCAGGACGCAACCGTTTTATGTGTTCCTGATGATAAGTTAGTGGTGGTTCTCCTCAGGTCATCGAGGTTTGGTCTCTATATCCTGGGGTTCATACAACCACCATTGTTTAAACATCGTCATCTAAGTTGGGTCCCCTTAGGCTATGTTCTTTGTTTTTGTTTGTGCCAATTCAGGAATTGTGTACCAGTTGGTAAAGATTTTAAGATTGTAACTCCTGCAAAATAAGCTCTTGTATCACTTTCTAAGCCTACTGCATACATATGATGTTCCCAAACAAGACTTCCAAGAAGAGAAATAGATGACATGGCAAAGATCAGTGATTGCTTAGCAAAGATTATTAACGGTAAAATCCCATATTTTTTATGGAGCTGATCCTCAATGCAGGAATTGTTCAATATGTAAACTTCTGGATGTCCCAACCACAAAAATAAATGTTGATAGAATATAGGATCTTCAATATTGGATCGTCGAAGAGTGTATTAGACTGAAGTTCACCCAGCATTAACAGAAGCGTACCAGTGACCAGGTAAGAAGGTAATGTTAATGAACACATGAACGCTGTAATCAAGAAAGAGAAAGGGCACAATGGGATAGTCTTCTTCTTCTTTTTTTGTTTGGGGGGGGCGGGGGTGAACCCTAAGGTAAGGTTTCTGGATGCCGGCCGTGCTAGTGGACCACATGCCAAGATAGAATCGAGGCGTTCAACGCTACCTTTTGCTCCAACTACCTGCGTTGATTTTCGTTCAGGGGGCATATTTAGAAGAGCCAGTTTTTCAATGACATATCATTACATATGCTTGGTAAAGAGTGGACATCATCTCCTAGTTTTTCAATGATTAATGCAAATTACATGTTTTTGGTAAAGAGTGGACATCATCTCCTACCCTGAGGCCCTGAAACACGTGGATATTGTGTAGGGGGATTCCCTTAAAGATGGGCTTTTGCCATCAACATTGCTCGGTGATTTGCTTTTTTGTTCGAGGGGTTGAAGGTCCAGGTGCAGTCCTCTTCTCGGCGATCGGTTCAAAGCTCCAGGAGGGAAGAGGTCCTGAAGATTGGCCGATTTCGCAACCTTCACTTTGTAGTGTTTTGTAGATAAACATGGATCCCAACAGATGAATATGAGAAGGGTATATCTTAGGTTACTAACAGCTTACTAGCTTGGCCAAACATCCAAGTAGTCTAGAGGGAAATCACACCATTGCTGTCTTTGGATAACCCCCAGAAACAGTCAAAATACAAAGTCCTGTTCTGGTAGGTAAGAAAGAAAGGCACCACTTGAGTCACTGGAGGTCTGGGGATTCAAGAGACACATAGTTTCATGAATCACTGAGACTAGGGATCCAAATAATGACCAGGTTGCCCAGTGGGTTGATTCCTTTTTTCAACTGCTTTTTGGGAAGGGCTCCGATTCCTTTAAAGCCAACCAACCAAAAAATAATGCCGATTGGCGATTCCTGGTTTATCTGGTGGTTTTATCATCTTCCAGGGCCATCTATTTCCCCTAAAAGGACACCTATGGTTGCTACTGGGTTATAACCCAGGTGGCCAACCACCTACTGACTTGGCCCAGCATCCCAAGTACTTGTGGCGTGACTTTACTCATGGCAAAATAATTCGGGGATGTTCAACCAACTTAGTTTGTTTAACCATGTTTACAAGGGCACCAACCCTAGTTGTCCAAGATATATCTATTGGTCATAACCTACTTACCTGACGTTGGTTCCCTTCGAAGGTTAAAAAAGGATGGACCAACCCCAGTTACCCTAGTAACTTAGTCACAATGCTCATACCTTCTGCTTACCAAGTGGTTGGACCTCCAAGTGGTGCCAGGGCGGGCCCCCTTGACCTCCCCTGGCCTAGGCGGAAGTGTGCGTGCCGCTCCTGCGCGGGCGACAAAAGGGGCGATGGATCTCGATGGATCTCGACATGTCACAGCCACAAGCCAAGACGGGGTACCTGGCCATGGGTCATAACTTATGCATTTCTCCATTTTGGGGCGGATGAACACGTACCACCTATTTTGTTCACCAGGGGTACAGGGTTTTGACCTACAGCAGTCCCTCAAACTGCCCTTACAAGCCCTAGCAATGGGAATTTAGTCCATGTGTTGTGGGGAATATGTTCAATTTGTTTAAAGCGTGGTGTGAGGGGCCAGGTAGTTAAAGGTTGGTAGGGAAGAGCCACCAGGAATACGAGCCACATTCTGCCCGCTTGATGTTTTTTTGAAAGGCCAATTGGAAGTAGCCAGTTTTGGTGATGACCACTCCCTCATTGTATTGTGTCGATGGCTGGAACGGCCCAGGCACGCACTTACTCTAGGCACCATTCTTGGGCAGGATCCATGTGGATGTGTGCGGCACCCCAAGCGTCCCTTCGTAACTGGGGAAGTCCTTTGCTCCCTTTACATCCTCAGCTGGCACCCAAGAGACCCTCTGGGATATCGATAGGAGCTCTTGGTGCCAAATTTAGCCTTCCAGGAATGCCAATCCTGCTATCAAACGGTTTGTTGAGAGACGGTAGGGACTACTTTGGTGCCATTTGAAAGTCATTTAAAAATGGCTTCACGTTGAACCCCGGAGATTCAACACACCTGCTTGGAGTCCTTCTTGTTGCTGCAAGAAGTTCTTGCATCAACGCGGCACCCGCCACGTTGGTCTTTGTGACCGAATCGCCCATGCGACCTTGGATAAGCTTTTGGAAACACAGCGTAACGTCCAAAAACCTTTGCTCACGGAGGCTTGGGGAGCAACCCCGGCATGTTGGGCGGTTCAAAAATCAAACCTTCGCATCTGATACCTAAACGGGTGATCGGGTACTTCGTAATTAAGTGGTTAGTAGTCCGGGTTCGACAACCCACTGAACGGAGACGTATAACCATGGCTTTTGTAAGTTATAAGCATGATTATTCACCATTCACTAGGTACCCGATCGCCCCTTTCAGTAGAGCCAACCACCCATGCCTTTTCCAGGTTATCTGACTCTGGTTATTGCCCACTTACCATAGGTGTCCTTTTTAGCTTATTTGGCTAGAAATAGATGGCTCTGGTTTAGGTTGGTTTCATTCCATTTGCCAGGGAAACCCATCTATTTTCCCAAAAGGACGTACCTATGCCACTTACCAGAGGTACCGAATCCATGGATCGCCCCTTCAGCTTTCCGAATTTCTCCGGTGAAGCCGCTGCCTGGGGGCGTGTTTCGGGACACGCATGAAGGCCCACACCCAGGTGCTTCCAGTGACCCAAAAAACGCGAGGGGAAGCAGGGCTCCTAAAAGATACATTTTGCCCATTTGAAACATGGCTTTTTCCACCAAAATACAGGGAAACCACCATCTACAAGGCAATGTTCGGGTGAAGCGCGGTCAGAATTTACGGAAACGGAAAGTAATCTACACTTGGACATCCATATAGCTCAAGGTGCTTGAAACCATGGAAAACGATTGGGGACTCAAAAAAACGATACCTTTGTGCTACAGACCAAACGCTGGAAAACGACAGGGGACTCTCTAAATTCGAACGTACTTGCTGTGAACAACAAAATTTCACGGAACTTCAGGTGTATAAGGTGAGGATCCCTGCTTTGCCCTCGTGTAAGTCCACTCTGGCATACCGATTCCCACCAAACGACTGGTTGACCAACAGATGATGTTGCTTAAGCCACACTGTTTCTTAACTGGGGTTGAACCCCGGAGTTTTTCGGGTGCCAAAGGGTTGCCAGTCTGTGGCAAAGCGCCTCACCCAACATTCACACCACGCCAACAGGCCAGCCGCAGTTCGTTTTTCGGGACTCGTTTGACTGCCGGGTTTTGTGCTTGGCATCACTCGACTTTGCCACTCGCATCCCAGTTCCGCCCGCTTTCGCTCCCTTTTGTGGGGGGAAGTGGTTTGTGGAACCAATTTGCGAAACGAAGTCTTGTGTCCGTGGGTCCCTGAGACGATGGCTCCGAAGGCCGAAATCTGGGGCTTTGGGCTCGATCAGATGTCAGCTGAGGGCTTAACTTCAGGAAGCAGCCGCCCCGATTTTGACACGTAGCTTAGGTTCCAAGGGACACAAAGCACAATAAGCTTCCCGGAGGTCTTTTCCACCGCACCTGAACCACTACCGCTGTTTTTGAGATGCGGATCACAGGCGCTGAAAAACTCAGCCTTTTTTGGCAGAGCACAACCAATCGCCCAACTTGGCACGCAGCTTGACCACAGAGCCAAGGGGCAATACCATCTGCACTCTGGGCCCAGTGGTCCTAATTCGCCTGCAACTCTGGCAACTCTGGAGGAGGATGCTCAGGCGGGACGAATGGTTGATGATCGATCGTCGTCAGCAACACCAGCCCCCCCCTTTGGAGGCATACCGATTGCAGGAAGTCCGCAGAGAACAAAGGGGGAGCAAAAGCACAAGTCTTAAGCTATCGCCATATAATTTGTCGCCATATAATTTGACATGAGCGTTGCCCTGTCGCTCAGTGTTCGCTCAGGATTGCCCACGGGTCAACCAAAACAGCCATCAAGATTCCATGATCGCAGGGAACATGTCATGCCCGGAAAATTCCGCCAGCGGTTCACATGAAAGTGATATATGGAGCACAGTTCGGGGATCCCAGTTGAGAGCCAACCAGCAGCAATATCAATGAGGTGATGAGCCCCAAGGCGCCCCAAGTCAACAAGCGAAGTACGCTGTTCAGTCGGGGGCTCCAGTCCAAGGGCGGCTTGTTCATCTTGGATTTTGCTTGCGACAAGCTCGATGCGGAGGACTCGGAGAGGTTCTCTGAACATTGGAACATGTGTCCTTTGAAGGAAAAAAACACGGCATCCGGTGTTTGTGTGTGTGCTTCTGTTTTGCGCCCCCCTTTGTACCCGGAAACCATCAACTGGTGCCGACTGCGTCGACTTCTGGGGACCATCGGGACTAAGATTTTGAGAAAATAAAACATATATGTAGACCTGCAGTCTCAATGACCCTTTAAAATTGGTCCATGATGTAGGCAATGACCCCATTTTTACGGGTTATGGAGACTCTAGGTATATATATCTATATATGTACATCCTAGGCCTAGGTTAAGCTTAGGGACTCTTCGGCATTTTTGTTCTTCTGGGGCCATGCCCAGATTTCCAACATTCCCGATCGCCACACTCAATCCAGGCCGCGTGCAAGGGCACCCAGATGAAACCAAGCATCCCTTGAATGCTATTGGCTTGGAACTTTAACCTGTGACTGTTTGGTTGAACATGATACTGTGGATGGACGAAATCCGTTTCGCACCACTTTGAAACCACGGGGAACCATTGTTTGCTTGGTATTACAAGGGAATCAGCAATCCAGGGTTTCTTAGGTGGTGCAGGATTTCGTCCATCCACAGTATTAACAATCCCACTAACCTGCAACATGAAAACCCGGTTGGTCATGTTGGTGGATTGGTCACGTTGGTTGAGCATGAGTAGTTTCCCACTACTTGGAAGTTTCTCGTTATCCCCCGCACCAATAACAAGGCCAACTCCGCTGCATGGGGGACCGCTTTTCGCATGTAGTAACTAGCTAACAACTTGCTAACTCGCCCGGGCAGCCAAGTAATGTTGTCTCCGGATTAATAAACTCCGGTACATTAATATGGGGGTGTTCCCCTCCAAAAGTGATACATCCCCACTAAAAACAAGGACACCCCCATATTAATAAACTCGGGTTTATGAATCTGGGGTCAACATTATCCTGTAAAACTTTCGGGGCCATTGGCAAAACAGTTCCATGGAGCATCCCAAGCTTTCGCTCAGGTGCCGTGCGGGTCACGTCGCCGCGGCCCCAACAACTTGCACTTGCCAGAGGGTCCAACCCTGGTCTCATGCGGTGTCGTTGTCTCAGACCTCTTGTTCGGTTCTTCTGACACCCAGGGAAGCCGGACATGTTTTTTGTTGTTGCGGCATGCAGCTGCCTATATGTTATGGCGGTGGGTGAAGGCGAGCTCAGTATGTTGGTCGTTACCTGGGGACTTCGCAATTCAGGTTTTTCATGGTGGAATTGCAGATCCATCAACATCAAGTTCCGAGTTGTTCGAAGGCCTGCCAAAGATGAGCTTCGGCCCTATCCGTCAGCTTAGGCACATACACGTTCCAGGTTCCAGGCATCGACATGGACCCCAAAAAAGATTTGCGCCCAAAACCAGACCTTTCGCACCATGAAGCGGGGGCTTCCAAGCTGATAGTTTGGGATAGCAAGTTATTTCCAAGACCAAAGACCCGAAGAAGGCCTTGAGAACTATGCTCAGTCGTTACAAGCCATTCTCAGCTTCAAGAACTTACTTTCCAAACTTAGGGAGCCTTAGGGAGCCTTACAAAGCCTTAGGAAGCCTTAGGGTCCCTACATTTCCTTAGGGTCCCTAGGGTTCCTTAAAAAAGCGTGAAAAGCCTCAGGCCCCCGTGGAACACGAGCCCAGAATTGGATAGGTGGAGAAAGTCAAGAAGCTGAAGCCGTGGCAAGGCCCGTGACAGATAATGGTGGACGAGTCCTGCGGGATTTGGGCTGGGCACTCCAGAAAGTAGAACTCATCCCATACATACGGGTGTCGGGATTCTCACGTGGGACTCCATCCCCAATACTTAGCCAGGGGGGTAAGTTCTTCCAAAATTAACACTATGCGTGTGAGTTTTGTTTTAAGGACCCCAAAAACTGATGGTTTTCTCCTGGTTTAAAAGAACATGTCTGGTGTCCTGTCGGTTTTCCTCAACTTCACTTTGTTGGATGTTGTTGGCATGTTTTTGCGTTGCAGTTTGTTTTATGTTTTTGGGCTCTGTTCATTTTCAGTAGGGGGTCTGCAAAAAAACTTGTTTCTACCATACCACGGGTTGGAAGTTAACACACACAAAGCACGGGACCGTCAACAAAGCACAGCCCCATTCATTCCTGGTTGTTCAATGGCAGGGCGGGGAAGGGGAGGGGGGGGGGGGGGAAAAAGTGACGGATCCTTTCAATCGTGGGGACACCAACACCTGCAATCCTGAAGTTTCTCAGCCCAAGGGCCCCTAAGGCGGTACTTTGCTCACTATCGGAGTTCCCGGAGTTAAGTCTCTTTTTGGGTGTGGACCATTTTGGCCCTAAGTAAACAAAAAATAGGTCACTATAGGTCACTTTGGCCGATCCACATTGAAAGTGAAGCCACTGACCTTTGTTTGGCTCAACGGCATCCCGTTCCAGGGGAATCCATGATGGTCGATCAGTGGATCCCACTTGGCATGGGGTGGCTCGCCTTTTTGGGCGGTACCCACCAAGAGGTGGTCTGTTCCTTTCGGTTTCCCTTTTTATACCACCCGAAAGTAAATTGGTACCCTCAAAAAAACACATCCCGTTTGGACTTGCAAAACGCAAAGGCAAAGGCCCGCTACCTATCCAACCATTTGGCAGTGGAACCTTCGTGCTGAGTTCAAGATGTGCTGACACTTGCGTTTGCCAGGGAAGTAATTATATAGTTGGGCCTTGACGCCTTCCTTCTCTTATTTGAACTCCAGAAACCAGAAACACGCCTAGTGGGATCCTGTTTACAGAAAGGACCATGCCCCCAGAAAGCCCTTCAATCAGAAGGTTCGCCCGAACACCTGTTCTTGGATCAGCCTCACACACTCCCTGTACCTTAAGGTTGCAGAATGCAGGGTGGACATGAGTCAGTTTTTTGGCTGTTTTGGAGGTACCAGAGTGCTTTCACCCGTTTGAACTACCAAAAGCCATCCTCAGATTGTAGCCAGGGTCCATTGGTACCTTCTGAGGATTTAATTGGGGGGGTCAACATGGGTCAGTTGTTTCCTCGGGAGGTACTAAGAGACCCACTTTGGAGTCTCCTCGGAAATTTTGTTGTATCAGGGCAGACTAAATATGGCGCACAATCCAAAAATGAGTTTTTTGCACTCCAGGATTTGAGCTACCACAAAAAAGGTTTGTACAGGAGATGTATTGTATTGGAGTGGAATAGGGTAAAAGCCAAAACCAAGGTGTCCTCTTTTTCCACTGGATCCCCAAATGTTCCTCCAAATGTTACGACTGGGTATGCTTGCACAGGCCACATCCACATCCGGGAATGCGTCTTCTGCCGCAATGAGATTGATCGGCACGAAGTCCACTACAGCTGTCCGGACTGGGTGAATCGAATTCGCGGACGTGTTTTTGTCCCGAACCCGTGGTGCCAAGTTGTTTCAAATTGGGTGGTGAGGCTTGCCTGTTGTTTTCCACTTTCAGGGTTCCCTTCAAAAGCAGCCAGCCCAACAGCAAATAGCCGTTGCCTTTGTTCAGCATGTTCAGCTAGTTTTGGGAGTCATGGTTTTGACTAAAAGGAAAGTGTCCTTCCATGGTTACGCCCAGACTGTACAACGATGAGTTTTTGAACAGGGGTCCAAAATAAGAAGGGGATTCCACCACAAAGTCTAAGTATCATTATGGCTTCCCAACAACATGTTTGGGGCGCGCCAATAACTCTGACACCACCAACATGACGTGGCTAGGATTTTTAGTGGGGGGCCACCTCAAAAGTGGTTGGTACACATGCCTCCCCACCTAGATGATGTCTGCCAAAGTGTCCAATGGAAACCTCATACCCTCACAGGGGGACCTGGGAGGGGGAGAGCCCGAAATAAGGCCTTATCAAGAACTTTATAAGGGCTTATTGGGCTCCTCCCTCCCCCCCTCCCTCCCAGGACCAGTGGAAACGCTGACATGAGGCTAGGCACCTTCACACGGCATATTTCTCGCTGGGGGTTCTGTGACCCTTTGAGCCTTGGAAGGCAAACTCGAAATGTCAGGTTTCGGGAGGTTCAGAGAATTCCTTGCTACCTCGCGAGGACCCTACTCGACCCCCAATAAACGAATGGCCACTTGCCCAATTTAGATGATGACCAGCTTTAGATCAATGGCAAACTTTACAGCGTGCCCTGCTGTTTACATTGAACCTCAGGGAGGGATCTACTGACCCATTTTGGCTCCCTCAGTTCCTAAGGTTCCGAGGGACCTCTGTAGGAATCGTCTCACCCCTTTTCTGGTTGGGAAGGTTCCCCTACTAAAATCGACTACAGAAAAAAGGGTACCCTTATTCTAACCTCTCTACCTAGTGGACCCTAGAAGGTGGGGCAAAGGACCGTTCTTGTACTGTCTGGGCGGAAGCCGCACACGTCAGGTTGGGCAGACCGATTGCCCTTTTGTGGGACATGAATGTAAGACTTGGGTTACCACACCAATGTTCACTTCAGTTTTTCTGGGGCGGACTGTACGATTTTTCGGGGTGATTCGGTCCCCCTGAAAAGGGGAGGGCTTGATCCGGCTTGATCGCATTTCCTCGCTTAGAGAGATTGGGTTTGTGACGTGAAGGATCAGCGCTTGTTTAGACCTGGAGTCTCCTTCTGACCCTTTAAACATAGGTCCATGACCAACCATTTTTTTAGGTAATCGCCAACCATGTTTGAAGGGTCATGGAGACTCTAGATAGGGAGCCCGTAGTTGGGCTTCAAGTCTTGGAACTCGGACTCCGCCGTTTTCAGCTTTCGGCTTCCCTAAGGAAGGCAGAATGCAGACCAAATCCGGCGTCCTCCCAGCCCAAAAGCCTTGAACTGTGGTCCCATGTTGCAAGTGAGTCCTTTCTTTCGGAGCTTCTTGTTTTTCGCTCCTGGAGTCTCCTTCTGACCCTTTTTTTTTTTAAATAGGTCCATGACCAAACATGATTTTAGGTGATGACCAAGCATTTTTGCAAGGTCAGAAGGAGCCTCTAGGATCATACCTGTGGAATCCTACACCACTTCGAAGCTATGGGAACCATTGTCCGTGTGTATCTACAGGGGAATCATTATTCCAGGGTTTCTTATGTGGTGCGAAATGGATTTCGCAACCATCCACAGTAGCTCTTGGCTTTAAGCGGCTTGGCACCAAGTTGTACACGCGGTTTTCTGTCGTGAAGACTGCTTTCATTTTTAAAGGGTCATGGAGACTCTAGGTTGGGTTTTCTTGCTACCAAAAAGGGGTTGGCTGAGGCAGGAAGCTTGGCACCCCAAAAAACGCGCTGTCAAAAAGCCGACTTCAGCTTTGCGCAGGAGAAGTGCCGCCGCGGCCCTGGAGAAGTTTTTTTTTTTTTTTTTTTTTTCTCGGCGCCGAAAAACGTGGTGGTCCTGGGGTTCTTTTTGGTCTCCAACTACTGTGGATGGACGAAATCCATTGCGCACCACTTTGAAAATATGGTTGAAACCATGGTTGGTATTTGCAAAATAATCATCATTCCAGGGTTGCTTAGGTGGTGCAGGATTTCGTCCATCCACAGTAGGTCCCCCAGCGAAAGGGTGCCCTTTTTACTGTTTCTTTTTTTGTTGGGAGGGGAACCCCCTGCTAAAATAGACTAGAGAAAGCAAAGGAGGGGTACGAACTTATTCTAACCTCTCTACTGGAGGATCTAGCCAAACATATGTCTCCAAACATATGAGTCACAATCAAGACCGATTCGGGCAAGTGAAGGTTAGTAAGGGACAATCCCAACCATACATAGCTGCGGATCTCCGTCTTCTCAATTCTTGAAGCATGGTTCTGGGTCGACCATTTGAATGCCGGGTTTTGATGATGACTCATATGGGTATGATTTTAAAATTCGGGACCCTTTGGTGTACATCATTTTGGGGATGTACGTCCGCCAACCACGTTTCAGAGGGTTCTCCAGTAAAACCCATAGCCATATTCGGGACAGTCGTCGTTTTTGGAGGGTACTCCTTTTTGTGATGTTTTTCTTAAGGCCAACCAAAAGGAACACCACACATCGTTTGTTGGGAGGTACCCCTAAAAAGAGCCGCCCAGGTGCACTGTCTCTGTTGTTTTTTTGGCAGCCCTTTTCGGGGCGGGCTTTAAAGGGGAAAGGAAACAACCCGTTTTGATTGGTCAACCTATTTTGACGGGCAGACATTTCTAGAACTTCTGTAAAGGTTTTCTGGGATCCCTTCAGAGTTGCTGGTTCCCTTCACTCGTTTAGTTCGCCCCATGTTCCGTGCTTCGTCATGGCACCAAAAGGTTAAACATGTATTTATTTCTGGGTCCTTTGGGCAAGCAAGTTAGTTATTGTCTCACTCCCTGAGTTCCTGCACATATATTGGGGTGAGTTTTAGACATGGTTTAGGGAAGCGCCTGAGTTCCTGGACTTTAGTCATAATTTGGGTCTGGACCATCGTCTTTTTTTTGGCCGATCCACTCGATCGGAATATGGTGTCTCCAAATGAACTCTGGAGTGATCAAGCACAGCGGGCACAGGAATGACCTGTCAAGTGGGCCTCGGGGTGCTTGGGTTCGAGCTCATCACCGGGCGGTGCCCGCACGAGCTCATCCAGCGCTCGAGACGTACAAATTGGTGTGCAGGGTCTGAAGAATGTGCCCCGAAAAACGTCGGGTGACGCACTGAACTTTGGCTTCATTCCCCATGATTCCCTGATCAACCCTTTTTGTATTTTCTAGGCCCTTTTGAAGGGGCGGGGGAATTACATACCAGCATGTTAGTATGTAGAGTCCAAACACCCCCCCGCCCCGCCAGGTTGAATCGCAGCCAAAGGAGCGCACACCCCTCTTTCTTGGTGGCTCCCAGCCATCCGGTTCCTTAGCTCTTCAGCTCTTTAGTGTTTAGTGGGGTTTTCCACTTAGCCCACTAAAAGTTAGTCACTTTTAACGGGGGATGTGAGGACAACTCAGCTTTCAGGCATGTTTAAGGACAGGTGCGGGTGGCGTCGAAATGGGTTTAGCAAGGTTCAACCATCAGTCAACCCCCCCCCCAAAAAACAAAAAACAAAAACAACAACAACAACAACAAAAACAAACAGGAAGCTCGTGTTTCGGCAAGACCCGGCTGTCAAATATGCATGTATATATATATGTGCTATATCATAATGTGTATGTGTGTATATATATATATATATATTTATGTATATTATATAGTTTACATGACCTACCCAGACTGAGGATGTACAAACTGATCCCTCTGGCCCCTGAGTACATCCGATCGAGTACATCCTGGGAAGATATTTGGACACATGGACTGCATGGCCTGATCAAACGAGCAAATGACAGATCAGCTGTCCGGTGCCCTTGTTGCCCTTTGGGACGAAGTCTCCGAAAATCAACCAACACACCAGGGGCGCCCTTTTTGCCCCATTGAATTCCACTGGGCTTCTGAGAAGCTTTTTTGCAGGCTTAGTTTCTTGGAATAGGTCTCCTCCTAAACGACTTTTTGTATTTTGGGGTTCACTAGAAATGAATTCCAGCATCTGAGATGTTAATTTTCTGTGCACCCCCGGGTTTTCGTGTGCCAAGTCTTGCCGATTGTTTCGGCTATCGGGTCAGCTGCCCGGGTTGATCCGCTTGGCGCCCGAGGCTACGACATTTGCCAGTACTGCCGGCGCCCAACAGGGATGCGTCGACCGGGATTTTTTCCCGGTCGAAAGCAAATGAGCAGCGCCCAACCCCCCCCCCCCTCCCAAAGGGCCATTTTAGTACAGTAGGTGGTTGCATGACCTTAGCAAGATGTAGAGTCAGGCATGTTTGAATCTTTTCCAAAGGTTGAGTCCACATTATTTTCAACCATCATTCTTTTCAAAAACCGGCTGTTTCCCCTGGGTTTTTCATGGTTTCCTGAAAAGAAAGATCCCCGGAAAGAATGGAAATGGAAGGTACCCCTAGACCTTTAGAAACATTTCAGCACCTATCGTCACAGGTCTTCAGGCGCTGCTGAAATGGTTCCACCACTCAAATGGTTTCAGTTGCCTGGCGGCAGCCTGGGCTTCCATTCAAAACTACAGAAACCTAACCCCTTCCCCAATGGCTGTCACAAAAACATGTTATCTGACTATTTTGGGGCCATTGGAGGGAATGAACTAGGTTCCTTTGCTCCCTTCAAACTAGGTTCCTTGCTCCTTTCACTGGTAATTTTGTTGGGCCATTTGACAGTTGGGTGAATGAACCAGGTTCCTTTGCTCCAGCTCCACTGTGTCAGGGAAACCAACCAGCACGGATACAGGGGGAACCAGGGATACGGGAGGATTCTCCCTAAATGCACCTTGACTAAGTTTGATATGGGACATGGCGCCAAGGGAAAATCCCCCCCATATCCCCGCTCCCTCTGTATCCTCGCTTGTTCGTTTGTCCAAACTGTGGGCTTCCGCAAGGCTCCCTGTTGCCAGCTCCTCGTTTTGTAGTTTCCCTCATCGAGCAGCTCTGGTCGCAAGGCGTCCATCTAAGTTGTTTCAGGCTTCTAGTTGAGATCGAGCAAAGTTATCTTGGAAATTCCATGAGGCTGTTGGAAAGATGTTTTTTCCCTTTTTTTTTTTGGGGGGGGGGGTCAACAAACAAGCCGATTCCTGGTCTGGAACTCAGTTCAAACCCCTAGTCTTGACACCTATCAGAGAAAGTGGATACAGGCTTGGGCTGAGAGGCATTGGAAGCCAGGAAGATTTGACACCAGCAGGAATCAAGCAATCCCGGCAATCCCATCCAGTGCCCGCCCTCGTTATGAGCTCAACACCCCACGGGGATTTATGTTCGCTTTTCATGGTGTGCTTACTGTTGGCTTCCCTTTCTTTGTGGATCCATTTGTCCACGTCAGATGAATCATGGAACAGAACCATATTGATGTTTGTAGAGCCCCAGATTGGACCCAAACAAACTTCCATTTGCTTAAATGAACATGATTGTTTTCCCCTGTTGGCTCCAAAGGGAGCCGATCACTACTGGAGTTGGTTTTCTTTTGGCGTAAAGCAACACTTTGCATTTTGCTTGGATGTTAGGACTTGAGCTTTTTGCCAACTAGTGGGTTTTCCATTAAACCACTAAAAGTTAGTCACTTTTAGCAGGGGGGCAGAAAGCAACCCGAGAACAGGTTGGCATAGTTTGGACGGGTGGCTTGAACCAGGGTCATTCTTGGACTCCGATCCGCGGCTCGCGGATCGGACGCCGACCCAAACGAGTCAAACGAGCGCGCGGTGCGCGCGACGCAACTGACGCAGCCAAACGAGCGAGGTTACAAGTCCCAGGTGGCCAAGCGCAAGGCGCGGAAGCGGGAGGTTTCACGCGCGGGGCTTCCGTGGCCTTGAGGCCTGCAGGCTTCAAGTTCCCAGGTCCCCCAGCAATTGGTGTCCTCTCTTTTACCGTTTCTTTCTTTGGGGGGTTTTGGGTTTCCCTACTAAAATAGACCACTGAAAAAAGTTGGTACCCTTATTCTCACCTCTCTACCTAGCGGATAGAAGGTGGGGCAAAGCACCGTTCTTGTATCTGGGCGGAAGCCGCACGGGTCAGGTTGGGCAAATCTGGACCAGCCAAAGCAAGTTCCCCTGAGTTTCCTGCGGGTTTCCCAAGGTTTGTAGCGGGTGTTTCCAGTGGGTTTTGTTTAGGTTTCCATGCGTTTGCCCGTAGTTTCCATAGGTTTCCCGCGGGTGTCCCACGAAAACAAGTCCAGCTCAAGCAGGGTTGCGGGATCACTCGGGGTGTATCCCCACTTCTGTGATGCGGAATCCCCTTTTCTATGATCAAGTCTTTGGGAAGCCTTTTCTGTTGTATCGCAGAAGTGGATTCCATTCCCAGCCCTGAGTTCAAGAGTAAGCTGCTGGGAACTTGAGGCAGAATCAGGATGTACTTGCGAGCAACGAGGTCAGCGTACATCCCAAGGGAGCCTTGCTTGGATGTTCGATTCGCCTAGTGGCAAAGGCCTGGGGTAGTATACTCCAGTACTGACAAGGTGAACTGCACTGAACGGGGGAAGGAGGAGGTTATAGCTGGGGAAGATCGGCAGAAAGGGCGAGGTTGGCGGCAAGATCGACCTCACATACGGCAACGATCTGTCGGAGTTTTCGGCTGCCGGTCATGGACCTATTTTCAAAGGGTCAGAAGGAGACTCCAGGTCGGTGGTTTTCTGCTGTGAATATGTCGCGCAATGGTGGCAATGGGCTTTGTTTACCAGCCCTTTGGTCACACTTTGGTCCCCTTTAAACGGAAACCGAGACTGGGGTCTCCCTTTAACACTTGTTTGCAGCGGATGTTGCAGTGTAAATATGGGCCATGTAATAGTTCGGTTTTTTGGTTCGCAAAAGAGACTCCGTGTCCCCCCTTTATCATAGGTTTCAAACCTGCGTTTCCGTAACCCCGCTCCCCCCCGTAAATTCTTACGAGATGGCCATGCTCGACTGTGGGAAGGGCTACCTGGAGTGTCCTTCTGACTTTTCAAAAATGGGGGTTACAGCAACGACCAACCATTGTTTTAGGTAATGACCAACCATTTGTTCACCCCATTGGTAATGACCCACCATTTTTTCAGGGTCAGAAGGAAACTCCAGGTGCGTGCATTGTTCGTTGTTGTTTTTTGTTTTTTTCCCGAAAGCATGGCGAAGGGTTCTTCCGCTGGGTTCACTTGAATTGTTCTCATGAGAGTTGCTACAAGGTGTTATTGCAAGGAATCATCATCATGAAAGTCAATGCAAGGAGTCATTGCAAGGAGTCATTGCAAGGAGTTATTGCAAGGAGTCATTGCAAGGAGTCATTACAAGGAGTCATTGCAAGGAGTTATGGCAAGGATTGCAACTTGCACTTGACTCCTTGCACTTGCAACTTGCACTTGACTCCTTGCACTTGCAACTTGACTCCATGCACTTGCAACTTGCACTTGGCTCCATGCACTTGGCTCCTTGCACTTGGCTCCTTGCACTTGCAACTTGCACTTAACTCCGTGCACTTGCGACCTTGCACTTGCTTGACTCCTTGCACTCCTTGCAATGACTCCTTGCAATGACTCCTTGATGATGACTCCTTGCAATGACTCCTTGCAATGACTCCTTGCAATGACTCCTTGCAATGACAATGACTGCTTGGATGAAGTGCAAGTTGCAAGTGAAGGAGTCAAGTGCAATTGAAGTAGGAGTTAAAATCTCTTCTTAGGGCGGCGGGGTAGTGCCGACGACACTACACGAAAATCGACCCTCTGCGGGGATCGGCGTGGTCGAGGTGCAAAAACCCATGGTTTTTGCGATTTCTAACCTGCTCGCGCGACCCTCTGCGGGGATCGGCGTGGTCGAGGTGCAAAAACCCATGGTTTTTTGCAATTTCTATCCTGCTCGCGACCCTCTGCGGGGATCGGCGTGGTCGAGGTGCAAAAACCCATGGTTTTTTGCGATTTCTGCGGTGCTCGCGCGACCCTCTGCGGGGATCGGCGTGGTCGAGGTGCAAAAACCCATGTTTTTTTTTGCGATTTCTGCGGTGCTCGCGCAACCCTCTGCGGGAATCGGCGTGTCCCGGAACCGGCGGGTCGCGGGTTCGATTCCTCCCTGGTCCGCGGGCGGGCGTCGCAAGATGCAACTTGCATTTTACAGCAACTTGCGCAGAGCAACTTGCGCAGAGCAAGTTGCACAGAGCAACTTGCGCAGACCAACTTGCACCGACCAGTTTGCGCAGAGCGCCTTGCCTAGAGCAACTTGCGCAGAGCAACTTACGCAGAGCAACTTGCACAGAGCAACTTGCACAGAGCAGCTTGCACAGAGCAACTTGCAGGGAGCGCAATTTGCACAGAGCAACTTGCAGGGAGCCACTTGCAGGGACCAACTTGCCGGAGCAACTTGCGCGGAGCAACTTGCGCAGAGCAACTTGCACAGTGCAACTTGCGTAGAGCAACTTGCGCAGACCAACTTGCACCGACCAGTTTGCGCAGAGCACCTTGCCTGGTGCTGTCTCGCGCTTGCTTCACGAAGTGTAGGGAAAAAGAACGCATCCTGCAGCGTTGGGCCGACCTCGCTTGCGATGTTCTGCTTTCGGGCCAACCGTGGTCTAGTTTTTCTTTTTTTTCCGCCGGCTTTCTTGGGAGCTTCCCCTTGAGCAGTTACTCGACTCCACGTTTGTGTTTTTTTCCCCGACGCCCATAGAGCGCGCGCGGATGGATCAGGCGCATCTGCCCAGCGTGAAAGGGAATCACCTGAGAGTCGCCGAGTCCGCGCCCCAAAGCCATGAGAAGCCGAGGGGGAGAAGTCGACCTGGGAGGTGTCAGCTTATGGGAAAAACCACTCAGGGCTCCACTTTCTGACTCATGATAACCCCGGATGAAGCAGAACCCCTGCTTGACTGCTTGATTAATGGTGGGGTGTCCCCTTTTAGTGGGGATTCGTTCCTTTGGAGGGAAAACACCCCCTAAAAATGGGACGGGTTCAGCATTAGGGAGGACGCAGCAACCCAATGGTTCATCTTCCCTCCAACCGGGGAAGCGATGGGGTGTCTATGGGGCCAAGAAGTGGAACCCTGCCACACTCAAAACCCCCAGTCGTCACTTTTTGGGGTTTGGTTGCCATTTTAGTTGGAGAACCGAAAGCTTTTGTTCTTTTCTGGCCAATCTACCCGGGAAGTGAGACCATTGCATGGTAAAACCCTCGAGGTAAGGATCCCGAAACGCTACCGGAAGCGGCGAAACGCGAAATCGGAGGCGCTGGGTTTTAGTTTCAAAGTCAAGGTACTCGGACCTTCGATTTGCCAATTTATTTTTTGTGGAAAAGGCCACAAAGAGAGTTATAACCCACGAAGGGTGAACTTCACTGAGCGGGGGGCTTATTATTAGCGGGTAATATACCTGGACCACCCAAATCGGCAGAAGTTTCTGCCTTTTTGGAAAAAGGAGCCTTTTTGCTGTTGGCGGCGTTTTTAGTTTCCCTGGGGGCGTTTTTTTTTCAAAATCAAGTTCTGTGCAAAAACAGGCAGCAGGAAATCGGCGGAATTCGGCGGGAAATCGGCGGAATTCGGCGGGAAATCGGCGGAATTTCGCGGAAGCAGGTTTCAGCATGTCGGAGTGGTTGTTGCGTTTCGGCGTTTTTTCTCGCGGGCGGTGTTTTTTTGGCTTTTCGGCGGAAATTTCTGCCGCCGGGGCCTTTCGGCAGAAAGTTCTGCCGCCGGAGGGTCCAGGTATAACTTGTCAAGAACTTAACAACCCGAGTTCCTGGTTGATTTGGATCGGGGATGTCTTTTGGGCAGTGGAAAATCAGACCACTTTTGGAGGGGACACCTCACTCACTCCCAGAGTTCCGTTTCGGACTTGATCGGCACCTTTTTGGTTTGGATCATTTTGGCAAAAGAGTGGGTCAAAGGCAGAAAAAAAGGGTCCTTTGAGGGTCCAGGCAGTTTTGCAATTTGTTTTTTTCAGACCACTGGGGTCGAAATGTGTTATTTTTGTTGCGTCCCGATACACATATTGAACAAGAGTGTACCTCAAACAGAGTCAGACAATGTTCTTTTCGGTGTACCCCAAATTCATGAGGGTGCCTTTTTGTGATTGCTGGAGACCCTTTGCGTGCCTGTTTTTTTTCTGGACGTGCCCTTTTCGTTGTTGGTTCAAACTCTCGTCAGTTGTTTCGTTTCCCTTCTTAGGTCGCGGTTGGACGCTTCAATCAGGTTTGAGTCGTGGGGTGGGTATGGTTGCGTCTTTGGTTTTTGGGGAGGGAGGGGGAGTCAACAGAAACAGAGCAGCCCTGAGAGACATTGGGACCTTTTCTGGCTTTGTGCCACTTTTTCACATAGGTCGGAAAGAAAACGGTCAAGATACCGACCTTAGAAGCGTTGCCATTTTTGGTTGCCATTGAAGAGCCATTTGGAAAGGATTCCCCGGATTCCTCACTTCCTGAGTTCATGAGCTTTAATCTTTTTGGGAAGACCATTTTGGTGGGAAATATAAAGTTTGAACTTTTTTTGGGCCATCCACTCAGCCAGCGAGATTCTCCTTGGTGATGCGTTCTTGGGCCCCCATGTCCCCCCTAGGGGGGTTGCCAGACGTCTCGACTCCGAGGCCTGGAGACTCCTTCTCTTCCGTGGAGGGTGGCTGGGCTTAGCTTTCGGACTTTCGAAAAGATCGAAGGGCGGGGCCTTGTCCACCTTGGCAAAAAGCGCATCTAAGTACCTACCTGGACTCTCCATGACCCTTGGTGGTTTTAAACACTTGCTTTTCACCCGTTTTAAGGTGAGTTTCCCTTGGTAGCCTTGGTGTTTTCTCTTGTTGGTCCATGTTTCGTCACCCCAACGGCCAATCTGTTAAGTCTTCCTGGAGTCTCCTTCTGACCCGAATCAAAATCGGGTTAATGACCAACCATTATTTTGGGCAATGACCCCATTGTTTAAGGGTCATGTAAACTCCAGGTAGTTAAAAATGGTCAGTACCTAACATGATGGGGTCATGGACCTATTTTTACAGGGTCATGGAGACTCCAGGCGCTTGTGGGGTGACGTTCTTCATAATCCGTTCCCCCTAATAAACGCGGACCCCCCCCCTCATAATCAATACTCTCTGGGGGACAACATATTTAATTTATAAAAATAGGGTCCTTTGGGGTTGACCTGATTTCCTCTTCGGTCCTCGTCCAAATAAGCCCTCCCCCCCCCTTCCCGGACACGAAAAATCTAAAACCGAGTACCGAATTTCAATCAAGCCGTTCAAGTTGTTTTTGCGCTTTTGCAGTTCTTAAAATAGTAGAGGTAAGTATGCATTTAGAATTTGGCATTGGGTTGGTGCAAGGATCCCCCCAATACTGCTGGCGGAGACATCAAGCAGTTTAGTATTGCATTGGGCTATTCCAAAAGTAGTATTGGGGACCCGGCTGTTTCAGCCTGTCTGGTTCCCCCCCTGGGGAACACATAACTTTGACCGTGTCATATAGATCCGCCCGCCAAACACAGAGAATGAGTGGTGTGTTCACTCCGTATCCCTTTGAAACGACCCAATAGAGTGGCCCAGTGGCCTTGCGAAAAGGCGCAGCCATGGCATGAGCACGTCTTTGGCAGGTTTTTAGAGGCGCTTCGTGGTTGGTGAGCCAATTTAGACGATGTCATGGGTCGAATAAACCATGGTGGTTGTCCTGTGGATGGACGAATTTCTGAACCACTTTGAAACCGTGGAAACCATTGTTGCAACAAGGGGACTCATCAGAAACCAGGGTTCTTAGGACCATTCTTGGCTGGTACTTACAGGGGGACTCATCAGAAACAATATTTTCTTAGGTGATGCGGCCAATGCGGATGTCGCAACCATCCACATTCAGGTCTAGGTCCCCCAGTAGTGCCATTTTACCGTTTTCTTTTTGGGGGAGGGTTCCCCTACTAAAATAGACGTCCCGGAAAAAAACAAAGAAGAAACAAAGTTGGCACCCTTATTTTAGCCTCTCTACTGGAGGACCTAGTAGTTGAGCTACAATCAAAACCCCGGTAGATGAAGGTAAGTCAGGGACAGCCCCAACCAGGAAATGGGGGCGGCCGCCTTCTTACCTGGAGTCTCCTTCTGACCCTTTTCAAACAGGTCCTTGACCAACCATGATTTTTTCGGTAGTGACGGTAAGGACCAACCATGGTTTACGGGTCAGAAGGAGACTCCAGGTAGTTCTCTACATGGTTCTGGGTAGACCAGGGCTCCCCTTCAGCAGCTGCTGGAACTCGAGTGTTGGTGGCGGTTTCGCCGAGCTCTCGGGCCAAAGCTGAGGCGAGAGCGCCTCCTCCGTGACCGCCTTCGGGGGGTTGGGGGGGGGGGACAAGTGGGATCCAGCGGCTCAGTGGCTCAGCCCGGAGTGGGAGAGACAAAGGGAGTTTCGATGGAACAACATCAGGTAGCCTCAGGGAAGTTCTGAGTTATAGCAATGGTCAAAACTTGGGAAACTGCCTGGAGTCTGCAGGACCCTTGAAAAATAGGTCCATGACCCTGTTAGTTTAGGTAATGACCAACCATTTTAAGGGTCATGGAGACTCTAGGTGGGTTGGTACCCATAGCCTACTAAGTTGGTTGATCCAAGAATCCCTGAACCCCCGAGAAGGTTCTCAGGACCCTGAGACGCACAGATTCCTTGTTGGGAAAGTCCGCCCTTGGCGGCAGCCCGTGGAACACGGGGGAAAACAGGTAACCGGTACGAAGTTCAACATGCTTCAATTATATTATGGGCATCTATCATAGAGTTGGGCGGGACCGGTTTTCAGTGGTATATGTGTCAAAAGACGCAGAGGATCCAGTTTTGAAAGGAAATCAGCATGCAACCTTCTGGCAAGTTCTCCAGTGTGTTCTTTTGCCACACCGCTACATGTTGTGGGTTTCGATTTCGATCCAATAGGATCCACTGGCTAAAATCAAATGACGGAGGCAATCCGAGTGAGCCTTTTCGTGAATGCGGCAAGGATCTCGGTATCCCCGCATACCTTGAGACAAGAGTGCATTCTGGGGGACAGGGTGCACTGGGAGCTCTTTCGAACTGAATTTGCACTTTGAGGTTCCCTACTGCAACTTTGGACACCCTAAAAAGTTTTCTATTCTGATGGTGATTTAAATAAGAACAACAATTAGTGAATGGTTGTAGTGTTTAGCTCAATAGTTGAATAGACATCCAAAGGTTTGCATTCTAAGGTCAATTATATAGAGGGGGTAAAAGCTATAGGTCTGGTGAGGGGGTTGATTCCTTTACAGGGTGAACATAGCTGTTGCAATTGCCCCATATTGGTTTGAGCATCCCCTTTAATGATGCCGCCGACCAGTCCAAAGAATTCAATTGTAGGGCAAAAGCTGAGGCAGGCAATCTCGCGGAATCCTCCCCGTGTTCCTCATTTGGTCTGGGTACTTGCCCCTTCTTCCCGAGAGGTTCCCCTTTAAACTCAACTGTCCTGACTTCAGCCCTCAAACAGGCCATCTTTGAGGCCAAACCATGGAGCAATGGAGGGTCCGATGATGGCCAATTTTTTAATGATGGGGTTCCCTTTCCGAGTTAACTACATGGACCCCCCGATGGGCCTTTTTTTCTGACTTTGACTCTCAGAAGTGGGAAAGCCCGCCTTTTCGTTCGGATGAACGAGGAGCTCGGCCTTGTCATCGCCGGCCAAAGTGACCAGACCCGGCCGAGAACCTAGCGAAGCCGAATGCACACCAAATGGATCCATGCGGCGTCCCTTTTTCAGGGGACCCCCTAAACTGGTGGTTTGCTTTTGGCTTCCCCGCTGAAAGCCACCGCTGTCTCAACAAGAGGCACACCCATGGCAAGTGAGTCCTTTGAGGCTACCCCCTTCTTTGGTAGCTTTCAAACAACACCGTTCAAGAAAAACCATGCATCTTGGAGCGTCCACCCCTGGACCCCAAAGGACCCCTTTGTCGCGCTTTGTACCACGTTTTATGCATGAATGGGTGCATGCGCCTTTTTGATTCTACATGCTTCTGGGTAGACCATTTTAATACCGATATATTTTGAGTATGACTCAATTGGGGCACCTGATCTTCCTTTGTTTCAACCATTGGTTTTCATGTCCATGGCAACTTCGGAACAGATGAACAGCTCACTCCCAGAGTCGGGTTTCGAACTTTCATTTCCGAGAGTCTCCTTCCGACCCTTAAAACATGGTTGGTCATTACCTAAAATAATGGTTGGTCATGGACCTATTGTTAAAGGGTCAGAAGGAGACTTCATGTATCAAAGCATGTGCCCTTGGAATCCCAACTTTTTCGGGCGGTCGTTTGCCAAGTCCCGACCCTTCCAATGCATATGTACCAAAGAGCCTTAGGGTGGGTACAATCCGGGGGTTTCCTTTCGGTTTCCGTTTAAAACCAACCCCAAAACGGGCACCCTCAAACAAAGACGAGCTCTGAATCCAGGGCAGACCCCCTGTTTGTAAACTGGGGTTGATAAATCTGGGGTGAACTAGTCAACCCCCAGTAGTGCCCTTCTCTCCCCCTTTTCGGGGAAGGGTTCAGTTCCCCTACGAAAATAGACTACAGGACAAAGTTGGTACCCTTATTCTAACTTCTCCACTGGAGGACCCAGTTTAGGCCCTTCAAACGCTATATTTTCTTCATTCCAACTTGGGTCAGGGCAACTGGGCCTATCATGGTTGTTGTTGGGAAGCATGTTACCTTTTTGCTTGTTGTGGTTTTGTGGTTGAAATCCAGCCACTTAACTGCTAAAAATTGAAATAGTTTGCTGCCCTTCCAAAGTCAGCCAGCCTAGGTGGCAGCACACCATTCGGCGATTTTTTTGCGAGGCGATCGGCGGCCATCGACGGCCTCCACTCCTGGGCCTTCCATGGAGTCGGCTCGAGGAGGCGGGGGTTCTTTGTTGGCAACGGCAAGGGGGGCCGTGTGTAGGGTGTGCCAAGAAACGTTTTTGTTTTTTTTCTACTAGGTCCCCCAGTAGTGCCCTTTTACCGAGTTTGTTTTTGTTGGGTTCCCCTACTAAAATAGACGTCCTGAAACAAGTTGGTACCCTTGTTCTAACCTCTCCACTGGAGGACCTAGTAGGGTGTGCCAAGACACTTTTTGTTCTACAAAGCCTCAGTTCCTCACTTCCTGAGTTCCATGTTAGTCACTTTTGGGGGTTGGGCCATTTTGGTGGCAAGCTGTTTGGTGTTGACCCATCCACTCATGGAACTGAATATAAGCTTTGTTCTACACAGGATGGGATCTGGACATATGGGCCCCTTGGCACCTACTTGCATGTTGGGCTAAGTTTGTAAGTGGTCTGCTGGTTGATGAACCCCACCGGGGACTTATATGCGAACTATAGCAATTAATTTAATGCTGACCCCGATTAACAAACCCCTGTTTACGAATATGGGGGGGTGACCCTGGTTTTAGTAGGGATTTATCCCTTTTGGAGGGGAACCCCCCCTATTAATAAACAAGGATTTCTGAATCCGGGGTCAACATGTGGGTATGAGTCAAAATTAAAACCACCAGGGGACCGCAGGTTTTAGTCTATGTTTCCATTTGCCAGGGTTCTATTTTGGGGTTGCCCTATTTTCGACCCACACTCATGTCTGAAATACTCGACAGGATGCACGGGGAACAAAGCAGAAGCCGCCGTTTGCTCGTTAAGCCGGAGACCATAAGATGGCACGCACCAAATTCTTGACTTCCAGACAAAGCAACTGGATGGCGAACCAACGACTCCATCAAGTTCCCCGTCATTGGCTATTTTTGATGTATCCGTACATGGTACCCTTTGCGACAGGGCTGGTCAACATGGGTCTTAGTTCTGTTACAAGGGATGAAGTCCTGGACACTGGGTGATTTTCCTTTGCGGTCCCTTCCAAACCTCTCACCACATTTGTAGAGAACCATGTCAGAGGAAGTTGGTCTAACTTTTAGTTTATGGGAGTGATAGAGGATAATGCTGTCCACCGGCAGTGATGAAGGATAGTTCCCTCGCTAGCGTCTTATCCAATCGCTCTGCATGTACGCATGGCGTGCACGTATGTCCATCTTCCAACTGTTTGTTTTGTTTCTTTCTTTGTTTGTTTGTTTGTTTGTTTGTTGGGGAAAGCTTCCATGTCCATTCTTTCCAGGGATCCTTCTTTTCAGGAAACCATCAACCATCCAGGAGAAGCGATCCTTCCTTTCTGGAAACCATCAGACATCCGGGGGAAGCAGCTGTTTATTGTATTTGTTCATTTGAATAGAATGTGGGAATCCACGTCTAGATTCTATACCCACCAATTAACATGGAACCTGACGTTCGGGGCTCCTGGACCATTCTCCCTTGATAGGGATCATATCCTGTCAGGTTCCATGTGAAGAAGGGTGGGTGGGTAATTTCTGGTTCTTGCAGTTCCATGTTTCAGCAAAACAAAAAAGGAGAACCTCGACCCATCGATGCATCAGATTTGTTTTTTGTAGCAAGCTTGCCTCGAAGCTGCCCCATTCCAAAGGCTCGTGAGCGTTTGGAGTTGGAACTCACTCCCTGAGTTCCTGGATGTTTTTTTTGGGGAAGACTATTTTAGTGGTAGGCAATGAGGCAACTATTTACTGAGGAAGTGAGGGAATCATTGTTTTTGTTGCTATAAAAGGGCAAGCACCGGGAAACCGCCCATTTTGTGGGCTTCCTCCCATTGAGACCGATCATACCCCGGCCTGAACTTGTACCTGGAGTCTCCTTCTGACCCGAATCAAAAATAGGTCCATGACCAACCATTATTTTAGGTAATGACCCCATTATTTTAGGTAATGACCCCTAGGTCCGCCCATTTTTGCAGGGTCAGAAGGAGACTCTAGTTGCGTCTGCCGTGCCTTGGTAGTCCCTCTTGGTTCCTTGACTTGGGCCTTGGGCGGTGTCCCTCTCATCAGCGGTTCATTCAGCAACCGAGTTCCTAGCCGCACGTCGGTCCGATCAGTCAGTACACATTGGGGGGGCCACCGTTTTGACCGCGCTGGGTTGGAGTCTTCCAAGGCCCAACCAGCTCGCCTTGCTCTTGTGTTTCCTTCTTCAAGATACTCACAAAAAGGCCCATGGGCCCATGGTTCCACAAGTTGTTGCTTCAAGAAGTCGTTCTTGTTCCCAGTGAATCCCAAATACCATGGCTAACATGCGTTTTACTTTGGTGTTTGAAGTGTGAGGAACCCATTGGTTGCCTGATATATATATATATATATATATATAATAGATATGTCTTGTTCAGACCCCCAAAAAGGCTAAATTCAGCGGAAATACCAGTAAATTCTTCAAACGTGTGTGTGTGTGTGTTTTTTTTTTGGGGGGGGGGGTACCATATATATATATATATATATATTCAGGATATATATATATATATATATATATTCACTTTTCTCTGTGGACTTGGAATTGGTAAGCCTCGGGCGGCTGCTTTGTTTGACCGCCCAACGCCTTTCTCTCGGGAGCGTCCGTCAGGGAGCTCTACGCGGAAGTCGTCCCGGTCTCGGGCTGAGAAATCATCTCGAATTGAATCCGAGTCGTTTCCAGGAAGTCCCGGAAGGGCAACTAGGTCCCCCGGTAGTTATTTTGGCAGAAGCGAGGCCGCTCAGTTGCGCCGGCAAGAGGAGTTGCCCCATGGCCAGTTGCTCTACGGTGTCACAGACGTTACTTGGAAGGTCGACCAGGAGAGGTGGGGGTTTTGGAAGCTGTGCCTCGCCTCCAAACATGTTGATGCGTCTGGTTTCCCGCGGACCACGCCGGTGGAGAGTGCAGTTGGCAGGCTGGCCAAGGAAAGCAGCGATGCGCTCACAGCGTTGCTCGCGGCGACGAGCAAGTGGTATGTGACCCACGGCGTGTCCCTGCCTGATCACTTACATCACCGCCTTTTTGATGACACCTCAGCACTTTTACCCTTGGGGGAGGGTTTTTCATACTAAAATAGACAGGAAAAAGTTGGTACCAACTTATTCTATCCTCTCTACCAGAGGACCTAGAGGAAGTGCCGGATATGGCGCCCCTAGACCCCCAGAGGCGCCCCTTTTTTCCCCAGCTGAAAGCGTTTTGGGGGTCGATAGGCTTAGATAGTCTCCTACAGGTGGTTTAGGGGCAGCTTTGAGCGGGGGTTTACCAGATTCGGTTCTGGGGTGTTCAGGGCGTGTTGGTATACTACCAGGCCTTTTGCTCCCTTTTTTGGAGGGGGTGATACCAACTACAAAACAGCAGTGCCACATCTTTGGCTTTACCGTGTCCACTGCGGGTCTGGGGGTCTAGGGGCACTCCCCCAGTTCCTGAGCTTTTTTACTTGGAACTTGTTTGGGTGTGAATCAATTTTATTTGGGGACCCTTTGCTGGACATCATTTACATAGGGATTTGTGTCCACCAGCCACTTTTGAGGGGGCTCCCTATTGGAATTCATGGCCGTTTTGGGTGAGAAACAACAGCTCTTTTGAGATTATATTTCTTGTAACCGAGGGCTTCCCATTTTCATGATTCCCGGTGTTCCCTTTTAGCTTGAAACCAGCTTGTACCGAGCCTAAGGCACAAGCCCAAAAAGGTGGTGTAGAGAATGTGTTCAATCATGTTTGATCAGGGGTCTCATTTTGGGGCCCACTTTTGGATGGTTTGGAAAGAAGGCCCAAAGGAACCAACTGGGGGGAGCGACTTCAGGCAACCAAATAGCAAGCTGCTCAGATCTAGGCGTTTGCATAATACGAGGTGAGCCAGAGAGAAGACGATAGGCAAGCCAAACTGACACAAAAACTAGGTCCCCCAGTAGCCCCCTTTCTCACCCCTTTTTTGGTTGGGAGGGTTCCCCTACTAAAATTTGAATTTTTGCCACCCTTCCAACGTCAACCAAGAAGAGACGACTACTAAAAACAAGTTGATACCCTTATTCTATCCTCTCAAATCTGGAGGACCTAGAAGAAGAAGGGAAGAGGCACCACTTTCTAAGGGAACTGGGGTTGGTTGCACGTAATTGAGTCATGTAAGCTAGGGACTCCTCCTAATTTTTTCATGTGGATGTATGCGTGTGTGTGTGTGTGTGTGTGGTTTTGAGGGCGCGTCCTGTCAGAAGTTGGTTTAAAGGGAGAAAAAAGAGGAACAGCGAAGCCTTTTTTGGGGGGGTCCCGACTCCCAATTTGTCACGTACATGAACCAATCCCGAGAACACCGAAACATTGAAGCAACCACAAACTCGGGGAAAATGAGTGGTGTTCCATAACAATCCGAAACTGGGTATTTGATTATTTGGGTTATTGGTGGGTTGCGCCTTTTCCACTTACGAACTGTGCGACAAACATCCAAGTCACATCAGGTTGTTTCTTGAGGGGTTGAGATGGACCAGCAAGTCCTGGTTGAAAGTCAGCTTCCCAGATTGGTTCATCAGATTATTGAAGAAACTATTCGCGAACCCTGCCAATTGCGTGAAACTTGGATGTTCGGCCAAGTTAGGAAGTGGATAGCCCCCCGGGTCATAGGAAGGTACACTCCACTTGGGACTTGGGAAGCGGGTTATAATTTGGGTTGTGGACACATTAACAATGTAGTCGGACACGCAAGTACTTTCCTCAGCTTTTGCTCCCCCCGCAACAGACTAATTCTTTTAGACTTGCAGATAGCACAATTCCTGGTAGACGTGGCATTTTCATGGGGATGCGCAAACCAACATGGGGGAGTTGTAACATCTACTTTCATCCAACTGCATAGGAATCAACTCCCCGGACCTGCGGCCTTTGCCCCCATATCCAAACCTTTGAATGCACAACCATTCGGCAAAAATGTCGTCCATATCAGTCAACAAGAACATGAACATAGGTGTTTCACCTTTCAGCTGGTCCATTGTTTGATGAACCTGATGCAACCTCAGCTCAAAACACCAGTTCGCCTGGCGTAGAAACCATAGGTGTCCTTTTTGGTTGGTTTGCTTAGAAAATGGAGGGCCCTGGTTTAGATGGGGTTTATTCCATTTACCGGGCCATCTGTTTTTCCAAAAGGCCACCTATGGTGAAACCCTTTTCACTGGAGGCCATTTTTGCGCATCTCAGCGGCAAAAAAAAACCGCCTCGGCCCATCCGACGTGTTGCCCGTGCGGCGTGTTCTGCCGGAGCGAGGCCCGGGCAAGTCAGCCGCTTCCGCAAGGCGAGCCAGGAGCAGCTCGGAGCGATTGAGCCCGCGGCCGGGCTGGGGATTCAACCTGCCGAGTCCTGGGAAAGTCAAGGTCTTCCAAAGAACACTTCCAGAGTCTCCTTCCGACCCTTTAAGCCGGGGGCTCGTGGATTTGGATTTGTCCAACATCGACCCTGGAAAACCAGGTCTTCCAAAGAACCTGAAGAGTGTCCTTCTGACAATTGAAAATGGTTACTTTGGGAAATGACCATTCATTTTTCAAGGGTCAGAAGGAGACTCCAGGAATTCTCAAAGAAGAACGGGTAGTTTGGGAGTAGGTACCCTGGGAATCAAGCCATGAAACTAACTTGCCCAAAGCGAATTGACCTTTTGACCTCTTGTTGGTTATTTCCATGTTTAGTCAAGGTCCCAAAGGGTGATCCCTCAAGGGCAGAGCGGCGGGTTTGTTTTTGGTTTTTATTCCCCGAACTCAGACAGTTTTGTCACTCTTTTTGGGCCATAAACTTGATCGGAAATGAGGCCAGGGGTAGAGAATCTGGGCTTGATTCCATTTGACCTAACCCCCCCTTTTCCGGGTGGGGTTGCTTACGGTGGGAGTAGTGTTACTCCGCAAGTTCCCAGGCTTGGAATCTTATTGGAAAATCCGTCTGTGTGGCAAGCAAAAGACGTCTGAGTGGCGAGCAAAAGACATGAGCTTGTTTGGGCCAATCTATTGAGGAAATGAGATGAAGTGCGTGAGTCAAACAGAGCTGCAGATTATCATGAAACCCGGGCCCCCAAGACAACATTCCTCTAACAACTACGGCTGTTATGGGCTCCAGGCTCACTTGCGGGTGTGTAGGTCGCCATTATTCACCATCTTTAAATGAGAAGAACATATTTCACCATCTTTAAATGAGAAGAACATAAAGTTGAACATGTTGGACATTACCTATTTCAGGGTGGATGCCTCAGACAGATCCAATATGAGGCATGGTGATGGTCAAACTGTGTGTTTCCAGAACAGTCGGAATCCCCTTAAAATGGACCGATTCCCTTTAGGTTGCCTCCATCGAAACCTCCAAAACAAAACGCATTCTTTTCTTGTGGAGTGCCACGCGCATGTGGGATACGCACGTCTTTTTTGACGCTGCCCCTTTGTTTCTGGTGGTTTCAAGGGAAACCACAAGGAATGCCGAGGCCTTTTTTTTTTGGCGGGGGCGCCAGGGGTTGAAACAAAAGGACGCACCCATTGTTGGTTTGACATTTTTCGTCGGTTTTCCAAACAAAGGCACCCATTCACCAGGCTAAATTTCTCGGCTTGAGGTTCTTGGAATCCAGCTGGCAGCGATCAGTGGAGGTGGTCTTTTGGAGCACGCTGGTCTTCGCAGGCCTTCGGGAGGTTGGGGGGGTGATCAATATGGGTACTGGTCAAAGTTAACCCACCAGGGGACCGCAGGTTTTAGTCCATGTTTTCATTTACCGGGGTTCCATGTTGGGTACCTATTTTTGAAGACCCACATCCATATGGGTATTGGGTACCTGGAGTCTCCTTCTGACCCTTGAAAAATGGTTGGTCATTACCCAAAAAAAAGGTTGGTCATGGACCTATTTTTACAGGGTCATGGAGACTCCAGGTATGGGTCAAAATTAAGCCAGGATGTGGACTGCAGGCTTTCGTCCTTGGTTCCATTTACCAAGGGGTATACCCATTTTTGGATATGCCCGGGACAAACAGGAAACGGTCCGTAAATGCCCTAGGACCAGCCCCAAACCTGGAGTGGGTGAACGCTCAGAGGGATGTTCTAACGCATTCTGTCGGGGGGGGGGGGGGGGTTGATCAATATTCCGTTCGGCGCCCAGGTTTGAGCGTTTGTAACTTGTCCCATGTGGTTTAAATGTCATCTCTTTAGTGGCTTTCTAACCAAGGGCCATTCCATGTGAACTCCCTCAGTTTCTTCTCAAATCCCGACCTCGTGCCATGGTTAAAACTTGTCCGAGCCATTTTGTGAAGGCTCCAAAAGGCTGGGCGATCATTTCGGCACGTCAGGTAAGTGGATAATAACCATGGTTATATCCCGCAAAAGCCATCGTTATCAGTCGAAGTGGATTATAACCTGGCTTACTAACCACTTACATGCGGTGCCTGATCGCCCGTTTCAGAAACATCCGTCGAGGTGTTTGGTTGTTTCCCTCAACTCAACTTAGCGGCCACATGAATCTGTACTGCATGCCCACAATATAACATGTTCATTCCTTGGCAGGGTGGTTCGGCGGTAGTGGAAACCACCTTGGAGATCCTTGGCTCACTCTCCAGATTGACACAGATCAAAGAGAAACCACGGTTTGTAGCTGTGCCACCTGAGGTTGAAATTGGTAAAAGACTGACCCCGCCGCTGGCTTTGGTCAGCTTAGGTCCCTTCAAAGGGAATATTTGCCCCACTCGAAAATTTCCGCTTTTTGTTCGGGCATGTTTTGGAACCCAACGGTTTTCCAGGTTTTTGACCGGTCAAGGGTGAACGTCCTCTCAAGGACCCGCTGGACGCCTTTTGTAGTGGGACCCTTTTTCAGTTTACCTGGAGTCTCCATGACCCTTGAAAAATGGGGTCATTCAACCGTTACATTTGGGGTCATTGGCATATTTAAAAAGGTTCACCTTGCATTTCTGGGTGCCCGAGAAACGTTGAGAGCCCCGAGCATTTTCTCAGAGTGCCTGAAGGCGAGTTCGTGGGCGCGCTGTACCTGCAACATCTGACTACTGCCGAGGAGCCGACAGACCAGAGCCATACACGGGTCGTACCATCGCTCGGGAAGAGAAATCGGGGCCACTTCCGTGGTGAAGGCCAAACCGATATCTTAGACGCTTTCTTGGCTAGTTCCACAGTTTGGCCATAGTTTGGCCCAGGCATGGCAAGAAGGGGTCAGTGTATTGTACCTCAGCAGGTACCGGCCAATGTGTGTGTGTGTGTGTGTGCGTGGTTCAGCGTGTGCGTGTGCATGTTCGTGTGTTTGTTTGCAAGGGTACCCTTTCGGGATTGGTTTGAAGGGAAGCCAAAAGAAAGCCAATCATTTTGAGGGTCCCCTATTTTGACACATCCATGTTCAGCTAGTTGCTCTTGATAAATTTGGTGTTGTTTGCTAATGATGCAAGGCCCATGCTCAAATTTCTGCACATGATAAAACAAACAAAACATGTTGGTTGCCAGGGTGAACGCCCTAAATATTGCAAGCAAGGGAACAAGGAAGCAGGAAGCCATCTAATTTGCCGTAATTTTCTGTGGTTTGGTGGTTGAGTAGTTTTTTTTTTCGGACATCCACTGTAAGGCCCTCTCAGTAGATCCCAGGTACCGAATAGTATGTAACCAGTCATGTTCCTTTGGGTTTTTCCTTTTGGGCGTTTCCCTTCATTACCTACGTTTGCCAGGTAGACGGATCCGCTGCTTGAAGGGGCAGGGTACTTACTAAGTAGTTAGTCAGCTGAATTATAGCCAACTTGCCATGGTTACAAGTGTCCTAAGTGGGCTATAACCAGGCTTACTAACCACCTAATAAGTGCCCTGCCCCTTCAAGTGGGCCTGTTTTGGCGCGCGTCTCGAATCAACTCGCGCACTTACTTGCGATCTTGCGATCCGCAGGATCTGGCCTTTCCCTTTCCGTGACTTGGAGGATTTTGCCGCGTGTGTTTGCAGTTTTTGCCATTGGAGCCATTGGCTGAAATGGGTATGGGTCAAAATCAAGCCACCATGAAGTATGGGCTGCACATTCTAGTCCTTTCCATTTACCAGTTGCTGAAAAATGGTATGGCTCAAAATCTTTCCCACAAGGAAGTATGGGCCGCACAAACTGTAGTCCGCTCTATTTACCAGGGCTTGATTTGTACCTCATTTTGGACCCATTTGCTGAAATGAAGACGTGTTAGGTTTCCCCCTACCTAGAGTCTCCATGACCCTTTAAAAATGGGGTCATTGCCTAAAATAATGGGGTCATGTACCTATTTTTAAAGGTCATGGAGACTCCAGGTTCGATCACTTGAAATCTTGCTTTTTTTCTTCCAGACGAACACATCGCAGGCTTGGAGCCCTTGTGATGCCCCTCGGGGTCAGGCAAAATTCGTTTTGAAGACGCGCCGGTCTGTCCGACCCCCAAAACGGGAAAGGGTGCAAACATCGGGCCGACTTTGGCATCCCTTTCGACTTTTAACCAACTCACTCGGGGTGTATCCGCATGTCTATGATAGTTAGCTTACCTCTTAAAAAAAACACAACTTTTCAACTTTTTGGGTAACATGGGCTGTATGTCTGTAAAAGATTAACTTCCCCAGGGCTTGGAGTTTTAAGAGGTAAGTTAAGGGAGTCTTCTCTTTAACTGGAGGTTTGTCTTTGGGGGGTAAGCCCTTTGTGTTGTATTAAAACAGAAGTGGTCATTTCCCACAGCCGTGTTTTGCTTGAAACAGAACGGACTTTTCCGAAAAGGACCCGCCATTTTGATTCAAACTTTTGCAGGGGGGAGCTTGCAGCAGCCTTTTGCAAAGACCTTTGGTCTTGCTGGGGCTGTTTCGAACGGTGTCCTCCCGAATTTAGGCCACGAATCTTTGCCAGACTTCGCTTACCTCTTAAATGTTTTGCCTTTCTTCTAGCAGTACCTTCCCATTCTGTCCACGGATCCGACCTTTTCAGGAAACCATGAACATCCAGGGAAACAGCTGTTTTCGAGGCGGAATGATGGTTGAAAAGAATGGCTGGAGTCAAACCCTAGATATGTGGGTTTCCTTCAGAACTACTTTCACCATGTGACAACTGATTCAGACGGTTTGGTCATGGAGTCACCAACTCAGTGATTCCAATGGCAAAAAGTATGCTCGAAGCAACTTGTGGCGTGCGTGCTGGGTGTGAGTCTTGTCAGCAGCCTTGTCGCCGGCTGTGGATTGCAATCTTGAAAGAAAGTGAACCTCAAAGTATGGCACATGACAAACAGGACAGGCAAGGCAGGATGCCACGCACGGTGTGGGGAATTCGCTTGCTGGTAGCAGATGCTAAAATTGGAAAGATGAGCGTCTTTGAGTGCCAGATTTATTGGCACCCTTGGCTCAGACGGGCCACAACTTGGTGACAACACAGTTCTATAGCTAGGTCCCCCAGTAGTGCCCTTTTACCCTTTTTTGGGGGAGGGTTCCCCTTCTAAAATAGACTACAGAAAAAGGGGTACCCTTATTCTAACCTCTCTACTGGAAGACCTAGTATAGGTTGTGGCCAATTTCATGGTTCCTGTAGCTGGTTTGCTAGACCCACCCCTTTTGCTTTTGGGTTCCCCACTACGAACGTGAACATGGCAAACTAAAAGTGGCAAATCCTAAAGCTGCTTCCCCCTTTCTATCAGGGTCACTGGGCAACTGAAAAGTGCTGCTCCATCAAATTGCACGCTTGTCTTTTTACTGCCCCAGAATTAGTTCCCCTTTTTACTTTTTGATCTGTTTTGGGGTTCCCTTCGTTTTCCACCAACCAGGCAAAAAGAAACATTGTTTTTTTGCTGGGGTCCTAATTCCAGCCAAGTTTACATCACGCAGGCTTTGTCGGGCACACGTCATAGGCGTCCTTTTTTGGGTTCCACTTGTTTCGATGGGTTTTATGCCCCATGTACCAGGAAAACCCATCTACTATGGCACTCGTGCTTCTTCAGGTTATTGGCTACTCCCAATATTACCCCAATTCTGCTATGTTTTTTTTACAACAAGTTGAGCCTTTAAGAGACACGCAAGGATGAGTGAAGGGCACGACTCGTGCCTCTTCTTTTGGTTGTTGGCTGAGGTTTTTGACCGCTTGCCTCTCGAACCTGGTGGCTGGTTTGCTGGTTATCGCTGTGCTCGCGCTGCTCAACCGGACCAACACCCGCGAGCAGTGCGGTGAGATCGCCGCGGACGCGGAGGCTTGGAACGTGGGTGGGTTTTTGGCTCCAAAGGAACCCGCAAAAATGGGTGGTTTCCCATTTGGGCTCACCAGTGTACTCTCAAAAAACAAGGGGACACACCACTTGGTGGCTCCCAGCCATCCCCTTAGCCTTTTAGCTTGTTAGTGTTTAGTGGCAGTTTCCGTTAAACCCACTAAAAGTTAGTCACTTTTAGCGGGGGATCTGAGGGCAGCCCAGACCAAGCGAATGGCCCTTGTAATGGAAATTAATCAACCCAAGATTATCAACAGGGGGACACTCCCTGGGTTTAGTGGGGAATCAGACCATTTTTGGAGGGGCCCCCACCCCCTGTGAATCAACCGGGGTTGATGAATAGGGGTGCTAAACGCGGTTCCTTTCATAGAACTTCCCGATGAAACATTCTGAATGGCTGACCCGCTTAGGGGAGAATCCGTTCGATCGGTAAACAATGGTTACATGAACCAAGGTTTGTTTGAACGGTGGCAAGCCTGAAGCCCAGAAGGTTCTACCTGCAGTCTCCATGACCCTTTCAAAATAGGTCCATGACCCCATTATTTTGGTAACGACCAAGCATTCTTAAAGGGTCATGGAGACTCTAGGTATATATATATATATATATTTGCCTTCAGCTTGGATAACCTGCCCGAACCCAAGACATGTGATACTGAAGGCGGAAGATGTTTTAGCGGCGGGCCAGCGAGGCATCCTTTGTTTCAAGCAATTCCACGCAGCCGGGCCTTCTCATCTAAAAAAATAGCCAACTGAGTGACATTGAGTGGAGACAAACGGAGGAAACGACTCTTGTTGATAGACCACAAATCCTTGCTGTTCAGAGGCAGGTACCAATGGGAGAGGCCACAGCCTGTAACAGCAGTCCGGTGGTGATGCTGCTTCGACAAGTTGGAAGTGAACAAACGCACCCTTCAACCTGCTGCAAGCTAAGTTTTTCAAAACCCTAGCCTTCATTGAACACACCGTTATTTGTAGAGCTCTTTTGTTTAAATATTTGCACAACCTTGCTAACATTTTAAACCCAAGTCAATGGGTTTTGGGCATGGTTCAGGAAGCCGGAAACCCATTGAGAAGTTGGTGGACTTGCAGTTGACCCCATATGAATCAACCCAAGCTTATGAATATATTAGGGGTGGGGGCCCTCCAGAAGTGGTCTGAATCCCACCTAAAACCGGGGACAAGCACCCCCACCTAAATGAACTGGTTTAGCTAAAGTGGTTGCTTGAGTAATATGGGTTCCACATCATGTCGCAGGTCGACTTGAAGATGCAGCTGATGCTAGGGGTCTTGGTCACCTGTGAGATCGGCGCTGCGGTGAAGGCCATTGGTTCAGGCTCAAGGTTTATTGTTCCACGAGGAAACCTTGCTGTAGCCCGCAAATGTTATCCCCGACCAAACAGAACCCCTGGTTGATTAATAGGGGGGTGTCCCGTTTTAGTGCGGATTCATCACTTTTGGATCACCCCCTAATAATGGGACGGGTTTCTTAATCCTGGGTCAACATTAGGAAGCTTCCATTTGTCTTTCAGAATATGTTTTTGTTCTTTCCCCGGTTGGTGTTACAGGGAATCTATCCCTGCTGGGAAGAGTTTCACTTTTTCCAGGGGACTTAGGCAAATGGAGCTAAGTTATTCGGAGCCTGCTTGGATGTTTGATTCGCCAAGTTAGCAAGTGGACAAGGCCATCCGGGCAAGAATTTGCTATTCACAATGTTGACTCTACTATACGAGCCGCTTACTAGTGTGGCCGAGAAAAGGGCAACAGGTGTTGCTTTGGTGAAATTCCCGGAAAAGTCCCATTCAAGGCAGTACTAGGGCCCAACTCACGGGATGGTGTTTTCTGCCCAGCTGTTCAGAGAGTTTCACTCGTTTGTGTTTGGGGTCAACACTAAGACTTGCCCAAGGCGAATCGACCGGATCGAACCTTTTGGTTTCCCTGATTTGGTACCCAAGTTTAGCAAAGGTCCCATATTATAAGGTGATCACCTTTTGTTTGCAGGTTCAACACCAAACAGGATTTCAAATGCCACGGTCAGTGGCATAGGTGCACTTTTTGGGTTGTTTTGCCTGGTTTACCTGGTGGTTTCATCATCTGCCAGGGCCATCTATATCCCCGAAAAGGACGCCTGTGGTCGGTGGTAGCAGAGATCCTAGGGATTTACCTCGCCCGGATTGTCGCGTGCTGCAGCGGGTGCCGGCTTGTGCCCCAATGAATTGAATGGGGCTCCCTTCTGCTTGGTGAGGATCCGGATGCAGACTGGAGAATACATGGCAAGTCTTGGTGGGACCGTGGCCCCTTTGACGAAAGGTGAATAGACCATGTCAGACCCCTTTGCGCGACCCGGCATAGTTAAGTTCTGGGTAGACGATGCCTAGGGGACAATCTCGACACATGTGGCAAGAGCCGGCCTTTAGATGCAAGCCCCTTAGTCCCCTGGCATCTTAGGATCTATGCTGACCTCGTTGCTCCTGAGCTACATTCTGAGGTAAGGAAGGTTCTGGGATGCCTGGTAAGACTCATATTGGAAGCCTCGAGTTGCTGACAAGCACCAGGTTACTTCCATGATCGTCGTTTCAGAACATGTGTTTATTGAAGGGAGTGTTGCAAGTTAAAAACATAGTCGATAGTGTAATCACATATTTCTATTATTGTTCTTCACTATGTTCCTTCTTGGTTTCGGAGGGAATCAATTTCACTACTGGCCATAATTGTATTTTTGCAGGGGACAAACAAAAGCAAATTGAGGTGATTGTGTCTCAGTTCGTCCGGGCGGCGGGCGGTGCTCCTAAACGTCTGAAAGTCTCCATGAGAATTGAATGTGGGATCAGCTTCCTAAAAATCACATTATTGGGGCCGGCTTCTTGGATGTTCAACCAAGGCAGGGTAGGTAGGTTAGAGCCAATGGCTATTAGGTTATACTATGGCAACTGGGGTTGGTCCTCTTACCACGGTCCTATTCTAAGTTGGTTGAACATCCAAGAACACCACATATCAGTCCTTTGGGATGATTCCCCATTCTGTTCAACCACCGTTCTTTTCAATCACTGCCCGTTTTCCCTGAACTTCTGGAGGTTTTCTAGAAAGGATTCCTAAGAATGGTTGCAAGGTACGTCTACCTGGAGTCTCCATGACCCTTTTAAAATGGTCATGGACCTATTTTTAACGAGTCAGAAGGAGACTCCAGGTGCTTACCCTGGACCCCTTTGTTTCTGCCGAAATGACCCATAAAAACAGGTACACAGGCAGAAACAACAGGTAGTGGGAAAACAAAGTCGTATTCTGACCTCTTGGTTTTACATCATGGATGGTTTTCTCTGACCTGCATGGTAGCTAGGAGCACTGAGATCCCTTCGACAGGTTCTGTCGAACGTGCACCATACCATGGCGGCCTGGGTCTACATGCTGACTCCCGCGCCTCGGCTCAGATTCGATCGGCCCCGGGCTGGTGGGCCGATGGACCGAGTCCGATATCGCCGAAATGACCCAGAAAACAAGAAGTGCAACCTGGAGTCTGCATGACCTTTACCCCGTTTTTTTTAGGTGACCAACCATTTTTAAAGGACAGTTAACTATCTTTTATTTCCATGCAGGTTCTTTGGGCAGAGACTTGGTACCATCGGAGACGTATTAGCCTACACAATTTGTGCTTAGCTTCCAGCCATCCTCTTAACTGATTCACTTTTTGGTTGCTAGGTCCCCCAGTAGTGCCCTTTCTCACCCCTTTGTTGGTTGGGAGGGTTCCCCTACTAAATAGACTACGGAATAAGAGTTGGTACCCTTATTCTAACAAACCTCTACTGCAGGACCTAGTGATTCCTTTTTTCTCCGCCGAAATGACCCATAAAGCCGCGGTGCAAAGGCAGTCAAAAAAGAGGATTCATTGAGGGTGCAGGGGGGGTCTCCCCTTTGAAACGCGGCAGGCGGCACCAGGCTCAACAAAGGGGCCATAGTCTTGGCCACTCCTCATATACTGGGATGTTCGTGGCCAAGATAGATTTTGTGGTTAGCCACCTGGGTTACAAAGGCCAGCTCCACCTATGCCCTGCATTGGCCCTGTGGGTCAACTACTACAATTCAACAAAACTCAAACGAGTCGAAAACAAAGCAACAAAAAACGTTGTACGTGTCAATTCTAAGGCATGATCCCAGTTGTTTTGGAGCTATCAAATCAGCTGCGCCTTTTAAAAGTCCCTATGACCACATGCGCCGATAGAGCTTCGCTCACCACAGCTTTGGGGCTGGTCCTCACCCCAGCTCGGGCATCGGACCGTTCCTTGTTGCTTGGGTGGCAGCTTTCATGGTACTGGGGAGGTTTTCATGGAAGACCCGCCTGAAACGTTGTTCGTGGACGTGAATTCCCACCTTGATCCCCACCAAAGCGTTCCTAATTCTAATTCAAAGTCACAGTGGTACTATTGCCTGGAAAAGAAACGGTTTAGGCTTTTGGGCGATCCACTCAGCCGCAGTGCTCCTAGTTACCACTCTTGCAGGTAACCAGGGAAAACCATCCATGGTAAAGCCAAGAGGTCAGAATACCGAAGGGTTACGTACTATAGTTGCTTGTCAGGAAGGACTAACTTTGACAACCTAACAGATCAAAAGGGAACCATCGCCATTGAGACGAACCGTTAGAAACAGTCCATGACCCTTTAAAAATAGGTCCATGACCCCATGATTTTAGGTAATGACCAACCATTTTTCAAGGGTCAGAAGGAGACTCTAGGTACCTGTTTGCCTACTATAGCAGGTAACAAGGGAAAACCATGGTGTAAAGCCAAGAGGTAAGAACGCTTTTTTTCCTACTCTAGCGGTAGGTGGCAGCCCTGGTACCCACTTTTCCGGGTATCGGGGACCTCGCCCTTAGCGAAGGTTGCAACCATCCTGGTGGCCAGCCGCCGCCCTAGATGTTTTCCCGGCGATGTTCCGAGAGGCGTCCAAAGGCCATGGAAGAAATGCTCCGTGCTTCAAAACTCGACCTAAGCGGACCTTTGGGTGTTCTTCACTTCTTGGCAAACAAATGTTGGTGAAGGTCGCAAAATGGGGATCGCCTTGGAAAAACTGGGCCCTTCGGGCAGGTGAGAATGCGCGGGGTGGTTGTGCTCAACGGAAAGCAAAAAGCAGCCACATTTCTTCTGGTCTCTCTGGTTACGAGCAAGCCAGCTCCTGAGTCAACATGTCTCACTTGCCCAAAGCCGACCGTTTAACTTTTTGGTGTTCCTGAGTTGGCCTACTTTTGGCAAAGGTCTCCAAATACGTTTTATTTCCATGCTCTAGGGGTGGTTCTGTTGGCAGGTGAGACTGCTACCATCGGAGACATATCAGCCTACAAAATTTGTGCTGGTGGTTTAGTGGTAGTTTCCATTGAACCCACTAAAAGTTCGTCACTTTTTCCGCATCGGAAAACGGGCAGCCCTGGAAAGCGATAAAATAGATTGGACTCCCAGGTTGGTGGTTGAATGATACCCACCGGGTGGGGGGGGGGGGCGGGGGATATCCCTCACTGGAAATTTTTATAGGGGAACCCATTTCTTCCCGAGGAGATGAATGGAAGTAGGGTGTCCCCATCCTCCCCCTTAGAGGTGGGGTTGATGTTCAACATTGACCCAACATGATGTGATTTGTGCACTGCACAATGCAGACGCTAATTGCTGGGTTTCTTTCATTTCTCTTTTTCATCATCCAGAGGTGGCAGTTTCAATGGAAACCACTAGTCGATTGCAACTTTTGACGGGGAATTGCAGTGATCTATGTCTGCATATGGTGCCATCGACTTGCACCCAACTGCAGACGCTAACTGCATAAAGCTAACTTTGGCTGGCGAAAAGGGAAAAGTATACAGGCCTCCCAGTAAGCACCAGCATTGCAGCAACATTGAAGCGGGGAATCGATAGGAGGTTTCAGTCACCACCATCAATCACCATCTGAGATTTCTTTTGGCGGATGTCTATTCCCAGACATGTCCCAGACATGTCCCTGGATGGTAGCACGGATATGTCCAACTTCTTGGGGGCACGGTTTCAAACATGTTTCTTTATTCCCAGACATGTCTTTGGATGATAGCATTGTTGTTGTCTTGAGGGCACCGGTGTCAAACAATCCTTTTTATAGCCATCCGTTTGGGGGGTGCTTTTCCATTTTCAGTTGACCACCCCCACCTGCAAGACGCGCGCTTCGCGACTTAGGCAGCAACTTCTTTGGAGTCTTGGCAGCACACCTCTTGCCGTGTCCTGCCCGACATGCCTTGAGTCAGCAAACGTTGTCTGCTGTTGGATCAGACCTGTAACCTTCAGTACGCGTGTCGTTCCTCGATTCACAAAGCAACATAATACATAGTTGTTTTTTTGTTTTTATTGGCAAAGTGAAAGAGTACATTTGCTGTACCCTTTGGGGATCATGCGTGTTTTTCCCACTAAGACAACCTTGTCGCGCGGAGGGTAAGGGCCACCAAGTTACAATCAGGTAGCGCAAGACCCCCCCCCCACCCCACCCAATTGTGGCCCATTCACTGCCTGGCACATCTCCAAATTAGTGCTATTTGTACCCACCGTTTGGGTATACCTGATTGTTGCTTTGTTGCTCACTAGGGCAGAGAACCAGTCGTTCCATCTGGGGAGGTTCCCTTAGGTGTCCTTTTTGTTCAGTTCAGTTCAGTTGAGAAATAAAGGGGCCTGGTAGACCTATTCCCTGCGCTTCAAAAGGCCTGTCTAAAGCAGGCCTCTGGAAAGAGGCCTTGATTTGTCAAGAGGCCTTGTTTTGTAAACCCGGAAGTATCCATGGCAAGTATCCACGCCTTTTCAAGGCCTTTGGCCCCTTGTTCCTGGCCCAAGAAACATGGTTTTACATTGGCTGCATATCGTGCGTCACCCACGATGTCGCTACATGTTGTCCTTTGTGCTCTCAATCTCTGACATCTTTACCTCGCATTGCTTTGCTCCAAGGCAGTTGTTTAAACGGACGAACTCCAGTGGAGTTGCGATTCCATGCTTTCCTTTGGAGGTGTCGGCACAGTTTCGGCGACCCTGCATTTTTCGTGGAACAAACGCCACGCTCTTGCACGAAGGCTGCAGTTGGCCCAAGCAAAAGGTTGGGTTTTGGCAGTAGCGTCATGTGGTCCTGCTGGGGTTTTTCGCATTGCGTCCACGCCTTTTTGAGGCCTTTCCACGCCTTTTTGAGGCCTTTCCACGCCTTTTTCCGGCCTTTCCACGGGTTGTCCATGCTTTGTCCACGGTCCAGCTGGTGTTCTGAATCACTTCCCTGGGCAAAATGCAGCACAGCGTTTTGCTGACACAGGCAACAATTTGCAGATCTTGTTGTGAGTTTGGCTCCAGTTTCTCAAGCATATATCTACGAAGGGGGGCTTCAAACTAAAGAGAGTCCCAAACAAGATGGTAGGAAGGCTGCAGCTATGATTCTGCAAAGGAGAGTTTTTGGCTTCGGCTACTCCTCGAGACCCTTCAGCTGAGGCATGCGCAAATGCATGTTACACGCATTCAACAAAATGCCAAATCCCTTCGAGTAAATATATTTGCCAGAAACTGCACGAGGTGGCCACCCCCAACTTTTCAAGGCCTTTGCCCTTCCTTTTCGAGGCCTTTGCCCTTACTTTTTGAGGCCGCTGCACACCCTATTCAAGGCCTCTGGAACAAAGCAAGGCCTAGGCCTAACAAAAGGAGGCCTTGGAAGCCCAGGGTATTGGTTTAATCATCTAACAGGCCATCTATTTTTCCCAGAAAGACACCTATGGCTTTAACATAAAGGCTTCAGTTTGAAATAGTTTTACAGACCTTTAGCCTGAGGGTACGCAGTCTCATTTGCCGACCCGCCCGCCCTTCAATCAACTTCAAACTCAACCAAACAAAATTGATTCCCAGCCCCTAAAGAATGGAATTAGGTCAGGGGGTACTTCTGGAGATCTCCATTTATGGTGAGCCATTCTCACTTTGATGGAAAATACCACATAAGTGGAGTTGGGTCCCGGAACCCCCCCCCCTCCCTTAAGGTAGGATCAAGCGAGTGGACCAAGAAAGGAGTGGACAGTGCCAATGAAATCTTAATCCAACGAAGCTTCGGCCAACAACAAAAAAACACGTCGGGGCAAGCACAAGTCTTTTCCCCCTGGAAGTCCACGGAAAAACCAAGAAATGCTCCATGAAAATCCACGAAAGGCCCACTCTGCTCGTAGATTCGGAGCTGGGACTTGAAGATGGCTCAGTGGATCCCAGGCGTTTCGTGGTGAGAGTATCTCAGCCTGGTGAGATAACCCACACGGAGACGAAAAGAAACGGATCCACTGGGCAGGTTTTGGCCCCTGAAGATCAATTTCATTTGGGGAGACGTATCAGCGGGTTGTAGTTTGCTTACAAACAACTTACTAGCTTGGAATCCGAACATCCAAGTAGTCACTAGTCCCAAAAAACCCAGGGTCGGAATCCGATCCTCAAAATGGTCCGGAAAAAGCGGGTAGCCAAGAACCCATGGTGGGAACAGACAAGTATCCGGAAGTTGGCCAACTGTAGTTGGTGGCGTTTCTCACCGGATACTAAGCGACGTCAGGTTCTATTTGTTTTTGACGTCACCCAAGGTCTCTTTTACAAGGTATGAACTATTAAACCCACTGGTTGATGAATAGAGGGTGTGCGGGGATTCATTAGAGTGGAGGGGAACACACACGCACACCCTATCAATAGAAGCGGTTTATTGCTCTGGGGTCAACATTAGTCACTTATTGTCACTACTGTGGATGGACGAAACCCTGCACCACCTAAGAAGCTGAAATGATGATTCCCCAGTAAATACCGACCAACAATGGTTTCAACCCTGGTTTCATTTGGTGGTGCGATTTCTGGATTTCGCAACCATCCACACGTTTTCGCCACTGTGTTCCTGGAGTCTCCATGACCCTTTAAAAATGGGTCACCCCAACAATTTGGGTACTGACCAACCATTTTTCAAGGGTCAGAAGGAGACTCTAGGCACTAGGCACCCTCTAAATTATGGTTGAAAGGGAAGCCACACGCACTGTATTTTCTAAACTCTCCCAAACTGCAGCCATTGTGCCTGGGTCTTCTCTGAAAGGATTTGATTCGGGGTTGACTTCCAACAAAGACCCTTGCGACGCGAGGAATGGAAGTCTTGCGGCAGGACGGAACGAACCCAATGCCTTCGGCTGCAAAGACGCCCTCATCGCTTCCTGAGTTGGACGTAGAATGGTTGGTCATCACCTAAAATAATGGGGTCATGGACCTATGTTTGAAGGGTCATGGAGACTCCAGGTGATTACCTCATAGGCTCCCGATGCGTTTTGGGCCCTAGGTTGTTTTCAAGGCAGAGGCGGAGGGGTCATGAGCCTTAGGGAATGACCAGCTTACTGGCAAACAAGAGTTCGGACTTGTGTTGGTTCGATTTTGATTGGAAGTGAGTGTTTGTTGGTAGCTGCCTTTTTGGTTTTGAAGTGAACAGGGGTTCCATGTTCACACCAGGGTCCTTGTGCGAAAAGAGGTCAAAGGACAGCCTCCAAAGAAGGTACTTGTACCCTCTGGACAATATTTGGGCTGGTTGGTTTTATGTTGGCCTACGCTAGCCCAATGGCTTGATTACGTAGACCAAGTACTGTGGTGGTCATTTGCACTAATCCTTGACAATGCGTCAGTTGTTGGTGTTTGAACGGTTTAAGCCGTTCACCAGCAGCGCCGCGGCACCAGCGCCCTGTCAAGCAAAGGATGACGCTGCAGCCGAGCAATAAGCAACCAATTGGAATGATTACTCTTGTGGTCTCGACTGCCCTTTTGGACACGTGTGAAGTGGCCTCTTGGTGGGTCTTGTTTCGGCTTCCTTTGCTTCACGCGTTGTCAGGTTATAACAGATATACTCCGACTCACCAACATTGAAGAAACGAGAGAGTCAATTTCCCGAAAACACGCGGTCAACATCCTATTTTTAAAGGGTCAGAAGGAGAATCCAGGTATCTTCGACTGGTGGTCAAAAGTCAGCAACTCGACTGTTTTTTGCAGTCTACAGTTGGCTGAAAGCCGATGGCGCAAGTCGATCGGTTTCCTCGTCGCCATCACCTTTACTCGGTCTAAGCTCGGTTTGGGGCAGTTTTCAGGAGGGTTTCAAAGGAGAGTTCCAGAGGGTGGCGGGGCTGTCGGGGATATCACCCGGCCTAATTTGTTGGGTTGACTTACCCTCCCACCGATAACTGGAAAACCCTGTTCCGTTTCAGAGGACCCCCTCTGTCAGGCTAAAGTACTCACTCTTCGGCTGCAATCCTGGCTGCCACGCAAGGAGCTGCTGGTTGCCGCTGGTGTGGTTGCCTCAGCAGTTCCCCAAAAAGGTAAGCCAACGCCCAGTGCCACGATTGCTTGGTTCAAGCTTTTCCTTGCTGGTTCCTAAGAAACAACCGGCGGCAAAAAGGATGCGCGCTTCTTTTCCATGGAAGTCCACTGGAGGTTTGGGACACAATGGTCACCTGGAGCCGTGCCCCATGGTTTTTGGGATCATATTCTACCACAATGAAAGGCTGCAGATGTTTGCCTCCATATTGTGTTGCCTATGTCACAGGACGTTTCACACACACACACAGTGCTGACACCAGTCAATGATTGAGTTGGCTAAGAACCCTCTTTGTCAAAACTAGGTCCCCCGGTAGTGCCCTTCTCTCCCCTTTTTTAGGGGAGGGTTCCCCTACTAAAGTAGACTACAGAAAGAAAGTTGGTACCCTTATTCTAACAAACCTCTACTGGAGGACCTAGTACAGGTTGTGGCCAATTTCATGGTTCCTATAGCTGGTTTGCTAGACCCACCACTTTTGCTTTTGGGTTCCCCACTACGAACGTGAACATGGCCAACTAAAAGTGGCACCTAGAAAGGATCGAGACGCAAACTTGGTCTCCCTGGTTTGGAGACGGATGGTTTGGTTGTCTTTCGGAAGGGCACCACCTTGTTTCAGGGTATCAACCCTTTATCCAGAAAGGGGATGCTGACAAACCCCGGAACGATGATTCCCCGGCAAATGCCACCAAACAATGGTTTCAACCGTGGTTTCATGTCGTGGTGCGAATTCGATTTCGCAGCCCTCCCATGTGGAACTGGCCACCAACAGCCGAACGCTGAGGTGGCATCCCTCGGGGGCATGCTGGCCGTGCAAGGGCCCTTGCCTTCCATCGAGGCAGCACCGCTCGCGACGGACCCTGTCTACTTCATGTTGCTTAAGAGGGTAGTGCCAGGGTTTTTGTTGATGCCACAAATGGGTTTCTGGACTTCAGAATTGTCTTTGTCCAGGGGGCTTAATTAAGCAAATGGAAGTTTAGGCGTTGTGTGCGGCCTTTGTTGGGGTTGGTTGAAAGGGCAAAACATGGACAATCGAAATCCATAGCAACATGGCTTAGCATTTGGGGTTTCCTGGACCTTCCTTGTTCACCCCTTTTTCTGCAGAAATGACCTATAAGAAAGTGATACGAAGGCAGACAAAAGAAACTGGTCCTTTGGGGGTGGTGGTTTAAAGGGAAACCACATGGAAAACCAAAATCCAATTCCGGGCCCGGTCACACCTATTTTGACACACACGCACACACACACACACACCCTTTTTGATTCGTTTTTGGACAGTAGTTTGAAGGGCGAGGGAGACATCATATTTGGCTGCGGGGTGCTTTGAAACTAGCTTAAATCATGACCATAGCAGCAACATGATAGTTGTTTGGCCGCTCATAGTACCTTAAGGAAAAATGCATTTCGAAGGTTCTCTAGGTCCCGCAGTAGTGCACTTTTCTGCCTTTTTTTGGGGAGGGTTCTCTAACGAAATTGGACTACAGAAAAAAACGTACCCTTAGTCTTACTTCTCTACTGGAGGACCTAGTGCTAAGGGGGGGCTTTGTTTAAGCACCGTCTCCAAGGTAATTGTGGACTTCGCTTTGGGCAGAACCAATTTAGTTTCTCGGAACTCAGGGTCCCTGGATCTGTACCGCACTTTGCTGAGTTCCGTTTTGGGAAGAGACAAGTTTGGACTCCTTTTGGCCAGTCCACTCGATCGGAACTGAGTTGCGGGTGCAGGTTGAAGACATGTCAAAAGGCAGTCGTTGCGTCGAATCAAGGTGTGAGTTTGCTCTATGAGCATGATTTTTAGGGTTCAACCCCTATTCAAAGAAAGGACCCAAATTAGATGATGACAATCCTTACCCAGGGTGGTGTGATGTGGTGAAGGGAAGTAACGCCCCTCTATGACAAGCACGGCGTTTGTCCTATAACACTCAAGGGGTGTTGTTGCCCTCATTCCAAATATTTGGACCCGTACAGTGATCGATCATGTTGCACGTGGTTTAAGAGAAGTTAAAGTACCCATTGCAGTAGTCAAACGCCCTTTCGCCTGGGTTAATTAGTAGGGATGCTCATCAACATTCATCAACCGTTTAGACGAGGGTGTAGACAGCAATATATGCAGTTCCTTGGATGATTCCATGATCCCTCTTCAAGTTTCGACCCCTCTACAAATCCGACATTGCATCAACGCAAAAGAAGCTTTGACCATGGCACATGCGGAATGTAATGGAGTTGCGTTGAAGGCAAAAGATCCTATGGTTGTCAAAGGCCCCCGCCGCCAAAAAAAAAAACGGGGGCCCCCAAACCCAATAGAGGCTAGGGTGCAAAAGTGCCTGCGTTTGTTTCTTCTAGGTGTGCTGCTGGAAAACGGGGGGGGGGGCGCTGGCTGACAACCATGGCGAAAGAGAAGCCAGCCAAACGTGTGGAGCTCTTCTTTGCGAACGGACGGTGTGGTTGTTGCCGAGGATTCGAACGGAGTACAAGCAAACAGTACATAGCGTTTAAGGGCCCTAGGGACTACATCAAAAGGAGCCCTTTTGTCCCATGGGATTTTGGTGTTCATTTAAACCGAGCTGGAAAGGGCACTTGGATGTTTCGCCAAGTCTTAGTAAGTGGAAAGGACCACTTGGGTTATAACCCACTAAAACGTTAACTCCACACGAGGGACATATAAGTCTTATCCACAACTTCCTGTACAACTTGGCAACAGACAACCAAGTAGGGTTGGTTTAAGGGGAAAGGCAAGCATCCGTGTCTGGGATGTTGACCAAGGTATCCGTTCCCTATTGGGATAAGATGCCCCACACCCCACACCCCACCCCACCCCAAAGGACTTGTTCTCAGGGGAGAAGCTTGGCTCGAGTCCCTTGGCTTTTACAGAAATTCTGTGAGTTTCATGCCCCGAAATGGACCCGATCCTGTGGATGGTTTGGAAATCCATTTCGCACCGTTCAGAAAAATCCAACGGTGTGATTCGATTCCCCAACGGAAATACCATCCAACGTACTGGTTTCTTTTGGGCCTGGTTTCATTTATGAGTGTGAGACGCCAGGGCCCCAACTTGCAACGCTATGGTTTCAACCCTGGTTTCATTTGGTGGTGCGAAACGGATTTCGCAACCATCCACAGTAGCAACGGCTGACGAAACGGGGATGGGGGTAGCTGGCCTCTCTAGCTCCCAACAGCTCCCCCCAATCTTGGCCCACCGCACTCCAAAACTGGTTAGATTATGTTTTGTCCTTTGTCTGCCCTACTTGGGTGTTCGGCCAAGTTGCTAAGTTGGTAACCTAGGTCATAACCCACTTGCAAGTCCCCCCAAGTGGGGTACCCCTGTTATTAGTCTACCGTAATTACTTGGCTCTTCGGCGATAATGCGGATTGGGGGAGCCCAGGAGCCACTGCAAAGCGTGGCCTCGAAACGCAAATCCATTTGAGCCCTGGCCGTCCAGGGCCTGAACGCTCTGGGATGGGGCTGCCTCGCGCTAGCGCCGCACTCAGCGGTCTGTTTGAACGTGTGCATTATACATATATAGATATATACAGACTAATCATGCATACATATATACACAAGACACGTGTACATTCTTGTGTTTTATTTTGCCACTGCTTGAAGCCAGCATACTCTAATCCAATACTAATTTGGAGCCGACTGAGGGGAACCATAGGAAGGTCATGATCCGTAGGATGGTTCTTCTTGCAGTGGCTCCCCGCGCCATGGCTCTGAATGGCTCTATTCTGACCTACTGGGATCCCTTGCTATGGTCTCAGGAGGTACTGGAACCCTTTTCAACCCCCCAAACAGCGCTATGAATGGCTCTATTCTAAACTAATGGGATCTCTTAGCCCTTTCAACCCCCCCAAATGTCCTAACCAGATACCAAGGCACCCGGGAGTAGCTTGTATCAGACCGCTGGAGGCTGGAGGAGCCCAAAGCAAATCGATCTTTAACCTTTGGTTTCCCTGATTTGGGTATGGGTCAAAACTAAACCACCCGGGGACCGCAGGTTTGAGTCCTTGTTTCCATTTAGGGCAACCTATTTTGGGTACATATTTTTGTCCCACAGCCACGTTTAGTAAAGGTCCCAAAAGGTGATCACCTTTTATTGCCAGGTCCTTCGGGCCCGTGAGAATTCTGGTTCGATCAAAGCCAGAAACCACCTGGAGTCTCCTTCTGACCCTTTAAAAATGTGTCAATGACCCCAAATTGTTGGGTAATGACCCCATTTTTCAAGGGTCATGGAGACTCCAGGCACCTGTGATCTTTCACTTAGGGTGACGTTTCCAGCCCTTCCAGGCAAGCTACTATAGCAGTTGCCACGTATTCTTAGCTCTTTGTTTTAAATTTTACCCTGGATGGTTTTCCCTGGTTAGCTGTGGCAACCGAAAGCGCTGGGTTGGACAATGGTGAAACAATGGGTCCAGAGAGGGGTCGCCGGGGATGCACACTTGTCCGGAAATATTGCACAAGGGTCCAGAGGCCGATGCCAGGCCGACTTAGTTTGAATTATGCCTGGTTGTTCAAAGGGGCTTACACAGATGTGCATACCAATTGTGTTGCGTATATATATATATATGTATACTTGGAGTCTCCATGAGACTTGAAAAAAGGTAAATGACCCACTATTTTGGTTGGTGACCCCATGTTTTGAGGGTCATGGAGACTCCAGGTACACATTTACATCGAACCAGCAAGCCCAGCATGTTTTTCAACTTGCGACGTCTCTCCAGGTCTTTACTGTGGCGCGGTGTCTTCTGACGCAGGGCGTCATGTGCCCCACGATTGGGCAAAGGCGAGGATCGTCGCCCCATCCTGCACCAGTTTTTGTTGTTTTCGGTACTTATGGTTCCCTAAAAAATGGGTTATGGCACCCCCAACATTATGGTTTTTACGGGTAGTTTGAGGGTCCAGGTATGCCTTTATAGGAACCCTATTTTGGTTTGTAGTGTTTGTTTGTTGGTATTTCCACGTTTTTTGGTGGTAGTGTTGACCCCATTTTGTTCAACCCCAGTTTATTAACAGGGGGGCACTCCCTGCCTTTAGTGGGAAATCAGATCACTTTTGAAGGGGCCCCCACACGCCGCCTATTAATAAACTGGGGTTAATATTTGGGTCAACATTACTTGTTTGTTGGCGGCACCTTGTTTTGGACCCTCCAAATTTCCCGTTAAAAATACAAAAACAAAAACGAAACACGGTATTGCAACCCAAAGTTATATGGTTGGTGAATGCCCTCTTTTTTAAGGGTAGTTTCAGGTCCCAGGCAACTTGTCCGGATGTACGTTGACCCCCTTTCAACCCAAAATGCAATGAAACAACTACCCACACTTGGATGCTTTTTAGGGGATTCCGGCACCAAAGTCAACAGCTATTTCGTGGGGATCCATTTTGACAATCCCGGGTTAGGGGTTCTTCTCACCCCCGTTTTTTATTTTATTTATTTATTTTTTTTCGGCGGAGCCGGTTCTTTTTCCCCGTCACCGCCAGGCCGGGGGCGCTGTCGGTGGCCAAGGCGGTGCTCTTGGCCGGGTGCACCGTGGGGGTGGAGCTGCCCGGAACCCTAGGGATCGGATCCGAGCGGAATCGAAGCGGATTCGGATGAGGATTGGACGGGAATGACCTTCGGTTCAAACCAGCAAGTGGTGCGTTTTTGAAACCCCTTGGTCCATTCAAGCTGAAATGAATGTTTGGTTTTAATTTTCCCTTGGGTTGTAAAAGGATTTTGTTATCACTACTGGAAATATGTTCTCTCTTTTTTTATGGGGTCTTAACCAAATGGAAGGATGGGATGGGTGAATGACTAGGTCCCCCAGCTAGGTGCCCTTTTCCCGTTTCTTTTTTGGTTGGGAGGGTTCCCCTACAGAAAAAAGTTGGTACGCTTATTCTAGCCTCTCTGCTGGAGGACCTAGATGAACCAACCCCTTTCATTTGCAGAGTTTTACTGGAAAGGAAAATAGGAGTATTCACTTATAATCATATTCATTTGCACAAAATCATGTTTTTATAGTTTCCCTTAAGTTGGTTTTTCTGGAAATCAGAACATGGGGGGGTGGTTATGATCCATGGAAGTGTTGACTCACCCCTGGATTAATTGACCAGTTCATTCATAGAGGCCATTTGAGCCCTTAGGGCATTTGCGGGGCTGATTTGGGGCCCCTTTTGGCACGGTTTCACACCAGACCTTGTGACCTTGAGGGCCTTCGCTGGGGGAGGGGGGGGGAGTTCTTCATCCGAGTTCTGCATTCACTTGAATCGATCTACACCTTGACGGTGTCCATTTCTGGTTTAGCGGAAATTCAGGGCCTTGCGCAGTTCAGGGCCGCAAAACCTGTTGTTGGGTGTTCCTTGGGAAGTTTACAGGTCCCCCAAGTGGAGTTACTCGTGGTAAAGGGGCATTGTTCTTGAACGAATCATGCGGAAGCATTTCCACGGATGGGAACCCGTCGCAGGCGTGCGGAAGCTTTGTGGGTTGACATCTGTTTTATTTTGCGTGCATGGAAAAGCTTGGAAACAATTAGATACATGGGTGTGGCTCAAAATTGAACAGGAGGGGTTACGCAGGTTTTGGTCCATGTTTCCACTTACCAGGGTTCCATTTTGGTACCGGATTTTTGAGCCACGGCCACATCAACACAATGCTGCGTACAACAAGCGCAGCGCATGGAAGAGCAGTTGGCAACGACAGGCCAACCAAAGCAGCCGCCGGATTTAGCGGAAGGTTTGCGGGCGTGCGGAAGCTCCGAAGGGTGGCCCCGTGTCCCCACGTACTCGTAGCACCAATAGCCCAATGAAGCCACACGTTGCAGCAAACGAGGGAGCCCAAACAAGCCCTTATGAAGCCCCTAACAAGGCAGTATTTCGGGCTTATTTGGGCTCCCTTCCCCCCCCCCCAGCCCCCTCTCCCCCAGTCCCCAAGAATTAAGCACTTGCGCTCGTTGTTAGGCGACGGAAAGCCAACTGCCGAGTCGTTGCTGACATAAGGAGGCAAGGGCTTGCTGCGCGGCCTGCTGTCGGCAAGTGGTTCTGCTGTCGCTGCTCTGCTTTCGCATTCCTTTGCGCACCTTGCGGAAGCCAAGCTTGCAACACGTTCGCCGAAAGGAAACGGAAGCAAACGCTAAAACAGAACATGTACCGCAGAAATCCGCAGAAGGAACCTTTGGACACGCATCTGCGGAAGCTTGAATACCGTTCATCATTTTTTAAAGGACCAAAATCCAAACGTTCATTTCTCACTACTCATGGAAATTCAAGATCACCCTGCACCACAGGTGTGGTTGAAAGAACATTGCTTCAAGTGAGGCTTCGAGGCGCACGCACGTTGTCACAACCTGCGCGAACTGCGCAAGGGCCTCTTGCCGATTCAGGGCAGAGCCCAAGGCAGTTCGCGCAGCCCATGAGTTGGGGCCCCTCTTGGCAGGGTTTTTAGAGCGAAACTCCGAAGATCATCAACGAGTTCTGGGTGTTTACATGGTGACTACGAAGATTTGGACGCCCTTTGGATGGTTTGCTTGCGAACAAAGAGGCGACCAACTGGCATTGGATGTCTACCACGACATGGTTGTATTCCTATTTTGTGGTTTCAAACGGCAAGCCCAAAGGAACATCGAAGCCATTCTACAAGTAAAACAAACGCACCCACATGGACCCATCTCTTAGATGACTGGGTTCTCCCAATTGAGTGCTGCTTTGAGTCCTATCTGGCACTCTGAGGTCATTGGTTTACGAGCCGCTGGGATGCACCAAGAAAGGGCAGGAACGATCCTCTGGGACCGGTGACTTGGACCATCGCAGAGATCGTTGCAGTGGACTTTGTGTAATGATGCGCAAAGGACGATACCGGTATTAAGAGTACCTGGACTGGCCCGAATCAAAAGTGGGTTAATGAACCCATGATTTAGGGTAATGACCAACCATTTTTGCAGGGTCATGGAGACTCCAAATATTTCTTTTGAAGTCGAATTACCCTTGTGGGGTGGTTTTGAAGGCAAGCCAAACGGACAACCATTGTGGTCCCCTAAACATTCGACCCACCCATGTTTGTTCCCCCGCACACTTTTCATGGAGCCCGCAACTTGTGAGGTCCCCAAAAGGAGTGTCCTCTAACCATAGGGTTTGTGGTGTTGGTGTTAGGGTTGAACGACCAAGGGCAACTCTCGCAACAAGGATTCTAGGGTATCTGCGACCAGTGGATCCCAGCTACCCCTGTTGTGTTGCCATTATCCTTCGATCCACAAGGGTGGGTTTTGGCGTCTTATGCAGGCAAGTGGAGTCACGGGTTTACCCTCCCATCAATTCACCTGGAACGTGACAGGGGGGTCCCCTTCAAGGGGCAATTGTCTTCCAGGACCCTCCTGTCAGGTTCCATGTAATTGATGGGAGGGTACCATTTAGCTGATTTACCTATTGGCCTTCAGGGTTCATTTTCCCCTGTTGGTTTTAAAATCAGCTACCTGGACCCTCACACTAGTAAAAATAAAAAATTCACCCCGGGGTCCAAGGGACATTTTGAGGGTCCAGGTACGTTAAACGGGTGCCGATTCTTCCCCACTCCAATGGGCGTTGTACTTAGGTAATAGCCATGATTGCAACCCACAGACGCCTGACGTACCGACTCGATCGCCCTGCAAGTAGTTCTAGGTTGCCATCTATTCTACGACAAAAGCACATCTATGGACTTGACGGCCCGGACGTTCCTATGGACTTAGGCAACCTTTTCGTAGGCCCAGGGCTTTCCTTCTTCAACTTGTTGCGCCGAACAAGCTACTGCCTCCTATGGCCCGGAGGTGCATTTAAGACTCAACTAGGTCCCCCAGTGCCCTTCTCTCGCCTTTTTTCGGTGGAGGGTTCCCGTACTGGAATAGCCTATACCGAAAAAGTTGGTACCCTTATTCTAACAAACCTCTACTGGAGCAAGTCAAGCTCCCTCTGGGGCAGCGCCCATTGCCGCTTCCGCCCCGAGGTGGCACGGCTTTTGGTCGCTCCCCTGGCTGCCTTTTCCCGGCCGAGTCTTCCAGCAAGTCACCGTGATAGGCCCGGAGCGAGAGCCAGCGACGGAGTCTCCATGCCCTTCAAAAGTGGGTCAATGACCCCAGGTGGGTGTGTCGCTTTTTTGAGGGTAGCCCCTTGTCGTTGTTTTTTTCCTCTTCGGGAATCGCAGCAAACCCGAAATCCATTTCGTGGGGTCCGCCCCAGAAAAGGACGGACCCATGTGAGGGATCGGGACCCAAAATACTTTGCCAGGACCACTTTTTTTCGGGTGGACTAGGGCTAAAACTTGGTAAAACGAAGGCGCCCCATCAAAGCGAAGCCTCCAGCGGAAAAAAAACTCCATCTTTGCAGCCTGCAACTTTGGAGATGGCTCAAGTCTTCATGGCGCCTGGACCCTCAAGTTACCCGAAAAGAAGGTGAACTCACCAACCAGAGTCTGGGGGAAATCGCCATTTTCGGAGTTTGGAGGGTGCAGGCGGTTTGTGACTTGGCTGTGCGTTGCCAAATTTGTAGGTGGATAATAGCCATGTGTGTTCCACGAACAAGGTGAACTCCACTGAACGCGGGACTTACAAGCGGTTTTTAAACTCAGGTTACAACTTACTAACTTAGCCACGAACCTCCAAGTATGGGTTTTCAATACATGGTCGTCGTTGGGAAACATGTTTACATTTTTTGCTTCTTGTGGTTTAGTGGTTGAAATCCCCACTTAACTCCTGGACCCTGAAAGGACCCCTTTTTTCTGCCTTTGACCCATAAAAAAAGGGGTACAAAGGCAGAACTAAGGGGTACTTTGGGGGTCCAGGCTCCTAATTTTTGCTCCCCTTCCAACGTCAACCAAGACCTCGTCGATGGGTTCAGGTTTGAAATCGGGAAATCGTATCGCAGGCATTTGTGATGCCATCATGGCCAGGAGCTCAGCCATGTCCTCCAACTAGGTGCCCTTTCTTGACTGCTATTGGGTTGGATCTTTAGATTTTGACTTTTTGGTTGAAATCAAGGGGTTTTCCACTAAACCCCTAAAAAGTAAACTTTTTGCAGGGGGGTCAACAGCAACCAAGCTTTTGCCGTTTCCTTTTTGGTTGGCAGGGTTCCCCTACTAAAATAGACGTCCTGAAAAATCGGATACCCCTATTCTAACCTCTCTGCTGGAGGACCTAGTCCAGGTTGTGTGAAAGCTCGTGGGCCTCCTCGAAAGGTGTGTATCAACTGGTTGTGTTTCTACCTGGAGTCTCCACGACCCTTCAGAAATGGGTTAATGACCCCATTATGTTGGGTAAACCCCATCTTTAAGGGTCATGGAGACTCCAGGTACGGTGTTTGGTTTTGTCGGTGGTGGTTGTGTGTTGTTGAAGTACATTACCTGGACCCTCAAAACTCTCCTTAAAATGTGTTCTTGTCCCTGGTGGACAGGAGCCCCCCCCCAAAAAAGATGATTCGTCAGTCTTCCGAAATTATCCCGGATCCAAAGTCTAAGCTTTTCTTACAGAGTTGTCTAGGTCCCCCAGTAGGTGCCCTTCTACCGTTTCTTTTTTGCGGAGGGTTCCCCTACGAAAACAGACTACAGAAAAAAGTTGGCACCCCTACCTCTTTACCGATGGACCTAGTTGTCTTCTTGTCTCGAGTCGTCTCCTTGGGCAAATCAGAGTGCGACCTCGCAAAAGCAGAGTGCAGCCGATTTGTTTCATGAAGGCTTCTTTCAGAAAAGGCCTCCCTTTACAGGTAGGGTCAACCAGCCCAAAAAGGGTATTGGCCGCTAGCTCAAGGATTTGACACTCAAAGGGGGCCTCCCGCGGGTGTCTTTCCCACCTCTGGCGGGTATCTACTCATGCTCCGTAGTTAGTGATTCACCTGGATGAACAATATAAATAAAGAAATCATTCAACCTCCCTCTGTTCAGTGAAGTTAATGCAACTTGAAGGGTTTTACGGAGGACCAAAAAGGCATCAAAGGAACACACTCCCTGTTCAGCGAAGTTAATGCAACTTCAAGGATTTACGGAGGACCCCAAAAAATCAACCCCCCTGTTCAGTGAAGTTAATGTAACTTCAAGGATTTTCGGAGGACCGCACAAATGAGGAGTGACTCCTATTCGAGTAAGGATTTCATCAATTCTAGAGGGTTCCTCTGACCAGTAGGGTCCTCCGGCTGAATCCTAAGTTTACACTAGTGGGTTATCACCCAGGTGGCTTTCCACTGACAAACATGGCAACGAACACCCAAGGATCTGGTGCAAGGGACTCTCCAGTGCAGGACATCCTCGAGAGGTGAGAGCGGAGCGGCAATCCAGACCTATGTTTTTTCCAGAGCACCTAAGGACATTATTATGGGTATCAAAATGAGTCGGGTTGTAATATACTCGCACCACCCCGCAACAGGTATATACCCTAAATCTTACGAGCTTTAAACCGCCCCAAAGGAAACAAATGTATGAATAGATAGAACATATATTTATATATGTTTGCATGCACGCATATATATATATATACATGTCTATGTGCATGTATACGTGTGTATAAATACATGAGTAGATACGCAACGCCATGAAATAACTAAAAACAACTAAATATGCAAACACATTAACAACAACAATAAGAATGTTTATAAGAATGCAACACAACAGTAACTGTATCAATATATGAGCAAAACTATAAGCAACTACATCGATGGAACTGAACAGACAAATTGACTAAAGACTAAACACACAAATGCATGCACAACTAAACACATACATTGATAAGTCATTACTTTGAATACATAGATAAGACAAGATGCACAATGAAACAAAACTATGTATATACACACCCTCAAAGAAAAAGCACGACACCCGCCTGGTTCCTGGTTCGCTTTTCCCCCATTTGCCGGTGCTTCCGTCTCGAGTCTTGAGGTCATTGGACACACCCGGCTGATACAGATCACCTCCGCGGCCTTTGGCGCTCTGCTGGTGCCCTTCTACACCGTCACTGTCCTCCCAGTTGAGGCGCCTGAGACACCGTCACGCAGAAACGCGGAAAACGCGAGCGAGCGAGGGTGAGGCAACCGGTGGGTTTCGGAGTCAGCGGCAGGGTATCACTTGGAGGTTCGGCCAGGATACCAAGGCCATCTCCATGACCCTCAAAAAATGGTGTCATTGCCCAAAATACAGGGGTCATGAACCCATGTGTAACGGGACACGGAGACTCCAGGGACTTAGAAGCGGGTTGCGACTTGGGTTACTCAGGTTACTAACAACGCACTTGGCCGATCGCCCAAGCATCCCCATTGGCAAACCGTTTTGATCGCCCAGCCACGGAACAAATGCAGGTATCTTTTGTGGGAGGTAGCTGATTTTACATGGGGTCGCTGGATTTCCCCTAGCTCCTAGGCCGTCCTAGGCTGTTGCCTTAAGACCGTGTTAGTGGTAGATATACATCCTAAACGTACCTAGAGTCTCCTTCTGACCCTTTAAACATGGTTGGTCATTGCCTAAAATAATGGGGTCCTGGACCTATTTTTTGAGGGTCATGGAGACTCCAGGTACTCCCTCAGGGGTCACTGGATTTCCCCATCAAAAGTTGATTAAGTTGCAGGTGGTTTCCATTGAAACTGCCGAAACATCCAAGGGCCCCCTTGTTTTCGGACTTTCATTCATACCCTCCCACCAGCTAACATGGAAGTGCAAAAAGGCCAACTAACCAAGAGGAAAGTCGTCTTTCAGGGGTCTGAATGCACAAACCCATGTTGGGAGGGTAGGGGGGGACTTGGTTTTTGGGACCCATGAAGCCAAGTACGTACCCCTTGTTTTCGGATTTTTATGCATAGGGGGGACCATTTTTTGTTTGGGACCCCTGTCAGTCAGCCTCCTTGTTGCTCAGTCGCTGGACTCTCTGACCACCATCTCGCTGGTGAACTGGCTGGGCCTCCTGTTGTGCGGGGCCTCCGCGGTGATGTACTTCAAGGTCCGGCGATCCGATCGAGTTCGATACGTTTCGGACTGCATGTGGCCATGGTTCAATACCAATGGCAACATTTTAGGATAGGTGCACCACACATTTTGGAACCTATTTTAGGCGGGGATTGGGATGTTCACTGGGGGTACGGGGTTTTGATCCATGGCCGTGTTACTTTTTTTCGTGTTTGGATTGGCCAGTCCACGCAGGAAGTGAACTTACTTCACTCCCGAGGTCTTTGACTCGATGTTTGTTTTTGCTGTGACACGCCCTCGCTTATACGCGAGGTTCACTTTAGGTACGTGGGAAATAGTAAAGACACAGTGAGATGGTTTGTCTTGTTTGGGCCAATCCGCAAGTGAGTGGATTTGTTGTTGGGTGCTTGGGTGTTCGATTCGCCAAGTTAGAAAGTTTTTGGTAGCCTTCCAAGGTGTGATTCCCCGTTCTTTTCAACCATCGCTCTTTTCAAAAAAAGGCGGTTTCCGCCAAATAACGGATGATTTCCTGAAAAGATTCGGATCCCTCCGCAGAAATCAGATTCACAGCGGCCATCCTGCAGCTGGCGGCCGGCGGGGCAGCGGAGTCCGGGCAATGCGGCAATGCACGCGCCTGGAGTGTCATGGACTCGCCTTTCATTGCCGCCGGTGCAAGCATCTTCCGGCATCAGCGTGCTTACCCCGAAGTGTTTGTTTCTCTTTTTTTGGGTGCCGCTCCCCCGCCCAGATCTTGTAGGTTCCTGAGGGGTCTGGAGGAACCTGACGGGCGGTTATGCCCCAGATGGGCTTTCCCACAAAGTCTAACTTGGCCAGTCGAGCCTTTCCCGAGTAAGTTGCCATTGACGCCTGGAAACGTCAGCTGGGGCTTTGGGATGTGTCTCGCTCTCTCAGCTGGGTTTAGCACGTTCAATAGGTCCCCTTGAAGCGGCTCCGCGGCCTTTGTTTTGCTCGGTGAAATGGTTTTTTCTCCTCCTTTTGGGCAAGGGGCTCCGATTCCTTGACACTCAACACAAAAGGCTTTGCCCTTTTTAGCCCATGGAAATCCACTCATCTGAGCTTCCGCAACGGTTCCTTCCGTGCTTCGGGAATCCCAGCGCCGGAGCTGCCCTGACCCCTCAGAGCTCGATTCCTTTGGGCAGAGACCCTGAAGCTTTCAGCTGGTTGGGCACTGGTTGGTGGACCATAAAGCCCCATGTCTGCCGAAGGACTAGTGAACAAACAGGAGGTGGGATAAATCAAAATCGTCCCCTCGAAATGACTTGGGCTTGCTGGCACATCCCACAATTCAAGTGGCAGCCCCCTTTTGGATGTTGTTTGAGGGCAACACCAAAGGAACAGAACGACAACCTGCCACTTGCACCCCACACACACACAACTTTTTGTTATTTGTTCTAGACTGTGCGTTGATGCATTACGATGCCATGGTACAGAGCTTTCCGAATTAGGGCACACCCACATCAGGTTTATGTATTTCAGCTTCATTCAGCTTCCCTCTTGGCGTTTTGGATTGGCTTTGGAGGTGGCCAGGGCGAGGTTCCCCATGTTTACCTGGAGTCTCCTTGTGACCCTTAAAAGGGGTCATGACCATCATGTCGGCATTCCCCCATTTTTAAAGGGTCAGAAGGAGACTCCAGATACCATTTAAATCTTGGTGGCTCCCGCCATCCCCTTAGCCTTTTAGCTTATTATTGTTTAGTGGCAGTTTCCATTTAACCCACTAAAGGTTAAGCTTTTAGCGGGGGATCTGAGGGCAGCCCGGAAAATGTACCCTACAATAACCACGTTTTGTTCTTCTTCTTTTTTCCGCAGCTCAACCCAAACCGCCAAGTAGCATAGGGGGCAGGCAGCTGCCCAGATGGGCACGGTCGGTTTGCATCGTCACTTGCCAGGCCCGCAAGAATGGCACGGAGCCAACGGAAGGCAAGTGGCCGCGGTCGATATTTTGGAGAGTTTGCTGGGCCAGGAGGGTCCCTTGCTTGGACTAGGTCCCCCAGTAGTGCCCTTTCTCACCCCTTTGTTGGTTGGGAGGGTTCCCCTACTAAAATAGACTACAGAAAAAGGGGTACCCTCATTCTAACCTCTCTACTGGAGGACCTAGTAGAGTTTGCTGGGCCCGGAGGGTCCCTTGCTTGGATGTTCGGGCAAGTTGGTACCTGGGTTATAGCCCGCGAATAACGATGAACTCTGCTTGGGGAGACTAGCAGAGGGTGTCAAGTTGGGGTACTAACCACTTACTGACTTGGCCGAAGATACAAGTGGTGCCTCCTATTTGAGTTTACGGATGTTATTTTTACTTTCTGGGACACCATTTGAAGGGTAAATTTGACCAGTCGACCAATTCACTCAAAATCCTTTCGCATTTGAGTTGACCTTTGGCACCTAAGGAACTCCCGAAAGAACCAAACCCAAACCAAACCCGGCACCTTCAGGCTGTCCAGCCCCAAACTCCTCGAAGGGAGCTCTTGAACTCGAGCGTTGTTCCAGAAATTCGCGAGCGAGGGCTACATGAAACCCAAGGCGTCCGATTTGAATCCCCGAAAGACTCCGATCCCGAAAATTTTGGGTCGGGATTTTGGGTTGCTTCCGTTCAACTGGAGAGTAACGTGCCATTCCTTCACTGCCAGTTTGTGGCAAGTTGTTTTAGGTTTTTAGGTTGCTTGGTTCTGTGAATCGTGTAGGGGGCCAAAAAGAAAGGTGGTTTTGCTACCATACTGTGGATGGACGAACTCCTGCGCGGCTTTGAACCATGGGAGCACCATTGTTGGTCGGTATTTATGTTGGGGATCCGAATCATTCCAGGGTTGCTTAGGTGGTGCGAAATGGATTTCGTCCATCCACAGTACCTTTACTTGGATGTTCAACCAACGTCAGGTACATAGGTTCATTTCCGCGCCCCTTATACCCATGGTTTTAGCCTACTAGGCTCCTTTTCATCCATTCCATCCTTTGTTTGTCCGATTCGGGTCAAGGACACGCAGAGGCTCGGACTTTTTTTTGTTTCTCGGAGAGTTAGTCATTCTCCCATGGAAATGGTTGGAGTTTGGATCTTTTCTTTTCCAGAGGGCACGGCGGTTAGGGAATGGGCCTCGATTTTCTCCTCGCGCGGAAGCCTCGCACCCTCGCACCCTCGCACCTGCGCTCGCCAGGCTATGCTTCCTTGGCGTAGTGATGGGCTGACACGGCCCGATGACACCAAAGCGAAATTTCGCGGCGGTCTTCGCGTTTCAAGCGCACTGGTTTGGGCTGGTTTTTTTTGGGCTTCTCAAGGATTTGGACCCTGAGAACTGGTGGTTTCCTATTATTCTTTTTTGAGAGACCCACAAGCGGGCACCCCCAAACAACACACACACACACATCCCCCTTTGATGTCGATGCAGGTATTGTTTTGGGGCTGAGCTCCCCAAATGTAATGCGCATCCTGGGACACCTTCTATTTATTGACAAGTGCTTGATGGATCCTGGATTTGTTGTTGGGACATATTTCCATCGAGCCAAAGAGACGGGAAGGAAACGGACAATACCCATGTTCCAGCATTTGCTAAGGTGCATCCCCGCTGCTGCACGTCGATGAATCTTGCGATCGCTTAGGCCGTTTCAAGGATGCAGGCACATGTTCCGTACCATACGTACATGAGTGTATGGCAATGTAATTACAGCAGAGATTTAAATGGGTACTTCTCAAAATTGGGGACCCGTGGTTTCCTTTTTTTATTTATTTTAATCCAAAAATGGGTCCCCTACTTTGAGACACGTCCATGTCGTGTCAGCTCAGTAATCGCTGACTGCTGGAAATCAAATCTGGTCGCTTTGTTCCGAAGGGGTGTCGTGGTATCTTCTTGATGAATTCGCAAAAGAACCAAGCCCAAAACGGAACATATATATATATATATACATACATATTTATATATATATACCTGCAGTCTCCATGACCCTTAAACAATGGTTGGTCAGGCCCAAAAGAATGGTTGGTCATCAACCCATTTTTGATTCGGGTCATGGAGACTCCAGGAGCTACGCTTGTTCTCTTCTGTTTAAAGCTCGCGTAGGATTGGGCATGACGCCTGCCTGTCGATCATGAAATAAGTTCTGCTCCCTGTGCGTTCACAAGATTTGCCCCAAAGGCGCCCGTTCCAATCAGACAGCAGCTGAAACTCTCAAGGGGTCGATTCATGTCAGTAGAGATCACCCTTCCGCGGCCGTTTAGTTTCGAGCTTCAGATGTTGTTTGGCATCCCACGAAATCGATGCTTCGCAAAACCGACGCGCCAATCACAACTGCAACAGACCTGGCCGCAGCAAAAACAACGCAAGAAACAACAAACCTAAGGGCAAAGTGCCTCACTCCATGGCGGCAACCTGTTTGAACATTTGAAGCGGCGCTCTTTGCGTCTGTCAAAAGTAGGATACATCTCGGATCTGTTTCTGGCCACTTGCACAAGGCCGGAAAGCTTTAAGTGAGAGTCGAGAGGTTGTCTTGCCCAAAACATTCCGAACCGGTACCTCAGATTTTTCCGGTTTTTGGTTCTTGAAGGGATGATCAACGTATTCCGCATGTCCCGCATCAGGCTCCAAGGACTCCTTTGGGTTGGTCCTGGGGAAGTAGCAACCCTTTTTTTTCTCCCCAAGTAGCACTCAGACCCATGGGGCCGCTGTGCCGGGCGGGTGGCCTTTTTGGGCGCCTCGGAAGTTTGGTTCACCTTGGTTCGGGGGTACAGGAACCGCCTAGAGGGGAACTGAAGGTCACGTTCCACCCGATGTGCAAGTCCAAGAGATCTGGAAACGGTCAGTTTGGGATCGAAATTATTGACATGGTCATGATGTCAGTACGCGTTTGCTGCTGGATTCTTGACCCAGTGGTTCCCAGTTGCCAACTTTGCCAACTAGCCATGTGTCTTTGAGTCTCAAAGGGGGGAAGCCCTTGGTTGCTACCTGGAGTCTCCTTCTGACCCTTTAAAAATGGGTCAATGACCCCCAAATTCTGGGTAATGATATTTCCCTTTTGGAACCTCCAAAAGTGGCAGTTTCAATGGACACCAACCAGTCAATTGCAACTTCAAATCCAGGGACTCCTGTAAAATCAACTAACACCCAATACTTCCACTTGCTTAACAATATTTGTTATTTTCTGGTTTTGAAGTGAATCGGTTTTATATATTACTGGCATATGGTCTCATTTTCCCAGGACAGAAAAACGCCACTGGGAGAAAAGACGAGACCAATGGATCAGATCTGAGACACTCGCAGGTCATGTCCAGAGCAGCGCCCCTCCCTCAGTCTCGCGGCGAAACGGCTCGAAACGCGCGCTCGCGGCATTGCGCGCGGAACACGTCCCGGGTTTCGGGCTCAAGTCTCGTTTTTTTGGTGGCTAAGCCCATCCGGTCCTGGAGTCTCCTTTTGACCCGTAAAAAATGGTTGGTCATTGCCCAAAAGAAATGGTTGGTCAGTAACCCATTTTGGAAGGATCATGGAGACTCCAGGGGTGGCCTCTTTTTTGCTTTTTGGTTGGTTTAGTGGTGGGGTTTCCATCTAACCCATTGAAAGTCAAACTTTTTGCAGGCGATCTGAGGACAGTCTGGAACGGTTTCCCGTTAACAAGTCCACAAAAAGGCACCAAAAGAGAGTGCTTTATTTTTGCGTGACGGTAACGTTTTTGGGTGGAAAGGGAAACCACGGGTAAACGGTAAACATATAATTAGTATATATTTCGGGTTTTTTCTATTCAAAGACGCACCCAAGTACCTTCCGAAGATACATGTAGGGGCCACAAACCAAGCGTGTAGTCCTTGAGTTGTGGGAGCTGTGCTCATACGAGGCCTGTATGCTCTTTTGGAGGATAGCCGTCTAGGGCTACTTGGCCACACCCTCGACTTCGAGTGATCCAGAGGTTGCGCGGGCGTGGGTCTTGGTCTTCCACCGTAGCTTCTAAAGTTGACATCTGGAAGTAGTTCCTTGATGGTTCCCAGGCAGCGACTCAGGTTGTTAGCTTTGTAGTTTGCATGCTCCTTGGTGGTTCCCAGGCAGCCGGTTTGGTTGTTAGCTGTGTAGTTGGCATACGGAAGTAGTTCCTTGATGGTTCCCAGCCAGCCAAGAAAGGTTGTTAGCTTTGTAGTTGGCATACGGAAGTAGTTCCTTGGGGGTTCCCAGCCAGCCACTTAGGTTGTTAGCTTTGTAGTTGGCATACGGAAGTAGTTCCTTAGTGGTTCCCAGGGAGCCGGTTTGGTTGTTAGCTTTGTAGTTGGCATACGGAAGTAGCTCCTTGGTGGTTCCCAGGCAGCCGGCTAGGTTGTTAGCTTTGTAGTTGACATACGGAAGTAGTTCGTTCATATTCCCAGCCAGCCACTTAGGTGTTAGCTTTGTAGTTGGCATACGGAAGTAGTTCCTTGCTGGTTCCCAGGCAGCCGGTTAGGTTGTTGGCTTTGTAGTTGGCATACGGAAGTAGTTCCTTAGTGGTTCCCAGGGAGCCGGTTTGGTTGTTAGCTTTGTAGTTGGCATACGGAAGTAGTTCCTTGGTGGTTCTCAGCCAGCCACTTAGGTTTTTAGCTTTGTAGTTGGCATACGGAAGTAGCTCCTTGGTTGTTCTCAGCCAGCCACTTAGGTTGTTAGCTTTGTAGTTGGCATACGGAAGTAGTTCCTTGATGGTTTCCAGCCAGCCACTTGGGTTGTTAGCTTTGTAGGTGGCATACGGAAGTAGCTCCTTGGTGGTTCCCAGCCAGCCGGTTAGGTTGTTAGCTTTGTAGTTGGCATACGGAAGTAGTTCCTTGGTGGTTCCCAGGCAGCCGGTTAGGTTGTTAGCTTTGTAGGTGGCATACGGAAGTAGCTCCTTGGTGGTTTCCAGCCAGCCGGTTAGGTTGTTAGCTTTGTAGTTGGCATACCGAAGTAGTTCCTTGGTGGTTCCCAGCCAGCCACTTAGGTTGTTAGCTTTGTAGTTGGCATACGGAGGTAGCTCCTTGGTTGTTCTCAGCCAGCCACTTAGGTTGTTAGCTTTGTAGTTGGCATACGGAAGTAGCTCCTTGGTGGTTCCCAGGCAGCCGGTTAGGTTGTTAGCTTTGTAGTTGGCATACGGAAGTAGTTCCTTGATGGTTCCCAGCCAGCCACTTGGGTTGTTAGCTTTGTAGGTGGCATACGGAAGTAGCTCCTTGGTGGTTCCCAGCCAGCCGGTTAGGTTGTTAGCTTTGTAGTTGGCATACGGAAGTAGTTCCTTGGTGGTTTCCAACCAGCCGGTTTGGTTGTTAGCTTTGTAGTTGGCATACGGAAGTAGCTCCTTGGTTGTTCTCAGCTAGCCACTTAGGTTGTTAGCTTTGTAGTTGACATACGGAAGTAGCTCCTTGATGGTTCCCAGGCAGCCGGTTAGGTTGTTAGCTTTGTAGTTGGCATACGGAAGTAGTTCCTTGGTGGTTCCCAGCCAGCCACTTAGGTTGTTAGCTTTGTAGGTGGCATACGGAAGTAGCTCCTTGGTGGTTCCCAGGCAGCCGGTTAGGTTGTTAGCTTTGTAGTTGGCATACGGAAGTAGTTCCTTGATGGTTTCCAGCCAGCCACTTGGGTTGTTAGCTTTGTAGTTGGCATACGGAAGTAGCTCCTTGGTTGTTCTCAGCCAGCCACTTAGGTTGTTAGTTTTGTAGTTGGCATACGGAAGTAGCTCCTTGGTGGTTCCCAGGCAGCCGGTGAGGTTGTTAGCTTTGTAGTTGGCATACGGAAGTAGTTCCTTGATGGTTTCCAGCCAGCCACTTGGGTTGTTAGCTTTGTAGGTGGCATACGGAAGTAGCTCCTTGGTGGTTCCCAGCCAGCCGGTTAGGTTGTTAGCTTTGTAGTTGGCATACGGAAGTAGTTCCTTGGTGGTTCCCAGCCAGCCACTTAGGTTGTTAGCTTTGTAGTTGGCATACGGAAGTAGCTCCTTGGTTGTTCTCAGCCAGCCACTTAGGTTGTTAGCTTTGTAGTTGACATAGATCTGAAACGGACTGCTCAGCTTGCACTGACCCGTCCTCGGCTGGCAGAAAGAACTGTGCGGTTTGCCGGTGCCCTCGGCTTCGTTGGACAGCCTAGCAACAACCTGGGGTTCAACACCAGGTGCATCGAGTGCCAAGAGATCCTCAGATGCTTTTGTTGTGCGGAGGTGACCCCTCCCGAAATGTGGTTGAACTTGTGAGCTATTTGCCTTCACCGAACTGTA